CATTCAGCAGCTGGAGTAGCAGGGTCTCACTCCCCATTTCCCCAGGGGGCTTTGATAAGTGGAGATGAGATAGGTGCCCTCCAGAGGCACTCACACCAAGAACTTGTATTTGGAGTAGAAACCACATGAAAACCCGAGAGACCTTGGGACTCAATGGCCCTAGGTGGTCCTCACAATGCCTGCCACAAGAGTACAGTTAGAAGAGGGAAAGTAACCACCTGCTCACCCTCCCACAACCCTAAAAAAAAAAAAAAAAAAAAAAAAAACAAGCTGGACATCCGTGGCTCATACCTTTAATCCCAGCACTCAGGAGGCAGGCAGATCTCTATGAGTTCATGAGGCCAATCTGGTTTACAGAGTGAGTTCCAGGACAGCCTCCAAAAACAATACAGAGAAACCCTGTCTTGAAAAAACAAAAAGCAAACAAACAAACAAAAAACCCAAAACAACAACAAAAAGAAAACCAAGGTACAGCTGAAGAGATTTAGAGTCGATGCATTGCCAGGCCCAGGCTTGAAGTCCATCCCACAGGTTGAGAAGGTGCTCTCTAAAGAGTCAGTGATGGTACCTGATAAGGCTGCCCAGAGGTTTCTTGCTTAGAAAGTGAATTATGTGCCAAGCGATGCCCAGTCAATCCGGAACCTAGGGAAGGACTCTTTTCCTTCAAGTCAGCAGTCCTTGGCCATTCTTGGGACCTGGGGCTCCCGTGGTCCTCAGCCGAAAGGAAAAACCTCTACTTGTCCTTAGTAGTCCCCAAAGTCTGAGAGTCTCTAGCATGACCCCAGCCTCCACCCTATCCCCCAAGCCCTCCAAGACTTCCTCTTGGTGAATCCATGCTGTGGGCAAGAGCTCCTGCTGTCCTATCTGCTACATGTTCCCTGCCACTGGGCTCCCATCCCTTTGCAATGATGCCAGCCGCCTTGCTCTGGGCCCCTCCTCCAGGAAATCTTCCCAGACTGATCAAGTTTTCTCAACGCAGGCAGGATCTTTCTTGGGGACACTGCCACCCCACCAATCCCCAACAACCATCTGTAGTCATCTCCTTGCCAAGTCTTGATCTCTCTACTGGGGAACAAGCAAACGTTCTGCCAGGTCGTGAGGCAAGGCCAGCAGGGCTGGAGCAAACTAGGGGAATGGAGATATTTCCTAGATGAGGCAGGCCTGGCACAGGAGACACTTGACACTAAATGACAAAGGCTGCTCTTGTGGAGGGGACAAAACTCCAGAGTTGTGGGCCCAGGAACTGTGCCAGCAGATAACTCTGTGATGAGTGACAGGTGTAGGACTGCGCCATCTAACACAATCCCCACTGGCAGCCACTTGAAATAGAGCTTCTTCAAATAGAGAAGGTCCAGAAGTGTAAAACACACCAGGTTCCAAAGATTAGTACAGAAAATAATGTAAAATATCTCAATAATAGCTTATGTTGATGATACATAAAAATGGATATGTTTAGATTATAGTTTGTCAAAATAAAATAAATTTTTATTCTCATTGCAGTGATAAGAATTGAACTCAGGGCCTTAGGTAACTGGGCAATTGCTGTACTACTGAGCTATACCTCCAACTCTAAACTTCATTATTAAAATGACTGGTTTGACACGTGCTTAGCCTGCTTGAATGACTAGGTTCAGTTTCCTGCACTAAAGCAAAAGGCTATTTACCTTTACATTTTCATATAGTTACATGAAAATTTGAAGCTACGGATGTGGCTCACATTATCTCATTTCAATTTTACAGAGGAGGAAACAGGCTTCAGAGAGTTTGAGTGACATGTTCTACAATGCCCTAGCGTTTGTGCCCCAAAGGGATGACTGCCTTCCCTAAGCCCTGCTGTGCTAGGGAACAAATACCAGAATGTTTTATGCTCAGTCATCCTGCTCCCCTTCTCCCTGACTTGCAACAATCAGTAGTGCATTCTGTATCTGAGGGCAGCCTCAGAGTTGGTGCTGAGACTCATGGGTGTCACAAGTCCTCCAAGATGTCCAGGTTTGACTGATATTGTAACATGGCGTTCCTCTCTTTCTCCAGCAGCAACTGAAGGGCCTCTGCTACTTTATTCCCAATCTGTCAACTCAGCAACCAACTGTGGTCCCCCTTCCAGGCAGCAACTCTTGTCAGGTTCCTTGCTCCCTCACCTGACAGGAGCATCCTAGAGGGTGAGTGTCCACAGCTAGCTCACCCTATAGGGGATATTCCCAGGTTTCTGCAGAAGCAACTGTAGTAGCAACCATGACATTGGAAGCAAGTTCTTTATAACAAGAGCTCCAGGAGATGTTAGCTTTATGGCCGTATACCTGTTTCGGGGTTCCAGACTTGGTTCCTCTAGGAGATATTTCCGGGGGTAGGGAGCCTGTGGTTCTAGCCTGGACACAGATTCAATAATGCCTGTGCCCTACATGGGCCTGTCTCTCTGGGGTCCACCCTGACCATCCAGGGAAGGCTTCTCTGGGTCCTGTGAGCAAACGGAACCTATCTTGTATTCTTGAAATGCACCAAGAATCTTGTTCTGGATAAAGTCAAAGCCCAGTAATAGGTTCCTGGAGGGCAGGTTTGCTGGAGGCATTTGGGATCCAGCTGGGTCATCCCAACTGAATATAAAAGGGTCAGATTTTAGGCTGTGATTATAACATAAGGAGGCCACATTGGGTTTTAAAATAGTTTTAAATTTGAAAAATGAATTAAGAGAAAGGACTTGTGGAGTGAGCATTCTTGGCAGCTTTAGGATAATTATAAAACCAGCTCCAATTTCCCAAGTCCTTCACAGTGCCAAGCCCGAGGTGCCACAATCCCCAGAAGGCATACCCATCAGAATTCGGCTATTCTGCCACCTCCTGGAGGCCCCATCATGCCCCCTTCAATCCAGATGCCCTGGTATATAGCAAGAGATACATGGTCAGACAGATCCATTTCAACCCCTGCTCTGCCACCTGTAAAATGAGGGTAATGGCAATTCTGGCAATTCTTGGAGAGTAGGGAAGGGGCTGGACCTCTGCCCTGAGCCCTTTGTTGCTCTTAAGTTCACATGGTTAGCTTGACTAGCCCTTTGCCAAAGCCACCTGCCCCCAATGGGAAAAGTTGCCTCTAGATACCCCCCCCACACACCCTTTGCTCCTGAAACCCAGAGAAAGAAACCAGCCTGAAGTCAAGGACACAGCTGTGTCTGGCCCTGTGTCAGGGGACCACTGCTGAGGGGCCTCCCCTTCCTGTCCTCCCACGCCCGACCCACACTGGAGGCGAATGTGCCCTGAGCTTGGGAACAGCAGGTACAACAGAGTAACTTCTCTCTTTTTCTTTTCCTTCCTTTCTGTCCCTCCCTTCTTCCTTTTCTTCTTCCTCTCTCTCCTCTCTTTCCTTTTTATAGTATTGGGATTGCACCTAGGGCCGAGTGCATTTTAGGTCGGGGCTATATCTAAGCTACCCCTCCAGCCCTCTTTTCACTTTTATTTTCTATTTACTCTCTGGAAATTTCATACATGTATATGATGTATTTTGATCTTTTCCACCTCCTACTACCTCCCGCCAACGACCCCTGGGACCCACCAATCCATCTCACTCTCAACCTCACGTCATTATTATTAAGAGCTACCAAATCCGGTTAATGTTGACCGCGTGCGGCTGAATGTAGAGCCACACATTGGCTCACAAGTGACCTATCAGTGACCATCCCCCCACGCAAAAGTGCCTTTCCCTCTCTCACCAGCCAGCAGCTGTCTATAGCTCTTCAGAGAGGGATGGTACCTGGGGGCCTCTCTCTCCCCTTTGGCTTTCTAGGCTGCCTTGGAGTCTGTGGCTCAGGCAGATCTTGAACTTGCTATTCTGCTTCAGCCTCCAAAGGTGCTGGAACTCCACGCCTACACCACCAAGCCTGGCAAGCTCCCTTCTAACCTTCCGTAATTCAAAGTTAGAGCTCCAAGACCCAGAGGTACCCTGTGCTTCGCTAGTATGATGAAAATGACAAAAGCTGGGGATATTATGAACAGGTGACCTGTCAGCCAGTAGTTTTCTCCCCAAGGTGCCCCTCAGCTGTCTCTCCCCACCTATGGCCAAACTTGCACTTTTTCTGCATTGGCCGCCATCCCGTCCCCAATCCTTTATTTCTGGATCTCTCCACTGGGCTACCTGCTCAGCTGCCTCACTAGGGTCACAGTACCCACTGAGATTGTAAAGCCCAGGTACCTAGATACATGGGGGAGGGCCTAGGCCCTGCCCTAAATGACGTGACAGACTTTGATAATCCCCCATGAAAGGCCTCTCACTCTCTCCGGGGATGGGGGGGTGCTGGGTAGGGGAGGAGGGGTCGGTGGGAGGCATGGGAGGATGGGAGGGAGAAGGAACTGGGATTGATATATAAAATAAGACTGTTTCTAATTTAAAGAGAAAAAAATAAACCTCAAGGTGAGCAGCCACAGGAAGTACTTCTGGTGTAAACTGAAGGAGACACTCATCTTTCAGGTTTTGGACAATGCAAAGTTTAGATCTAGATCTTTGTGCCACCTTAAAATTTCCTTCTGGGGCTGGCAAATCTGACACAATCAGTTTCTCTTAGGATTCTGTCCCACCCTCTCCCTGGGGACATTCTTTGATCTCTTCTTTCTCACCTGCTCTCTGCTGTTCTCTGTCTGCTTGCCTCTGACTGTCATTTCCTCCCCCTACTGTGTGAGAATCTCTCCCATTTGCACACCTGGCCCTGCTGATGGCTCCTCAATAGTCTCTCCCCCACCCCCAAGCCCTGGCCCTGTGTGGATCAGCCCTACAGTCTTGGTAGGCTCTCACCTGGGAACTTCACACCTGCCCAGTCCTTTACCTCAGCGCGCGAGCTGATCCTCCATTTTGCCACGGAACACTGGCTGGAATCGCACCTCTTCTCCCAAAGAGGGAGCCTCTTTTTCCTGCTGCTCCCACAACTTCAGCCTAGTGCCAGCCCCTCTTTGACTGACTACCATTGGCTCCCCACAGCCCAGAGCAGTCCCAGACAGAGCATAGGTACCCAGGTGGAATCTGTTCCATGAGTAAATGAATTTATTCGTTAGTATATGAATGGATTGGTATGTAGGTGGCTTTGGTGGTTGGGTAGGAACAGAGGGAGATAGTATATAAGCTATAGCCGGGGCCTGCCCGTGGCAGCAGGTGGCTGGAGGAGGCCACATCCCCTCCAGCATCTGGGTGCTATCTTAACGGCCTGGCAGTGAGGTGCATGTATGGCAGAGGCCTGCAAAAGAGGTAATGCAGAGCGGGCAGCTCTGCCCGCCTCTAATTATTGCTTGAGTCTTTATGGCAGAGACAGCTGCCTACCCCAGGGAGCTGTGTCTTGGCCATCACAGTGTGAGCTCCAGTTGGGGCTGCTGACACAGCCAGCAGGGAAGACAAGAGGAAGTTTCCAGGGGCCTTTGGGTCTTGGGGAGCAGAGACAGCCCAGGCTTGGACCCTGCTCAGTTCCTGTTCTTCCAGCCCCCCAGGGCAGCAGAAAGGTACCCCCAACTCAAGAGTCCCATTGAGAACCCTCCAATGTAGCCAAGGGGCGAGCCAGCTGAAGGAGGGCCCACAGCACCCTCAGGGAGAGAGCCGCAGATGGTTTGGTGTCCGCTGACATGGAAGCCCTTGGGAAGACGGTGCCCCAGTGGGAAGGTCAGGCCTGGAAGGATGCTTTGACCACCCGGCCCTTCAGTGGCTGTGGTGGCCGGAAGTTGTTCACCATGTGGATCCTCTCATCATCCTCTGAGGTGAAAAGCAAGCTCCGAAACTTCTCCATCTTAAGACAAAAAGGATGGTCAGGGCAGGGATGGGCGATGTTTTCCTCTATAATCCCAGGTGCTGGTCAGGGAGCTCGACCCTTCTGCGTCTCCTGCCTGGCTTCCCTCTCCCCACCCTTAGTTGTCTGTTTCCTAAAGGGACCCTGAACATGGAACCTGAAGGCTGGCTCCAGTCTTGTCTAGCTCGGGCATTTGGACATTTGCAACTTTATGACTGCGACACACTAAGAGGAATCCCAGCATCAGGCCTCTTGCCTTCTTCCATGGTTAGGTCCTGAGGACTAGCAACCAAACTTACAGCAACCGAAGATCCTTTGGTTTAACAGTCAATGATGGGAGTCAAATGGGAAGACCCAGACCACAGCTTGCTGGTTGAGGGGTTACCCCGCCATGGTGGAAATCTGAATGCACCTACTCCTGGAACTCTGGGAGGACTTACCTGCCTCTCAGAGATTCTGATGGGCTCCCGGAGCACAATCCAAGTAACACTCTCGCTGAGCGGGGGTGTGGTCAGGGAGCCTGGGTAGGTCCAGTAGTGCAGGCTGGTGGGCAGGAGGCACTTAGGGTTGAAGTAGTTGAACTGGGCCTTGGTATCCTGGGCAGGATGGGAAGCCAGGGATTAGCACAGAGCTCCTACCAAGATCAGACCAGCAGCTTCCTTGCTTGTTGCTGTCAGCAGGATTTGGGCCTCTTCTTGACATGATGATGCAAATTGTGGGCAAACATCTGTGACCCGTGGTGCCACCTCCCAGTCAGGGCCAGGCCCTCTCATTTGCTTACATGTAAAAGTTGTGGCTTTGGGGGCTCTCTGGTCATCGTGTTCATAACCTTGCATTTGGATGCCCTCGCTGGGGCTGTGTAGCAGACCACCATCCATATGATCAGTACTTTATGCGTACCCTACCAAGTTGCATGCTAGGCACCCATGGGTGATGAAGAAGACCCTCATCCTGGATCTCAGCCAGAGGTGCTGCCAGAATGCAAAAGTCAATGGGCTACTCCATGAGCCAGTCTCCTCCATCGTCTCTCCCCAGCTGACTGCTCTGGAAAGAAACAGCAACCCCTGGTCTCACCTTAAACCGAACCATGTAGAGTGCATCTGTCAGGCGGTTCATGCTGGGGTGCTCATCTCCTGTCTGCCAGGGAGAAGACAGTATGAGCCTCCAATCCCTTCATTCTAAAACTAAGGGCATACGAGCCTCCCACACTCTTCCCTGCCGCGGGGATCCACCACCCACCTCCAGGAAGACACCAACCACAGCCAGACCATCAGGGGCTGCAGCCGCCTCCCCAAAAGTGCTGTACTTCTTGGCATTCCAGTGAACCAGATGTAGCTGGAGAGGCAAAAACAAGTCAAGTCAGGCCAGGGCTGAGCGCCTCCAGAAGCAACAGGGGCATGCAATCGGTCTCCCCTGCTCCCTCTGGGAGAGGTGGAGCTGCAAACCCTCCTAATCTCAGGATCCCAGGGAGCCCCCCCGGAGAACAATAGGTAGCATCCATCCCATTCTGGGTCCTTCCTAAGACTCTGGGATGTGGACAGCATGCAGACGGGGAGGGGGTCTCTCCCAAAGGCCCTGGGTGTATCTCCACATGTTCTCCAGAGCCCTGGGCATCCTTGAGTCCCACACTGGCCCATACACCCTTCTTCCCCAGGCAGCAGAGGGATGCAGCCAAGAAGATCTCACCTCGCTGGGGAAGGACTTGCCATCCACCGTGTGCTCCGAGCCCACATCGTGTTTCTTGCCCCAGTGGAAGTGGAGCTGCTTGAGACGATAGGGCCCTTCCAGGGGGCCCCCAGCCACCACTGCGGGTAGAAGTGACATGTGGCAGTGCCAGGACCCAGGCTGTCCAGGTAGAGACTACATGTGTGTGTGAGATGTTGGGGACCAAACATGGGCTTTATGAATGTTAGACAAGCACTTAATTGATGAGCCACATCTTCAGCCAAGGGCTCTATACTCTATCTATTTTGACCATGTTTGGGATTGAACCTAGGGCCTCAAATATACTAGGCAGGCAGTTTACCGCTGAGCTGTATCTCTGACCCTTTTTGGACTTCTGTTATTTTGAGGTAGGGTCTTGCTAAGTTTCTAGTCTCAGTTTGAACTTATCCTCCTGCATCAGCCTCTAGAGTAGCTAAGATTGCCTGCCTATACTACCAAGCCTGGTTAGGGGCTATAGTTTTCACGTGGGAAACCTGTTAGATAGGACATGGGTCTGTCTCACTAGTCCCTACAGTCTAACCCCCAGGCTGGGTCAAGGCAGAAGGCGTGACAGCCTACTAGGTAGCTGTTCTGACAAAGGAGGGCTTTGCATTGGTCCCTCCTCCCAACTCTTGCCAGGTTTCCTGTAGACTGGGCTGCTGCCTCTTAGACTCTTTGTTCCCACTAACAATAGGCCTCCCATATCTGGGGCCCAGACCTAAGGCTGAGTTGGAACAATTATTTTGTCTGTTATCTTAGTAGCTCAGGAGGGACATAATTTATTTTTGGACCAATTTTATCTTACTTTATTATTTATTTATTTGTTGTTTTTTGAGACAAGGTCTCACTCTGTACTTCTGGCTGGTCTATAACTCACTATGTAGATTAGGCTGGCCTTGAACTCACAGAGATCAGCTTGCCTCTGCCTCTGAGTTCTGGGTTTAAAGGAGTATGTCACCGTGCCTGGCTGGACCTATTTTATAAAGGAGGCAATGGGGGCAAGATTACAAAACGAGGTGCTGAGCTACAGTGCAAGCCTATAGCTTCTGTGTCTCAAACTGCTAAGCACCAGCTAGGCCACATTGCTTCCCTACAACCTGGATGGATCCTCACCAGAACATGGTATTGCCTTGGAACAGGAGGCTAGCTCCTGAGAGTCCCTACCTTCCCAGATAATCTCGGGGCCTCCCAGGGCCTCCCCTGTACAAATGGCCTCTTTGGAGGCCCCAGCCATGCTGATTCTGTAACTTTCTCACCTTGATAGCCAGTGATCTAGGGCTACACATAAGGCCTCTTGAGACTGATAGAGTTTCCAGATGAAAGGGATCTCTTGGTGGAGAGGACCTAGCTAGACCTGAATGTGAGCTCCTAGATCAAGTGACAGCTCTAAGCTCAGAGTTCTACCAGGCCCCTTCATGATGGTGATCAGGACAAAATCCAGAGGCCATCTCTGCTGCCCAGCCTTATGTCAGAAACAGGCAATCTAGGACAGCAGTACTGGCTGACAAAAAGAGTCAGGGCTTGGTGGCTCACCACAGAATCCTAGGCCTTTCTGTGGTTGGGAGACTTCTGGACCCCTCTGTAGTATTCCTCTCCTAGAACCCTACAGGATGGCACCAGAGGGGGCATCTCCTTTCTTGCTTTATCTGATTGCAGATGTCCTGCTGGTCACTGTGACTGTCCAGCAGGACAGTAGTTCAGTGGTGCTCTGTGGTTATCAGTGCAGTTGACCTCCAGGGTGACCTACAATGGGTGGTGGCAGAGTCCCATCTGTCTTCCTCTTTTCACTGACTCTGGCTCCTCAGGCCTGGCAGGGAAGTGGAGCCCCAGCTTGGCCTCTCATGCGAACCCTCAGGCCAGTTACACAAATCCTCACTAAAGACTGTTGCCTAAGGCCTCTACCTAGGAATCTATCGTTGAAGCCTGGACTCTGGTCTGTAAGCAAAGAGGCATGTTTGAGTTGAGTCTTTGAAGGCTGCTAGAGGGGACAGCCATGAAAACTGCTCCTCCATAAGCTGTTACCCAGGGTTACCTAGGGTCCCATGTTGCCTTTCCGAGGCTCTAGATATAAGGTTTTTCTTAGAGTTAAAAACAAGGTAATATATTGTATCTCTTTTCTAAGGCTCTGCCAGGCTTACTTCTGCAGAAAAAAACTATAGCTAAGTCTCCTCCCTTTTTTCCCCCCTACCCTCCCAAGGAACTTAGAGATAAGTAGCTAATGTCACACTCTATAAAAGGCAGGACTTTCTTTTATCTTGATTTTCTGTTTGGCAGATAGGTTTTCTTGAGTGCTTTCATTGAGTAGGGAGCGGGGAGGAACAAAATAAATAAACAAGCAATATTTCCTTACATAAAAAAAATCCTAACAGTTTCTCTTCTCACCCCACTCTCTCCCTCACAGACCCTGTGATGAGAACAAAATTTCTCCACTAAAGAATATTCCTAAGGTCTCTGACAGGGAATTTATCTTGGAAACCTGTACTTTGGTGCTAAGGCAGAGGCATGAGAAGGCACCGCCCTGCCACAATTTCCTGCAGGCCTCACTCTTGTCCATGGTGATGAGGTCCTTGAAGGTCATGGATGAGTTGGAGAGACCAGTGATGCTGGGGCAGGTATGTTCTGGCCTACAAACTGCTCCTTCATAAGCTGTCATCTAGACCCCATAGCCTGTGTCTGGGGCTGTGTGTGAAGGGGTCAGTATGAAGGGGTGTTTTGCCTTCTGCTCCTGGGGATCGCCGAGACTTTCTCCCCTCTGCAGCAAGGACAGAGGCTTGCTGGGCATTCAATAACCCATCTGATAGGAGGGTGGTTGTTTTAGAGTGGGTCACTAGCTCAGGCTGGCCTTGAACTCACTATGTAGCCAAGGATGACCTTGAATTTTTATTTTTTATTTTTTGCCTCCAGCTCCAGAGTTCTGGGATTACAGGTGTGTACCACTGAACCTGAGACTTATGAAATGCAGGGGTTCAAACCCAGGGTCTTGTGCATTCTAAGCAAGCGCTGTACCAACGGAGCTGTATCCCCAGCCCCAGATGTGTTGAGCCAAGGCCTTGTGCATCCTGGATAAGTGTTCTACCACTGAGCCTCGGCTATGTCAATGGGTTCTTGGAAAGACTAAATAATGAAAGGCTGCCTGAATTCATTTTCTTTCTTTCCTTTTTTTTTTTTCTTTTTCTTTTTTTGTTTGTTTGGGATGAGGTTTCTCTGTGTAGCCCTAGCTGTTCTGAAACTTTCTCTGTAATGGACCAAGCAGGACTCAAATTCAGAGATCTGCAGTCTCTTTCTCCCAAGGGCTGGTATTAAAGGTATCCACCACCACCACCCTGTCTGAGGCTACCTGAGTTCTAGCCTGTAGCCTGGCACACAGAATACCTCAATCCCCTCCTTTTCCTTTGGGGGCCTGGCTTGATGACAGGGAAGAGGGCTTGGCCCTAGGCCACAAGTAGGTTAGCGAGAGGCTAGAGTGAACATAAACACGATTTGAAGTTCTGAGAGGAGGGGGAAGAAAGGAGTTAGCATTTCTTGAGCATCTGTTTTATGCAGGTCTACAAACATCACATCAGGCCTTTTTTTCCCCACTGCCCCCTCTGTGACCCTAGAGTATATTATCACTGCATTTTATACAATGAGAGTCTAAGACTGAGCTCTGGGATTCATCACAGCTGGTGAGAGGGAGCGTTTCCCTTTGATATCACAGCAAGCTGTCCCTCCTAAGATTGTCCCATCCCTGGTGAGGGCATGAAGGGGACTAGTGCTAGGTTTTGGCTGAGGTCACTTACCAGTTCTGTCATCACTGTCATTGAAGTCCACCTGGACAGAGTGGCCATTGTTGGTGATGCTGAGGGACATGCAGGCTTCATAGAAAAGCTCCAACGGCTGCAGGCTGGGCGAATATACAGCCTGGCTGGATATGATATTGATGGGTGACTGGCGGTCTCCCTGGGCAATGGGATACAGCTTGTGCCAGTTTGAAGGGCCTAGAGGTAGGTAGGGAAGGGTCAAGGACTCAGGCCAGCCAAGCTGTGGGATGAGGGAGGCTGGAGGGACAAAGTCTGAGTTTAATCCCACCTCTGCCCACTTCTCCATTCACTTTCTGTTATCTTGTCGGGGAGACAGTCTCCAAACCCCTCCAATTCCTTTCCCTGGCACTGATAGGAACTCAGGGAAGCACTATAGGGAAGGGAACATAACACAGCTCAGAGGTGGTTCCAGATAGTAAATCCACCCACCCCCCAGCAAACACTCAAGGAGGCCCTAGCAGGAGTTTAGCCTCTTTCTGTACCCTGAGGAATGTAATGCAAACTTGGCACTTGGGAAAAAAAACTCACATCACCCTGGCTTTTGGTAGGTGACATGTTTTTCTCCTCGCAAGCACAACTTTATGAGGTAGAAACCAGCATGATGCTCATGCAATGATGAGAAACTGAGGGTCAGTCATGCATGCTCACACATGTGCACATGCACAGGTATAAACACGTAGCGTGTGTATGGACTGCCTCTTCCTGTCTTCCCCAAACATGTGCTGACAGGTTCATATAGATCTTCCTATGTACATACATGTATGCATGAAATATGTAGTGACCTGAGTTCACCTCAAGAAGATCCAAGCTCTCCCTGCCCACCAGCCCTGCTGATTACATCTGACACACACACATATGCACCCCATACATAAACACCTCGTATTGGAATCCCAACGAAGGGATCACATACCCATGCACACATACACCCAAGAATACACACACACACACCTGCATGCACACCCACAGGCACCCACCACCTGCCTCCCAGAGGCTCCATCTGCAGTGGGGAGGCTCAGCATCTCCCTAGGGAACATCCTGAGATACAACCTATTTTTAGAGCTACTGCCGGCTGGTGCTTCTCCCCCTTTTTGGCTTCTTAAGTTTTCCCGAGAAAACAGCAGCAGGTGCCGACAGAGCTGTGTCCCCAATGGATGACTCAGAATGGTGGCCCAGCCCTACTGGGTTATTTTTGAAGCCCTGTGAGTGCTGCTGCATTTGGGCATCTCTGTCCTCTGTCCTTCCCTCCCCTAAGCTAGACTGCCCAGGTCTGGCTGGGTGAGGGTTAAGTCCCCGAGGATAACAAGCTGTTCAGGATGCTCGAGGTACAAAGCTAGAGGACAGGGCTAGCAGGAAGGTTAGGAACCGGGCACTGGGACTACGGGGGCGGGGGAGGGGGAGGGATGGCACTTAAAAGCAGATCCAGTGCATGCTGGGGGGAAGATAGTCTTTTATCAACCTGGGTTTTCTCTGCCTCTCTCTCCATCCCTGCCTGTCTGTGACACCTTCTTTTACCCTGAATGTCTCCGTCCAGTCTAGTATGTCCAAATCTCAGGTTGCCCTACCAAAACATAACACTTTGTTTTGGGAGGTCCCAGAGAGGACAGGAACCACCGCGGGAACCACGGGATTCCCTCGGGTCAATTGCAATTTCCTAACCCAGACAATAGTCCAGGACGTTCACTCTCTCTCACAAATTGACCACTCCTGATAAAAGTGGACCTGGAGGAATAGTACCCCCTCCAGCATTTGCATCCCTCTCCGCTTGTCCTGCCTGGGTTCCCCTCCTGACATCCATGATCCTGGGTGATGAACCTTCTTCTCTGGAAAATGGGGAAGTCCCCACACCCTATCTCTTCTTGGTAAGAAACACACCCAAAGGGAGCTGACCTGTCCCAGACCCACACTCAAGCTGTCTGACTCACTGGCTTCTTCCATCCTTCCTGGCCATGCTAAGGAAACTGAGGTAGAATGGAGGAGCGGTTCTCCTGGCCAGACCCGGCACCCAAGGCCCCACTCACTTCGGACGCGCTGAAACACTCTATCGGGTGTAGACACCCAGACGTTCGCGTGTGTCCCCAAGTGCCCTCCCTCTTTGCTCGCGTACCAGCCTGCACCGCACCTCGGACGCTCCAGCGGAAACTCTCGTGGGGACACCGAGCCCGGTTCCCGGGAGGTCCCTGCATACCCGCTGTGCGCGCTCCCCGCAATGACACCCGCGCATGGCGCTGCGACGCGGCCCACCCTCCCCCCCGCCCCCGTAGCCCTGAGCCACCTGCAGGCGCTGTGCACGCCGCGGGGAGAGAGAGAGTGCGGGGCCGGGTGGGAGCCAGCGCTGCAGTCCCGCGCTGCGCGGAGGCGGCGGCAGGGCGCGCTCAGCAACCCAGTGGTTCGCTGGCGGGCCCGGGGCGCAGCGCGGACTTTGCGCCCAGATCAGAGGAAGCAAGACGGGGGTCGGATTCTGGGGACTGCACGAGAGAGAGAGGTCCGGGTGGGTTCTGGAGAGTGGGGCTTGAGGGTTCCGAAAACCTGGTCTGAAGCGCGGGTCGCAGCGAGCCCAGCTGGGTGAGAACCAGGGGTCTGCGCCTACCGTCGTCCTGGCCGTAGCCCCAACAGTGGTGGCCGGTCATGCCGCTGCTGTCCCCGCGGCGGTGCACCTGCCGGATCTGCTCTGTCCGCTCGCTCCGTCTGCGGCTCCGGCCCCGCTTGCTGCGGTGGAGCAGCCTCTTAAAGTGGCGGCAGGCGGGAGGAGCGGTTCCCCAGGGACCCGCCCCCACCCCCCAACAGTGCAGGAGAGGCTGGTCCTGCCCTGCCTCCACCTGCCTGCTGGCCGGTGAGGTCCCAAGTCGAGGTAGGAGGTCAAGAAAAGATAAGCCTATTCCTCATCTCTTATCTCTTTCCTTTCTGCCAGCACGTGTATGAACTCTGGGAAAAGAGATTACCATCCAGGTTGTGGACTACAGGGCTTCACATTTCATCCTCCACTCCAGGCTTGTCCCTGAGCTGTCATTGCCATCACTGAGGACCTGGGTTTTGGGACCCCAAGTCCCCTAGGGTGGAAAAGAATGTTGCAGTGATCAGTAAGTGTCTAGAACTGAAGGTTGGCCAGTTTTCCAGATGCTATGGTGGGTGCTGCGTCAAGCTTTTAGGTCCTTCCTGTGATATAGGAAGGGACCGAGGTAGGGAAAGGTGGGATGACTAACCCAAAATCATCTAATAAAGCACCAGGGATTTAGTCCAGTTTGTCTCATTTCAGATGTTGTGAGGACTAGGGAATCCTGTGCATATGAAGGTCTGGGCACCTTGGAACAGATGCGAGGGATAGGCATAGGATTGGCAATTTCCAAACCCTTGGCCCTAGCGCAATTAGAATCCTGAAGTAGAAGCAGAAAGGAGTGGCATCGGTCGGTGGGCTGGGAGGAAGCTAGGCCCAATGAAGACAGTATGGTGGAATCAAGTATGAAGTCCTGCCTCCCAGACTCCCTCTTATTCTCTGTAGCCTCCCTCTTACAGGGACTTTCTGCTTATCTTTCTAAAGCCTCTCTTTGCCTCTCCATAGCCATCAATGCACCTGCCGGGCATTTGGCCCCTCCCCTTTGTTGTCAAGGTACCTGAATACCTGCTTTGGCCCGGCATTTCCCCATCTACCAGCCCTGGTCCTTGCTGTACCCTCCTCCTGGTATGTCTTGTATCTTCCACCCACTGGCTCCAGTAGGTCCAAACTGATTCATCTTAGCATGTGGCCTTGCGCCAAAGATAGGGATTGTTTCTGCCTAGGACTCAGCAGGCAGTTTGTGGAAGATAAACAGATGGGTGGATGGAAGGACAGACATACCCAGGACCCTATGCCCAAGAAGAACTCGTGAACCATTGGTAGAATCTCTCTGCTGATCAGATGTTGACCAGGGGTTGCTATTCTAGTTTCTGCTTTTTAAATTAACCTTGGGAAGTATATCATCTGTCTTCTTACCTACCCTGGCTCCCCTACATGTCTCACACTGTCTCAGTTTCTTCTTGCATTTCCTCAGATAAAGATATTTCATTAATGACTATCTAGACAGCCGGGCTGACTTCAGAGATTTGCTAGTCCTGTAAAATTGCCCTGCTTTGACCCAAGAGCAGGTAGAGGTTCTCAATACAGATCTGACTTCAGGGTAGGGGTCGAAGACTGGTGTTCTAGATATAGGGGGTGGTCTCCAAGAGCAGCAACCATAGAGTCCATCAATGTTTGTTTGAGACAGGGTTTCTCCGTGTAGACCCGGCTGTCCTAGAACTGGCTCTGAGGAACAGGCTAGACTTGACTCAGAGGTCTGCCTGCCTCTACTTCCCGAGTGCTGGTATTAAAGGCATGCACCACCACGTCTGGAAATTTCAATATTACTGAAGCTCTAGATCTCTAAGCCAAAAGCATTACCTACAGATTGGCAAGATGATGGCCTCCAGGGGGCGTATAGTCCTGTCTCCTAAAGTGAGCGAGACAACCCTTTCCCAAAAGACTTACAATGCCCGTCAGGATCTTTGGATAGTACAGACTCCATTGACCACTCCACCTCACAGCAATTGGCGCCTTTTGTATATTTTTATATTACTTAAAGAATAAAATTGGGTGTCTGGATGGCTCAGTGGTTAAGAGCACTTATTGGACTTGCAGACGACAAGCTCCCAGCACCCAAAACTGTCTCTAACTCACATTACAGGTGATCCAACACCCTCTTCTGATCCTTACCAGGCATGCAAGTACATACACACACACATACTTGGAGACAAACTACTCATATACATAATATGAAATGAAATTAAATAAAACAGTCTTTGAAGCCGGGCGTTGGTGACACACACCTTTAATCCCAGCACTCGGGAGGCAGAGGCAGGTAGATCTTTGTGAGTTCGAGACCAGCCTGGTCTACAAGAGCTAGTTCCAGACAGCCTCCAAAGCAATACAGAGAAACCCTGTCTCGAAAGACGAAACAAAACAAGTCTTTGAAAAGAATAAAATGGGGGTGGAGAAATAAGTCAGTGTTTAAAAGCACTTGTGACTCTTGCAAAGAACCCAGGTTTGACTCCTCCCACTCGCACGGCAGCACACAACAGTCTGCAACTGCAATTCCAAGAGATCTGAAGCCCTTTTCTCCATCCCTTAGGCACCAGGCGTGAAAGTGGTACACAGACATACATGCAGGCAAAACACCTGTACACATAAAATAAAGTAAATGTTAAAAAAGGATAAAACTGGAATTCTTCACATCGATATGCATCTAGTATCACCTGGACAAGTAACCCAGGGTAGATTTTTGCCCCATTTTACAGGTGAGGATGACAAGGCTCAGAGAGGTTGAGTGATGGGCCAAAAGTATACAGTGAATGCCAGAGCAAAGATGAAAAGCCAGGCTGTTAGTTTCCCCACTCAGGTCCTTTAAAAATCACAGCACGGGGAGGAAGTGGGTTCCACATTTGCTTCTCATTTGTACAGACATATGCAAGGAGTTAAGCAAGGGGGAATGTTCGGTCGACTTGAGGGAGACTGGCTTTGGGGAAAGTGGGGAGGGTACAAAATGCATGTGGAAAGTGAACTTTACTAACCAGTCCCTTGTACTTACGAGGATTAGAATACACACAGTGTATTACTCCAAATGAGTGATCCAAATTCTGTCTCTCCTGCACACCGTCCTCAGTAATCTCCCTCTAGTTCTGGGAATTTAGACAAGAAGATTCAGTGTCATCTGTCCTTTCAAGTGACGGCACAGTGGCCCCAGAAGCCCACTCAGGTCAACTTGGGGAAGACTGTGCCCGCATTCAGACACCTCCAGTTTCAGTTACATGCTCTCTTTAAGTCTCATTGGTGTATCTGTTTGACAGTTTACTCTTTGGTCTCAGAGACATCAGTGGCTTCTGGTTTTCACTATTTATGGTGCAGGGGGATAAAGGATGTGGGGATATGAGAAAGTGCTGAATTAAGAGGGTGTGGGCAGCTTGCAAAGCCATGCATGCTATAACCTTGGCCGGGTTTCACTTTCCTTCTCCAAAGTACAGTGTTTTTGCTCTAGAAGAGAGTGATAGGATTGCCCTGGCCCTGCCCATCTTACAAGGATCTCTGTGGATGTACATTGAAACAACAGATGCCCAATGCTGCACCCAGAGGCAGAATAATGCCTCCATCTCATTCCTTGCTATATATTTAGGGCTTGTGGGCCAAACTTGAGTCTTTATTTTTAGTACTAAAAAGAATTTCTAGGATTTGATCCATAGCAACACACACACACACACACACACACAACATAGGGTCCCACTTTAAGTGTGAGTGTATATGTGTGTGTATATATATACATATATATGTTTATTTATGGTGTAAAGTCATGGACTTGGATTGTAGATACAGGTATATCACAAAGATGCTCATGCTCCCAGGATCACCATCTTTATGACCTGGAGTGAATAGCTTAACTTTTTTGAATCTGAATTTACATTTTATTTATTTATTAATCTATAAGATAGGAATAGAGAGCCTAATAGACCACAAGATGGTCAGATGAGATCGTAACTGTGACAACTGGCACCCCGGATGAAATTCTCTGTTCCTAGGATTTCTACCCTTTCCCCTTTTGCATAGTTTTTTGGAGAATTTAAAACTCCAAACGTTTCTTTTCAAATTGTAGAGATACATTGCTACTGCAGAAACTTTGTTAGAATCAGGAAAACACATGTAAGAAAATAAGAAAATTTAAATTACTGTACTATCACTCCCCAAGCATCACCACTGCTAATATTTTAGTGACTCTCAGGCCAGAATTTTCTACTATGTTTATGCAATCAAGAATTACATATATAGCCTTGTCTCCAGTCTTTTCACTTCCTGCCCTAAGTAGGCATGTCCCTGCTTGATTAGCCTTGGAGAAGTTCACACTGACTCTTCATACATTGCTCTGGTATACCTTCCAGTTTTCAATACTGTAAATAACATTGCACTGAACATCCTTATTCACCCATCCATCTGTGGTGTGTGTGTGTGTGTGTGTGTGTGTGTGTGTGTGTGTGTGTGTGTGTGTGTTGAGTTCTTTAGGATAAATGTCCAGAAATAATTACCAGATTAAATGATAGGCACATTGCCAAGTATCATTTTAAATGATTTATTGTTGCGTGTGTGCTATGTGAGTGAGAATGCTTTTGGGCAGGTGCCATGGCACGTATGTGGAGGTCAGAGAACAACTTTTGGGAGTCAGTTTTCTCCTTCCACTGTTGGTTCTGGGGATCCAGCTCAGGCCACAAGGCTTGGAAAGCACTTTTACCTGCTGAACCATCCTGCCAACGAAAGTAGTATTTTATGTTTATTTATTTATTTATTTTGGTTTTCTTGTGTGTGTGTATGTGTATGTGTGTGTGCGTGTGTGTGAAAGCACATGTGTCCATGTGTGTATGTGTCCAGATGCCATGGCTTATGTATGTAGGTTAGAAGACAACTTCCAGAACTCAGTTCTTTTTTTCAACCACGTAGGTCTTGGTTATCAAATTCAAGCTGTCAGGTTCAGCATTAAGTGCCTTTATCTGCTAAGCCATCTTGCTAAACCCCATATTTTATGATTTGTATGACGTAGTCTCACTATGTAGCCCTGGCTGACCTGGCACTTGCTATATAGACCAGACTGGCCTTGAACTCACAAAGATCTGCTCACCTCTGCCTCCCAAGTGCTTAGATTAAAGGCATGCAATACCACATCCAGCTCCCAAGGAACAAAGTGTAGAAAAACATAGTGGGATCTGGAAAGATGACTAAGTGGTTAAGAGCACTGGATGCTCTTCCAGAGGATCCACTTTCAATTTCCAGCACCCACACAGGGGCTCACAAGCTTCTGTAACTGCAGTTGCAGGGCATCTGATGCTCTCTTCTGAATTCAGCAGTTCCTGCACTCATGTCTCAGACACATATATAAAAGCACACACACACACACACATACACACAGGTACACATGCAGATGTGTGTGTGTGTGTGTGTGTGTATTTTTCTTTATCCTTTCATTCAGCACGAATTTATCAGACACTTTGCAAATGTTAAGTAGGGGCCAGTGATGATGGATAGGACTGTGAATGTTATAGACCCACAGTTGCTTCAGGCTGCTTATGAGGTTAGGGAGAGAGGCAAGGGTCAGACAATGAACATCTGGTGGAGAAGAGCAGACAGGGAGGGTTAGTTGTCAAGCACCACAAGACAGGCTACTTTTTTCTTTCTTAGCTAGTCTCTCACAAATCATAGGCTGTCTTCAATTTCTCCTAAATCTCTAGGCCCTCTGAGTAAAGATCAACAAGGATGGGTAAAATAACAGACTTGAATTGGTCTTGCCAGAAATGTCAGAGTATTTGTTTCTTTTTGTTTTTTGGTTTTTCAAGACAGGGTTTCTCTGTGTAGCTTTGGAGTCTGTCCTGGAACTTGTTCTGTAGACTAGGCTGGCCTTGAACTCACAGAGATCTGCCTGCCTCTGCCTCCCTAGTGCTAGGATTAAAGGCATGTGCCATCAATGCCCCGCCCTGTTTCTAATTCTTAAGTAGGGCTATTTCTCTCTCCCATTCCAAGCCCATTCTCTGTGTGTAAAGCAGGTTGTGCATGTAAAAAAATATTAAATGTTGTCTTTTCTGTCAAACACCATAAAACTTTTATTTACAAAAAGGAATTAAAAGCTCTTTTTATCACCTCCACACTGTGAAAACCCCATGCAAATGTTTTAATCCCTCCCCGAGGCACACACTGTACAGCTTGTTTTTGGAAAGACCCGCTGCTTCAGTCTTTCAACTTCAGTGACTAAAGTGACAACTTCCTGAGTTATTTCCTTTCCTTTGCACCAATTCCTTTAAAGTTGGCAAATCTCAAGGGCTGGAGAGAAGGCTCAGCAGTTATGAGCACATGTTGCTCTGCAGAGGAGCCAAGTTCAGTTCCCAGCACCCATACTGGACGGCTCACAACCACCTATAACTCCAACTCCAGGGGAACCCCATGTTTCTGGCCCATATGTCAGTCAAGCACTCACATGTGAACACACACACACATACACATTTAAGAATAATGCTTTTTCCTTTTGGATAATTGTTTTTTTTTAAAGGAGAGAGGTGGCAACATGACTCAGGAGGAAAAGGCTCCTGCCAAACTGGAGGACTTGGGGTTTCCCTGGAACCTGCATGGAAGAGAAAAGTGACCTCTGGAAGTTGTCCTCTGTCCTCCATAGGTGCATCGTGACACTCTTGCACACACCCCTATAAATAGATAAATATAAAAAAAGATCACATTTGTTGATCTTTCCTGGTGCCCTTGTGCATTGCATGGGAGGCTATGGAGTGAACTTTCGCTGGTCACTTTTGACCTTCTCACATTCCCTGGGTGTATTTTGTTATCTCTCATGTTTCACCTGTCTAACTGGAGAAGGAAATGTGACATCAGATGCACACAATGAGCTGGGAAAGCCTCATGCCTCTCTCTCCCATCAGATGGGTTCCATAGGGGCTGGGAGGAAGTCACGGCAGGGTGTGCCTTTACCTCAGTCCTGACACTCTGCCCAGGGGAAGTGAGTTTATCAGCTCTGCAACATTACTGTCAAACTGACCCACCTCTTCAGCCCCCCCCCGACCCCCCAAGACTGGAGGGAATATGTGTGTGAAAATATACACTCGTTATTGCTGGGATGACAATCTCAGGATGTGAGGATCTAGCAATCATTAACCTGGAGAACCCTGTAGAAATTGAGATACAGAGGAAGGGAATCCTTATTTCCTTTCCTACTTGTCATCAAGCCTCTTGCTTCCTCCTGTCTTCAACTTGCTTATAAATCCTTCCTTAGCATTGGCTACCACAGGGCAGTCATCTTGTATCACACGGCAATTGCAGTTTTAACTTTCTCCTTGTTCATGGTTTTCATAGCCAGCCCCAGCTGCCTCTCAACCTTCCCATTTGTTACCTAAGGGAACTCTTCCCCCTTTCTCTCTCTCTCTCTCTCTCTCTCTCTCTCTCTCTCTCTCTCTCTCTCTCTCTCTCTCTCTCTCTCTCTCTCTTGACTGGGTTTCTCTGTGTAGCCTGGCTGTCTTGGGACTCTTTGTAGACCAGGCTGGCCTAGAACCCAGAGAGGGGTTTAAATGTATCCCAGACCCAGACACAACACAATGGCTTATTTATTAGAGAAACACTTAGACGTGTCTGTCTCTGCCTCCCAGAGTGCTGGAATTAAAGGCATGTGCCACCACCACCTGGCTATGAAGGAACTCTTAAGAGATGATACTGTTCCTTCCTGTTCAAAACATCATTCCATCCCTCCACCATAGGGAACATTCTTGGAGGGAAGCAGTGGGGTGGGGCCCCTATGTCTACCCACCAGGGTAAGAGAGCCACCTTGGTAAGTATGCTGGTGTACCGTCTGCCTTGGGCGGCCCTCAAGAGAACTGCGGTTTATCAGTGTTTGCCTCACTGATAGAAGCCACTGGCTTTGGTTTTTGAAACAGGTCAAGGTGTGGGCTTGCTCTGTGACAGGAGGGAAGAAATGGATGAACCAGAGGAATCACAATGGAAGTTGTCCATACTCCATACAAGACCTTTGTGTGAGTCTGACCCTCTCTATATTTAAATCTCAGTTCAAACCACACATGGTGGTGGCACATGGATTTAATCCCAACACCGGGGATGCAGGTCTTCTATGTAAGTTTGAGGTCAGTATGGTTTACATAGTGAGTTCCAGGCCAGCCAGGGCTACATAGTCTGTAGACCATGGTGGCCTCAAGCTCACAGAGATCCACCTGCCTCTACCTCCCAAATGCTGGGATTAAATGCGTGCATCACCACTGCCCGGCTACAAAAATCTCCCATTTAAAAAATGGGAGAACCATGCATTTCCATTTCACAGGTGAACAAACTGAAGGTCTGAACGGAAAATAGCCATTTTTACGATTAGTAAGCGGCTTGATTTAAAGAATGGAGTTCTCCACAATTACTGAGGGTACAGAGAAATTACTCTGGACCCCATCTCTGGTTTGCCCGGCTTCCCAGTGACGCGTGCGCAGTGCGGCGGCGGCGCCCCCTACTGGCCGTGCGCTGAAGGCCGTGGTCGCCAAAGGCGCCTAGTGCGCCTGCGCACAAGTGAGTGGGTGGCGGCCTACTACCTCTGCTTTGCTGTACGCTGGGCTGGCGCGGCAATGGCGCAGCAGGGGAAACTACTCAAGGAGCAGAAGTATGACCGGCAGCTGAGGTGAGCCAGGGTTTCCCAGGGAGCGAGCCGGCGGATTTGCGGGCTCTCCGGAGGCCAGCGGGGCTTATGTGCCTCGGCGGCGTGGGCGGGCCTCCCTTAGGCCTGACGCGGCGGCGCGGAGCGTGGGGAGCCGGCGCTCTGGGCTCTGGCCACTGGCCAGAGTGCTCGGCGGAGGCCGGGACGCCCCTTCCCGCAGGGCCGCGCCAGGCTGTGTGCGTTTGGGGGTCTCCTCGAACCTGTTCTGCACGGTCGCGGCCGTCCCCTGCGTTCACCGAACTAGAGGATCGGGAGTATCCCATCCCGACCGCAGTGCGCTGCCCCGAGTGTCTGATGCTGTTCCACGCCAGCGCTGTCCAATAGACATGCATAATGCTAGTTTCCTGTGAGCAACCTGTGTTCGCAGTTATATATTTTACAGTAGGCACCTTTGAAGCAAGTTAAAAGAAGCCGGACGTGGTGGCGGGGCTCGTTGGTAATCCCAGCACTTGAAAGGCAGAGGCAGGTGGATCGGAAATTGGGAGCCAGCTTGGGCTACATAGGAAGAACCTGGGGATGGGAAAGAGTAAAGAGACACAGGGAAGTAATTTTTGCTACTGCTGCTTCCTACCTCCCTTTATTTTGAGAAACGGTCTCTTGCAGCCCAGGCTGGCCTTGAACTCCAGCATCTATCTCCCAAGTGCTGAGATTGCAGATGTTCTCTGCCAGGCCAGGCTCAAAAACAAGTTTTTGCCTTTCTTTCACCCTTGAGTGTCCTGTAACTTGCTATGTAGACCTGGCTGGGTTCAAACTTGCAGCAATCCTCCTGCCTCTGTCCCAACAGCTGCGATTACCGGTGTGGATCGCCACATCCATTTTATTAGGTGCCCGAGAGTGGAACTCTGGACATCATGCATGGCTGATAAGCTGCCAAACTGAGCTACATTCCCCCCCTCAACCCCAGAATCACTTTTAAATAATGTTTATTTAACGTATTATGTCCAGAATATTACCATTTCAACATGGAATCATTGTGAAGAAGTTTCTCGGCTATTTTTTTTTTGTGTTCACACAGTCTTATAAATCAGGTATTTCACACATAAATAATGTCTTAATTCATGATGTCTGCATTTCTAGGACTCAGTAGCCATTTGTGAATAACCTTAATGGACAGGGCATATCCGTCAGCTACTTCCCCATCGTTGGTTTTTTGTTTGTTTTCTCTTCATTTCTTATTACCTTCTGTGTGTTGAGTCACAGAAGTTATAAAAGTGCTTGCCACCACCTCTGCTCTCAGGAGCTCCTACTATGCCCCTAAAGGAGGGAATTTCCCTTTGTACTGACAGTTAGTACTGCATCAGGGATTTAGACACTTAGTTCTGAGACAGACAGGGAAACTAAGACTTGTAAAAGTTAGGTAACTGGCCCAGATTTATGCATGTTTTCAACTTGGGTCCATTCAGCCTTTTCATACTCATCCTTTCTCCCAAGCTTCTAGAGAGAGAAAGAAGCCAACACAACTATAACTACTATGAGGTCTTATATACTATTGTAGCTTTTGTGTTTTGGGTATACATAAAACCATAGACAACAAAACTGAGAAGATATTGAAGGTTACTAGGAAGATATTGAAGGTTACACTGGAAGAGGAGTTTTGTTGAGTCCATTCCTTAAAGTACTAAATCTTATCCAGCATATTGAGAACTGCTTATGACGTTAGAAGGATTAGAAGGAAACAGAAATGAAGTTGGATGGGCAAGTAGCGGCCACGTGTCCCATCTCCATAGAAAAAAAAAGGTGTGTTTCTGGTCTGTGTGGTTTTCCCAAGCTATTCCTCCATTTGACAGCTATTCAGAGATCAGTTCTCCTAGGCCAAGCCCTGTGTCGGCAGTGTGGTCTGGGACCCTTTAAAGGGAAGAATAGATGCTCAGTAAATGAAAACTCAAATGGTGCAGTTTGTTGGGATAGGCTTTATTTTGGTGACAAGGAATGTCAGAGTCTTTTCTTAGTCCTCTAGGCATCTAATAGTACTTGTCTGGAAATGACATTTGCAAGTAATTTGGGCTTCCCCGTATTTCCTGTTCTGAAGAGAAAATAGTAGATTGCTTTTTTGACTGGGTTTTTTTTTTGGGGTGTGTATGTCAAAGAGTCAGGGAGTAAAGGTGACCAGATTGGCCCCAAAACCATGGTATGTCTGTGATCATGAACTTGTTAATGATATACCAGTATCAATCAGGTTATAACATGTATTTCTAATTCTTATTATACCTCCATGTTTGTTAATGTGTGCACCTTTTAATCATGCTAGAATATTCGTTGGCTATTTTCATATCTTTTTATAGATTTTCTTTACATTTGTATTTCAGTTAAACATTATATAATTTTCTTCTCCAGCTTTCTGGAAAGCTGAGACAACAGGTGCATATTGCCTCATTTGGCTAACACCTTTCTTTAATATTGATGAGTGTATCCCCAGGCTTTCTGTTCTATAAATTACCTGGTTTCAAAGGAGTAAAACAAAGACTAGAAAGACAGCTTAATAGTAATGATTACATGTATCATACAAAGGATGATTTACCAAAATTTTCATTTACATTGTCAGATAACCCTTACAATAATATCAGTTCATATCTCACATGTTTGCTATGGTGTGTTATGTTATTTTATGGAAGAATACTTTAAATATCACCATTCAAATGAGAAAGTCATATTTTTGAGAACTTTTTAGTGTTAAATTTATGTTTTGTTTTGTAGGTTGTGGGGTGATCATGGGCAAGAAGCTTTGGAATCTGCTCATGTTTGCCTAATAAATGCAACAGCTACAGGAACTGAAATTCTTAAAAACTTAGTATTACCAGGTAATGTAATATTGGTGATTGCTTTCTGGGTAACTTAAGGATCTCATAAAAAGTACATATTCTTGGACTGACAGGATGGCTTAGTGGCATCACTTGCTGTCATGCTTGGCAATTTGAGTTTGATCCCTGGAGCCCATATTGTGGAAGGAGAGAACCAACTCCCATGGGTTGGCTTCTCACCCCCTCATGTGTGCAATGGCGCAAGCACACTGACATTTAAATTGATTAAGTGTAAAAACAATCCAAAACCTATTTTTGGCTGTCTTTTGTCTCTGCAGGTATTGGATCATTTACAATTATTGATGGAAAGCAGGTCAGCGGAGAAGATGCTGGAAACAAGTGTGTCCTGTTCTTTTTTATCTTTTAAACTTAGTCTGGTGTATTTCTCATTGTACCACGGTATATAAACATGATTTTTTATAGGTGATCTATGATTTGCTCTTTAGAGATAGTCATATTTGGATTCTGAGAACATTTCCCAATTTGATTTCATATTTATTCTCCTCAGGGGTTTAGAGCCTGGGAATCTCTCATTATATTTGTCCCTAAATAACAAGTAAATATTAATTCAAGGAAAAACAGAATTTAGTTTATATTACTTTGATACTTTTTCTTTGGGTCATAGTATGTTTCTGCTATCCACAACACGACTCTTTTATTGGTATCTGTAAAATAATAAAAGTTATATTATCATTGCTTATCTTTTTGATTATGCAGACTGGGATAAGTATAAGGTTTCTTTTTCTTTTTTTCCCTTTTTAAAGATTTATTTATTTTATGTATGAGTGCTGTATCTGCATGTATGACTTTATGCCAGAAGAACCTGCCAAATTCCACTAGAGATGCTTGTGAGGCACCATGTGGTTGCTGGGAATTGAACTCAGGTCCTTTGAGGAACAACCAGTGCTCTTAACTACTGAGCCACCTCTCCAGCCCAAGGTTTCTTTTTCTTGTGGAACCTTGTTTCTTTGCCACACAGTTGTTCAGCAGCCTCAATTTAGGCCTATAGGTTATGGCCAGCATATGTGTGGGAGGAAGCCTGAATGAATCTTTTGTAATTTCTTGCAAAAACCAACAGTTCACTATAGCATTTCCCAGGTGTCTGCAGGATGTTGGTTATAGGTAATGTTAATAGCTCTTAAATGGGACAGTGGATTTCATGGTCAAATGAGTTTGGGGAATGGTTCAAAGGAGGTTAAAATTTCTTTACTATACAACTTTATTATCAGGTACATTATGACTTTCCAAGAAGGCAGTATAACATATGGTGTTTCCTCTTTTTCATTCTTGGAACTCTTTTCTCTCAGAGCATCTTGGGGAACACTGATTTACTAGCCTGTCCACTTTCCTTCTGCAAAAAGACCGTTATAGTCTTTTATGAAAATAGTGCACACACACACACTTGATATTTGAATGTGATACACACTATTATAAATGACAAACAACTTTTGCTTTACAGCCATATAAATCTTGACTTTTTTTTTCTATCCCCTTTAGTTTTTTCCTTCAAAAAAGCAGTATTGGCAAGGTAAGCAATCACTGTTACAAAGTAGGGTTGTATGTGAGCATCTAATAATGCACTATATCTTGGCTGCCAGAAAAGTTCTGACTTTAAAAGACCTTATTCTCTGAGTGAAAAGTTGGGTTAGCTCATTTTCTAATCTGGCAAATCTCTGTTGGTAGTGAAGAATTTTAGAGTACTGCCTGTGCTTTCACCCTACCCTTTATTGAAGTCCTGAGTAGCATTGATGTTCAGTGGATGGAGTATTATGGTTAAGAAATTAGTAAGTGGAGCTAGCAGAAATTCTTTATCTTTGTACTTTAAATGAAAACCTTAGAAATCCACGTTAATATTCTGAGTGGAAGTTGCACTTAGTTAATGATTGGCCACTCTTCGATGGCATTATAGACGTGGGTGGTTAGAGTGGGGTTGAACTTGACCTAGTATAACCCTTCCTGCCACCTATTTTTGTCATTTACTAGGTCAGAAAAGTGAGAGCAAATAATGTGGTCATTTAAGAACTCTGGTAGTGAATTTCTGGTTCAACCCTGAGTAACATTCTACTTGAGCTGCACTTAAATACTGAGGAGTAGAATTGTCAGATGTATGCATGAAATTTGGAAATTTTCAGTTTTTCTTGATCTGTAAGATTGGGGATCATATTGTAGCTAAGGACTTTCTAATTTAAGTCAAATGCTTTGTTTTTTGAAAGAACCGAGCTCAAGCTGCCATGGAATTCTTACAAGAACTAAACAGCGATGTCTCTGGAAGTTTTGTGGAAGAGGTATAATACATATATATACATTGATTTTCTATAATGCAGTGCGTTTTTAAAAATAATTCAAAGCCCCAACACTTAGAATTTTGAATCATTGTATCACTTATATTTAGTTGGAATTTAATTTGTCAATTCATTTATTTTAGCATAGCTTAACTGCTTCTGCCGTGTTTAATGTGTGAAATTGTTGAATTTTTCCTCCCCTTGTCTTATTTAGAGTCCAGAAAACCTTCTAGACAATGATCCTTCATTTTTCTGTAGGTTTACTGTTGTGGTTGCAACTCAGCTTCTTGAAAGGTAAATTTTAGATGTTAATATCTTTCTTAGTCTTACTTTATTTGCATAATTTTCTCTGTGTACATTTTTTCTGTATACATATTTTGTCTGATTTGTAAAATTCTTAAAGAAGCATTTAATTTGTTCTTGTATGTATTCTAGCTTTGAAAAGATAGGACGAAAAATGAGATATTTGGATATATTTAGAGCACTTTAAGTTAACATTAGATATTGCTAAGTAATGAAATATTAATTAGAAGCCAAGTATGGTGCTATATGCCTGTAAACTCAGCATTCAGATTTTGAGTTTGAAGCCAGCCTGGCCTACACAGTAAGTTTCAGTCTAGTTTGAACTACATAGTGAGATTCCGTGTTTCAGAAATACCAAAACCCAGAAAATTAAAAACAAATTAGTTAAATTGTTATTGATTGCAGAAGATTTATAGGTGTATACAAGGGTTTTATAAATGGTCTCATCATCATAGAAATGATTAGATAGAACTCGGCATGGTGGTGCATTCCTTTAATTCTAGCACTAAGGAGACGGAGGCAGGCAGATCTCTGTGAGTTGAAGGCTACCCTGGTCTATAGAGTGAGTTCCAGGACAGTTAGAGCTGTTACACAGAAAAACCCTGTCTCACAAAACCAAAAACCAAATCAAAAGAAAACAAAAGTTTAGTGTTTTTACCAGCATTCTTCCTAGTAAAACAGATTAGGGTCTCATATCCTTGTAGTCCATCTTTTGAGATTGCAGCCAGGTGAAATTGCTTGCTTTCTACTAAACTCTTGCCTGTTTATGTTAGACATTCCGTGCCTGGCGTATATTCACTTGCTTACGTTCTTACTTTACCTTCCTTTACAGTACGTTACTTCGTTTAGCAGATGTCCTCTGGAATTCCCAGATCCCTCTTTTGATCTGTAGGACATATGGACTAGTTGCTTATATGAGGATTATTATAAAAGAGCACCCAGGTAAAATTATTAAACATATGGGAATTGCTATTGGTTGTTTGAGCTCTAATTTTAGAAACTTGTTAATTTATAAAATCAGTTTTAAGTTACAAAATAAATTTATAAAGCAGTGTATCTCTGGCTATAAATTCAAAGGTTCAAAGAAGCAATCAGATTCAATAGCTTTTCTTAATTTACTCGTTTATATGTGTATGGATGTATTGCCTGTATGTATGGCTATATACCAAGTGCCTGGTGCCTGCAGAGTCCAGAAGAGGGTCTCATATCATCTAGAACCAGAGTTAGATGGTTGTGAGCCACTGTGTTGATCCTGGAAACTGAACCTGGGTCCTCAGAAAGAGCAACCACTGCTTTTAATCACTGCGCCACCTCTCTAGACTGATTTCGTAGGTTTTTGTCTGCTATTTCCTTACATAGCATAGCATTATAGATGGACACAGATGAGAGACATAGTGTATTACTTCTTCGTTTTGTTAAGTTTGACAGCTATGTGAGACCCTGGCTCCTTTTCTTCCTAACTCAAGTAGGGCTTTATGGCTACCACAAGAGTGCGTGTGTCACTTTGATACAGACAGTGCACTAGTGGTCTCTAACCTTCCTAATGCTGCCACCCTTTAACACAGTTCTTCATGTTGTGGTGACCCCAACCATACAGTGATTTTGTTGCTACTCCATAACTAATTTGGTATGGTTATGAGTTGTAATGTAAATTACCTGATATGCAGGATATCTGTTATTTGAACCCCAAGTAGTCATAACCCACAGGTTGAGAACCACTGCATTGTACAAACATTTCACACCAGTCTTTTGTTCTAGTCTCATACTGGCTTTAGATTTCCTATTTCATGTTTAGTTACACATGATAAGCTTTTTTCCTTACTTCTATTCCTACAGAAACAGTGTTAAAGGAGACCAGAGACATTCGTGGGCAGGCTTACATTAGCCAAGACTGATATCAGCTCTTCCTATAGAATCAGTCTTAGAATTTATAAAATTTTCCTGTAGTACTCTAAAAAAATGTTTCTACTGAGTAGTGTTTTCATTCTATGCCAGCTATGCCAGGCACTCTGTTCGTGTAACAATAGCTATTGACAATGACAGCATCCCAAGCAGGTAGGATAATCTTTTGGCAAGTGATGTTGGGCTATTTAACAGGTAAAAGTGTGTGTATTTCTGTGTGTGTGTGGGGGGTGATGGCACACACCTTTAATCCTAGCACTGGGAAGGCTGAGGCAGGCAGATTTCTGTTAGTTCAAGGCCAACATGGATACAGGGCAAGTTCCAAGACAGATGGGGCTACATAGAGAGACCCTGTCTTGGAAACAAAACAGAATAAAAACACAAATGACATTTGCTGGGCTGTGGTGGTGCACAGCTTTAATCTTAGCACTTGGGAGGCAGAGACAAGTGGATCTTTGTGAGTTCCAAGCCAGCCTGGTCTATAGAGCAAGTTCCATGACAGTCAGGGCTACACAGAGAGAAACTGTATCTTGAAAAACAAAACAAAAAGTTAAAGATGGGAAAGTGACAGAGTAAACTTTTTATTTTAAGCAGATCACCCTGATGTTAAGTAGAGAGTGAGGGACTTAAAGGAGCAAAGATTGAAGGCTGTGAAATTTCTGGTGGTATGATGGGAGGAGGGGTGAGGAAGGGAGAGGGATGGGGAGAGGATGAGAGCCTGCAGCTTTGGCAAGATGTTTTAGGAATGGCTAAACGGAGATAGGCGGTGATGAGGGTCAGCATTGTTAGCTGTATGTCTGCTTTCATGTAAATGATTATTATGCTCTTATTACCATGTCTGCATAGGAAGATATTTGTTACTTGTCTAAAGTGACATAGCAAGTGGCAAAATTACAACCTCATTACAAGCACTCACTGAAATTGTACCTTGTTTTGTATTCTCTCGCGTGGAGAGCTGTGTCCAAAATCAGATCAGGAAGTGGAGAGTAACTGCTGTTGAGGTAAAAGAAGCAAACACCCATGATATCCTCAGATTTCTAGGGAAAAGGGCTATGTAGGTAGTGGTGCTTTCTGTTGAAGAAGATGGAGAAGGAGCATAGATTGCCAGGAGTTGCCTATGCAGACATTTGTCAGCCTTTCTCAGTTTTAGTAACAAATTCTGTTCTAAAGGAATTGTGCTTTCATTAAAACTAATAGTCAGTCAGATGTGGTAATACACATGCCTGTAATCCTAGTACTAAGGAGATTGAGGCGGAGGAAACTAGAGTTCAAGGCCAGGCTGGGATTGCCTTAAATAGATCCTTACAATCCACTTACGATTTGTAACTTCAGTAACACAGTGAAAAAAAAAACTCAGTAGATTATAGATTTCCACCAGGCGGTGGTGGCGCATGCCTTTAATCCCAGCACTATGGAGGTAGAGGCAGATCTCTGTGAGTTCAAGGTCAGCCTGGTCCACAGAGCTAGTTCCAGGACAAGCTCCAAAGCTACAGAGAAACCCTTTCTAGAATAATTAAAAAAGAAAAGATTATAGATTTCCATCCAGTGATGGTGGCACACATCTTTACTTCCAGCACTTAAGAGGCAGAGCTCTGTGAATTTGAGACCAGCCTGGTCTACATTCATGCATGCAATCAAGGCTAAAGTGAGATTATGTCTCACTAACACACACACACACACACAATTATAGGTGTGTTGGTGGCTCATAACAACAACTAGGATGATGAGGCAGGAGATTGCCATGAGTTCAAGGCTAGCCTGGGCTATAAAATAAGGACCCCCACCCCATTTCCAACCAACTGGTCACACAAACAAAATGTATGAGTGTGTGTGTCTTAAGTCTTAAGTTCCTATAATATAGTATATTACTAAAGAATTAAATATATCTCTTGGGATTGTTTGACAGTAATAGAATCACATCCAGATAATGCATTGGAGGATCTACGTCTAGATAAGCCATTTCCTGAACTGAGAGAACATTTTCAGTCTTATGATTTGGAGCATATGGAAAAAAAGGTTGGTAGAGAGATCGAGAGGGAGAGAGAGAGAGAGAGAGAGAGAGAGAGAGAGAGAGAGAGAGAGAGAGAGAGAGAGAGAGAGAGAGAGAGAGAGAGAGAGAGAGGGAGGGAGGGAGGGAGGGAGGGAGGGAGGGAGGGAGGGAGGGAGGGAGGGAGGGAGGGAGGGAGGGAGGGAGGGAGGGAGGGAGGGAGGGAGGGAGGTGTGTGTGTGTGTGTGTGTGTGTGTGTCCTTAAGTTTAGACTTAAACTTCTTTTGACTTTTTGAAATGGTCTCAAGAAATAAACCTGGTTGGCCTAGAATATACTGTATAGTACAGGCTGACCCTCATATGGTGACAGTCCTCCTGTCTCTGCCTCTTCCAGAGTGCTGAATTAAGAGTATGTGCCACTGTGCCTGGCTTCAATTTTTTATTTTTTTAAACCTAAGGTTTTTCGTAGATATATATCTCCATTAATATATCAACATGGAAAAGTATTGTAAATTCATATTCCTGTTTTGATAAAGAAAAGTTAAAAAAAAAAAAAAGAAAACTCATGTGTAGCCCTGGCTGGACTAGAACTCAGCAGTAGATCAGACTAGTATCTAACTCTCTGCCTTCCAGGTACTGAGAAAAAGGGCATACTTCATTACACCTGGCTAAAAAACTTTTTTATTGAAGAAAAGTAGATAAACTGAAGTTTGCTGTGTAGTCATTACCCAAGTCAAGAAATTAGACATTAATTTATCCTAGAAGTTCTGTCCATGGCCCTATTTCTCCAGGGAATTTTAAATTCCTTTCAACCTACAGTTAATTAAAAGCAAATATTCATTTGGTTATCAGAAAACAGCAAGTTCTCATTTTTCAGCCTAGTATTGATACCTGAAATTAAGAGATTAGAGCTGTACCTTTGGGTGCTGTGTCTGACACTATTTTCTCACTGAAAAACAAAAGGGACTGTTGTATACCCGACATATGAGAGCTAAAGAAGACACTGCCTCTAAAATCAACCTCAGTCTTTCTGTGTGTGTGTGGTGGGGAGGGGGTGTTTACAGAAAGCTAGGCATGCACCTGTGGAGCCAGAGGTCAACTTCAGGTTCTCTCAGTTGCGTTCTACTTTGCTTTTTGAGACAGTGCCTTGTCATTGAACCTGGAGCTAGCCCTTCATGTAGGGTGATTGGCCAGTGAGAGCTCCAGGATCTGCCTGCCTTGACCTCCGTTCACTGAAGTTTCTGCTTATAGCCATGTCTGGCTAGCATTTCACTCACTGAACTACTCCATAGCAACTCAGAAATCATTTCTAAAACCTTTTTATCAAACTAGTTCCTTTGTCTCTGTTTATTACCTCATATGTATTAGAAGATAGTTGTAAATACTGAAAACTAGATGGTATAAGTGAAGAATTAATACTAATACTGATATTTTCTTCATTTTGTGTCTCATTTTTAGGACCATAGCCATACTCCATGGATTGTGATCATAGCTAAATATTTAGCACAGTGGTATAGTGAAGTACGTCATTTTTTTTATTATATAAAGCTCTTTTGAGTGTTGTGGGAGGTTAATATTTTCCTCTGTTAGAGTATATTGCAAATGGGAACTTTTAAGTTTAAATTCAACTACCACTCTTTCAATACTGATCTTTTAATTAACAAATTGGAATTTCAGTAAATTTCATCCTAAAACTACTGTAAGGAATAAATAGAAAGAAATGGTCTATGGTTACTCTTTCCAAATTAAGAGAGCCTCTGATATCACTGATAATATATATACATATACATATATATGACATTTTTTGATAAAATCTTACTGTGGAGAATGAAGAAAACTTTAGACACTCAATTTCCATATTTTGAATTTGAATAACTAGATTTTTAAAATTTTTAATCAATTTAGACAAATGGACGAATTCCTAAGAGCTATAAAGAAAAAGAAGACTTCAGAGATCTAATTAGACAAGGTAATTTTCTGCATTATAACCAAGTATTATATACATTTTGAAAAAAGTAATTGCTTGAAGCCAATATTTATTGGACTTCTCTTTTCAGATGATGCCATCATGAGTACTTAATTTTACTTTTCCCTTGGGAATAAATAAGCCATTTTTAAATAGTTTAAGAAGAACAAATATTAGCTGTATTTCCTGTTAAAGTTTAGCATTCTGACCCTCTGTTCAGAGCCTCACAAGGTTTTTCTGTGTTGGGAAGACAAAATAGAAAGAGCCGATGTTTGTTTACTATTTCTTACTTTAATAGGGATTTTAAAGAATGAGAATGGAACTCCAGAAGATGAAGAGAATTTTGAAGAAGCTATTAAAAACGTGAACACAGCATTAAATGTAACTCAGGTATTAAAGGAATTATTAAAGTCATAACCAGTATGTTTTCTGATATAAAAGTTTATATAACAATTTATCCTAATATTGCTTAAATGCATAGTAAGTTAGAAATAAGTACCTATAGCTTAATTTGATTTTTTAATTTTTTTCTTTTTATCTTCAAGACAGTGTCTTTCTATGTAGCCCAAACTACCTTTAAATTTGCTTATATACACCAGGCTAGTCTTGAACTTGTTGTGATACTTCTGTCTCTGCCTCTCAAGTGTTGAGATTACAGATATGTGCCATGCCTAGCCCAAAACTTGAGATTTCTTTTAATATGGTTTTGTGCCCTGTCTGGCACAAACTCCACCACTTGGGAAGAGGGGCAAGAAGATTAGTAGTCATCCTTCACTACAAAGCAAGTTCAAAACCAGCTGGGCTACCTGAGACTTTGTCTCAAAAAAAGTTTTTAAAAAAAGCTTTCTATTATTTAAAATGTTAGTGCATCAGCATCTAATAGGAATAAAATAGGTTATTTTTGTTCTTTTTCATTTAGAGAAAAATATAAATTATTTTAAGTATATGATTTATGGATAGTTGAGAATTTGGACGTAAGAATTATAAATAATAGTCAAAAGAAGCATTACTCAGCTAGGTGGTGGTGGCTCAGGCCTTTAATCCCAGCACTTGGGAGGCAGAGGCAGGTGGATCTCTGTGAATTCAAGGCCAGCCTGACTTAAGGAGTGAGTTCCAGGACAGCTGAGTCCTCACATAAAAACCATGTCTGTGGGGGAGGGGAGTCGTTATCCAAAAACTGAAATTTTGTTACCCTGCATTTTCTTCTGACAGCCGATATTTAGATTGGAGATGTTACAAATGACTTGTACACTTCAAAAATTATAGTCCAGGTATGGTGGCTTATGCCTGTAATCTTGGTGCTTTGGAGGTTGAGGCAGGTAGATTATGAATCTGAGGCCTGAAGCCAGCCTGGTCTACATAGTGCATTTAAGCTCAGTTTAGGCTACAATAGTAAAAGAGACTTTTATTATCATTATTACTATTTTTCAGTTTGGTCAGGTTTGTTTTTAATTTGGGGAACTATGGAATAAGATAATTTCTTTGTACAGTTCATTAGCCAGAGTACTGCCTTTCATATTAGGAAAGCACTGTAGACATTTTGAAGACTTTCAAACAGTATTGCTAAGTGTATGCTTTGTAAGTCAGTCTAGCTGAAGAACATCTGTCTTAGTTGGAGAATATTAAAAATGTGTATGTATAACTATCAAAGTGTACATATTAGATCTGTGCATTTTTACTGAAAAAAAATCAGTTTTAAAACTGAAGAACTAATATTCTAAAGCCAGGCATGGTAGCATATGCCTGTAATTCCAGCACTAGGGAGACGGAGGAAGCAGATCAAGACCACATTGTCCCCACAGTGAATTCAATTTAGCCTTGGTCACAAGAGACCTTGTCTCGAAAATAAAACAGAAATACGAACATCTGATCTTTGACAAAGAAGCTAAAAATATACAATGGAATAAAGAAAGCATCTTCAACAAATGGTGCTGGCATAACTGGAGACTGGCATGTAGAAGAATGCGGATCGATCCATGTTTATCGCCATGCACAAAACTTAAGTCCAAATGGATCAAAGACCTCAACATAAATCCAGCCACACTGAACCTCTTAGAAGAGAAAGTAGGTGGTACCCTTGAACGAATTGGTACAGGAGACAGCTTCCTGAACATAACACCAGTAGCACAGACAGTGAGATCAACAATTAATAAATGGGACCTACTGAAACTGAGAAGCTTCTGTAAGGCAAAGGACACAGTCAGCAAGACAAAAAGGCAGCCCACAGAATGGGAAAAAATATTCACTAATCCCACATCTGACAGAGGGTTGATCTCCAAAATTTACAAAGAACTCAAGAAGCAAGTCTCCAAAGCATCAAAGGACCCAATTAAAAAGTGGGCTGCAGAACTAAATAGAGAGTTTTCAATAGAGGAGTCTAAAATGGCTGAGAGGCACTTGAGAAAGTGTTCAACATCCTTAGCCATCCGGGAAATGCAAATCAAAACAACTCTGAGATACCATCTCACTCCTGTCAGAATGGCTAAAATCAAAAACAACAATGACAATTTATGCTGGAGAGGATGTGGTGAAAGAGGGACACTCCTCCATTGCTGGTGGGAGTGCCAACTGGTTCAGCCACTTTGGAAATCAGTATGGAGATTCCTCAGAAAAAGGGGAATAAACCTACCACAAGACCCAGCAACTCCACTCTTAGGCATATATCCAAAAGATGCCCATTCATACAACAAAGATGTCTGTTCCACTATGTTCATAGCAGCTTTATTTGTAATAGCCAGAACTTGGAAGCAACCTAGATGTCCCTCACCTGAAGAGTGGATAGAGAAAATGTGGTACATCTACACAATGGAGTACTATTCAGCAGAAAAAAAGTAATGGAATCTTGAGATTCGCAGGCAAATGGATGACACTAGAAGAAACCATCCTGAGTGAGGTAACCCAGTCACAAAAAGAGAAACATGGCATGTGCTCTCTCATATATGGATTTTAGACATAGATCTGGGGAGTGCCAGCCCACAATCCTATGGCCAGAGAGTCTGGGAAACAGAAACTTCATTTAGCGGCTGATCGAAGAAGAGGCAGACTCCCTTGGTTAAGTACTGAGCTGAACTCAAGAAAACCAGTAACAGAGAGGGAGGACTGATGATTAAAGGGATTAAGACTGGGCCGGTTTAACCCCCAGAAACAGCTGACCAGACAAAGGTTAACTCTTGAATCCCAGGTATCAGCCTGGGAATCCAGCATGGGACTGATCAAGACCCCCTGAATCTGGGTGTCAGTGAGGAGGCCTAGGTAATCTATTGAGCCTTGGGCAGCAGATCAGTACCCATCCCAAGTATACACACGGACTTTGGACTCCCATAGAACAATGTGAGGTGCCCTCTCACCCTGAACTCTTGGGGAAGGGTCTAGGCCCTGCCCTATATGAAATGACAGACTATGGACACCCCCATGGAGGGCCTCACCCTCCCTTGGGGAATGAGGGGAGGATAACGGGGGGGGGGAGGGAAAGGGAGAGGGACCTGGAACTGACTTGTGAAGCAACCTTGTTTCTTATCTAAATTTGAACTGGAAAATAAAATAAAAAATAAATAAATAAATAAAAATAATAAAACAGAAAAATGGTTCTAGGAGTTGGGGAACAGTAAATCAGATAGTAATGTATAAACAAAATAAGAATATGATAAGGCAGAAGGGGGTCTGGGTTTGGGAGGCAGTATTAGATAGAGAGCCAGGAGAAGACCTCATGAAGTGACATCCAGAGGTCTGGTAGAAGAGCTTTTCAAGCAGAGGACACATACAAAGGTCATGAAATGAGATGAAGTTTCATGTCTGTTAGAGGATCAGTAGGAAAGTCAATGTAATTAAAGAAGAAAGAAAGTGGTAGGAAGGATTTGAGTTTGGAGAGTTAGAAAGGGCTATATGGTAACAGAATCTTACAGACCATTGAAGGGTTTTGAGAGGGAAGTAGAAAGATTTGCTTGATTTTGAGACAAGATCTCACCATATGTAGCCCTGGCTGACCTGGAAATCATTAGTAAACCAGGCTGGCCCTGAGATCACAGAGATTTGCCTACCTCTGCCTCCTTGTGCAGGGATTAAAGGTGTGTGCCATCCAAAAGACTATTTTGAATAGAATAGAGCATGTGGGGGTGGAAGTCAAGTGGTTATCACTAAGAACTCTCTTTTATCTACACAATAGCAGAATCAAAGCCTACAATTTATAAAGTTTTTATTAGTGTGGCAAACTTGCTAGCAATAAAATTGTATAATTACTTTTTTTTTTTGTCAAAGTGGTTGTCTCTTTCAACAGCCTTGAATTAGGATGCATGGATTTCAGGATTTTCATAAGCTGGGAAACCATGAACAACTTTAAATCTAGCTTTGTAGTAATATCCATAATTTTTGTTGTCTTCAGATACAATTATAAATGACTTACTTGAGCTCTTCTTTATTCCATGTATGACATAGGAGAATAGGCATGTGTGGAATGCTTACAGTGGGCAAGAGAGATTTTCTTCCATGTTCTTCCCTCTTCAGACCACCATCAGATTCTGATTCTAAATAAAACTAAATACATCAGAAGTTGATATTTTACTGCACTTTGAAAATGCAAAAAACCACTTGAAGAAATAGCATTGAAAGTAAAGGTGGACAGAATTCTTAATGTAAGTAAATGTTTTATGTTCTTTTGTTAGGTCCCAAGCAGTATTGAAGATATATTCAATGATGATCGCTGCATAAATATCACCAAACAGGTAACAAGAAGTAAAGATGCTGCTGCTTTCTGCTCCAGCTCAAAATAAACACCCCTCACTTGTAGTTTTTCCTTGTTCTTTTAGACCCCACCTTTTTGGATACTAGTCCGTGCCTTAAAGGAATTTGTGGCCAAAGAAGGCCAAGGAAATCTACCTGTTCGAGGCACAATTCCTGATATGATTGCAGATTCAAGCAAATACATAAAACTGCAGAATGTGTAAGTGACTGTTTTTGTTATTGTTTGGTTTGTTTTTCAAAGCAGGGTTTCTCCGTGTAGCCCAGGCTGTCCTGGAGTTAGTTTTGTAGACCAGGCTTGCTTAAAAGTGTGTACTACCATACTCTGCTGACTGTTTTTAAACTGTGTAACAGACTACTTAAATCTACCCTGCTAGAGGGACTCAGGACCCTGGTTTCTGACAGCGAACTCAAAAAAATACTAACAACTTACCTCCTTGAAGTAAGTGAAGTAAAATCACATACTTCAAACCTGCCCCATAAATCATGTAATCTTTTAAAAATGTTACATTTTAAATGTTTTAATGTTGCATTTTAAAATGTTTTATGTGATTTATATATCATACACACACACACACACACACACACACACACACACACACACAAATTTTTCAATGTAAGAATCATCAGAATTAAAGCTCTCCCAGATAAGGTCATACTTCTTTTTTGGGTGAGAGTGATACTATTAGGAATTGAACCTACGTCCTCGTATACATGCTAAGCAAGAACTCTACTACTGAACAATGTCCCTAAAGTCATACTAGTTTCTATTTTCAGCTGTCCTTTCCCAAATTTCATTATTTCAACTCTTAGACTAGGACAACAAACCAAGATTTGCTAGACACTGACCGAGATCTTCTCTGTATGGCAATACTTGGCCTTGGAGGAAGCCAAGCCAGTACCCTTGGATTCCTCAGAACCATACCCCAGTTACAAAAAGGTAAATCCATGGAGACCAAACTTTACAAGTCTTTGTCCGAGCAGGAATACCTGGATAATAGGAATTTATTTACAGTCATTGACTCCTTAAGTTATGAAATATTAATTACCAAAAGAAAATGATTAAAAATAAAGACTCCATGGATGTTGCCTGGGTGGATTTAAGTTGGGTGCTGTAGAATATAATGGGAGTCTTGTTTTAGCGGACTCCAAAAGTCTTACTTCTAGTTCCTAAAAGACTCCTGACTAGTGTGAGGTGCTGGTAGCATTTCTCTAGCATTTTCAATTTCATATGTTCCTAAATCAGTATTTTTTATTAAAAATAAATTTTTGTTCACTTAAACATGATTTAAGTATTGCTAACTTTAGAAGTTAATTGTAGAGGTTTTTTTTTTTAATTGTAGGGGTTTTGTTGTTGTTCTCTTTTAGTTACCGTGAGAAAGCAAAGAAAGATGCTGCTGCCGTGGGTAATCACGTTGCCAAATTACTTCAGTCTGTTGGCCAGGTAAGCTGCTGAGCATATTGCACCTTGACAGTAAGTACAACTCCTACGGGCATAGAACTCAGCCAGGGAGGGGTTAGAGACAGAAAGCATTACCCTAGCTTCTTGTTTCTTTTGCCTAACTACTGAGAACCCCTGTTAAAAGAAAACAGGTGTGTGTGAAATGTTCTCCCAACTCTTGTAGAGAGCTGCTCATTTCATTGAGCCCTTGGCTATTGGCTTTGAGCTGTGCCCTCTGTTATCTTTTGTGTGTGTGCATGTGCTGGAGAGAAAACTTCATTTATCTCTTTGTAGGCACCGGAGTCCATTTCAGAGAAAGAATTAAAATTGCTTTGTAAGTCCTTTTAATTTCCTATTTTGCTTGATAAAAATGTGCTACAGAGACTGTTCTCGGGAGTTTTAAATGGCTGAAATTCTCAAAGTGAGTTGTGTGTGTCCTTAGGTAAAATTTTTGCTTTATTATCTTGTAATAAAAAGGAAATTTTAAGACTGAGTCATAGACTCTCATTTGATCTGTGTTAAATGACTGTAATGGAATTAAGAATTTGCCATATAGTTCATGGCTGGGCTTCTGGGGTTTTCTCCTAATTCTTCAGTGGGTAAAAGCATTTTCTTTGAGTCAGTTGGGGAGATAGCTCAATAGGTTAAGTGCTGGCCATGCAACCATATGAGGAACCGGGTTCACTTTATCTGAAATGGTGAGCTCTGGGTTTGTACAAGACCCTGTCTCAAAAAAAAAAAAGGTGGAAAAGAAAAAATACTACAGTAGAGATAGAAGATACTCAGAATCAATCTCTATTCACCACATGGTACACATATGGGTAAGCACATCCATGCATATACCACACACCCAAGTAAAGGCTTCAAAAAGTTAGTTGCAGGGCTAGAGAGATAGCTTATCAGTTAAACAGAGGAAGCCCCAAGGAACATACACATGATGGACACGAACAATTTTAAGCCTTTCTTACACACAAAACTGAGAATATAAACAAAGCAGGAATTAGTTCATACAATTGATACTCAATATTTAGCATAACCTACTATACTGTGGCCACTCAATAAATTTTTTATTGAATAATGCTTAAATTTTTATTATTAAATTATGTGCATGTCTGTGTATGGATATGCGTACCTGCAGAGGTCAGACGTATCAAATCCCCTTGGAGCTGGAGTTACAGGTAGTCATAGGTACCTGATGTGGATGCTGGGAAGTGAACTCGTTTCCTCTCTGTTAACACCAAGCTCTCTTAACTGCTGGGTCATCCTGTAGTCACAATTTCTTGCTCTTAAGGTGACCCATAATTAAGTGTATTCACTTGCCGTAATCATTCTGAAGTCTTTACTGTTTGCAGGCAGCAATTCTGCATTCCTTCGAGTGGTAAGATGTCGCTCTTTAGCTGAAGAGTATGGCTTGGATACAGTCAACAAAGATGAAATTAGTGAGTATAATAACTAAATGCCAAGTTAAAAGTTATTACTAAAATGTGTATAATAGTGTTAAATGGTTTTATAAAATATATTTTCATATTCTATATTATAGATTTGCCTGGATGATTTTAATTTATATATGCTAATATATGGTATACAAAAATAAATACAGAACACTGTATTTAGATTACTGAGTGCATTGTGTGCTGTATATAAGAAGTAACACCATCGTGTTTCTACTTTGGATTATTGGTGGTTTTGTTTTAGTTTCTTTGTTTTGTTTTGTTTTGTTTTGTTTTGTGACAGGGTTCTCTGAGTAGCAGTTCTTGTCTGTCCTGGAACTCCCTTTGTAGATCAGTCTGGCCTGGATCTCAACAGAGATCCGTCTGCCTCTGCCTCCCGGGTGCTGGGATTAAAGGTGTGCACCACCATTCGGCTTTGTTTCTACTTTGGTAGATACTCCAGCTAGTAGTCCATAAGACCCTTGGGTTATATCTTGACATACTTCTTATTTATAATTTTATACTTTATTTTCATAAAAGATTTATACTTTTTGCTAATATTGTTTTCTATCCAGAAGCATGAATTCAGCCTTTTGTTGTTTGTATGCTGTAAGTTGTCCAGCTCTACTGTGTTTTTTTCTTTCAGTTTCTAGCATGGACAATCCAGATAATGAGATAGTCCTGTACCTAATGTTGCGGGCTGTTGATCGATTTCATAAGCAGCATGGCAGATACCCAGGTAAGAAAAGCAGTTGACTTACTAAATAGAAAGAAAATAGCTGGGCAGTGGTGGCTCACACCTTTAAGGCCAACACTTGGGAGGCAGAGACAGGAGGATCTCCTGAATCTGAGGCCTACAGAGCAAGTTCCAGGACAGCTAGGGCTACACAGAGAAACCCTGCCTCTAAAAAATCTAAAAAAAAAGTGCTTTTGGCTTTTCATTGTTTTGTAGTTTGGGTTTTTGTTGTTGTGTTTTGAGACAGGATCTTACTTAACTCAGGCTGGCCTTGAACTTGTGATCTTCTTTCCTCACACTCTTAAGTGCTGCGTTTATAGGCATGAACTATCTCACATCTGGCTCAATAAAATCTTGAACAAAACTTGACCTGATGCCAGGTGTGGTGCCCTCATCTTTAATCCCAGCACAGGGGAGTCAGGCAGGTGGATCTTATGAGTTTGAGGCCAACCTCATCTACATAATGGACAGCCACTGTTGTGTAGAGAGAAACTGTCTAAAACAAATAACAAAGAAGCAAAAACTGGCATTGGTGGTACTAGACTTTAATCACAGCACTTGGGAGGCAGAGACTGGAGGATCTCTGAGTTCAAGGCCAGTCTCTTATATAGACTGAGTTGCAGGACAGCTAAGGCTATACAGAGAAACACTGTTTCAAAACAAAACAAGAACAACAAAAAAGCACAAAACAAAAAACACTTGACCTGAATTTCAGTATTCTGTGGGTATTTAGAGAAACTACTATTTGATTTTTAAGGCTAACTACTTACAGGTCATTTGATTCAAAACTATTAGAGAGGAGTATTGGTTGAATATGTATACAAGGAAAATTTTTTTCTGCTAGTTGTCATAGTTGACTTCTGTTTTCTGTAATAGTCTTTTTTTTAAGTCACTAACATATCTCCTGTGGGTTTATTATTATTATTATTATTTTGTCTTTTTAAAGTGTGTGTGTATGTGTGTTTGAGACAGGGTTTCATTCTATAGCTCAGATTGCCCTTGAACTCACTGTATAACCCACACTGGCTTCAGTCTTGTAGTAATCCTTCTGCCTCCATCTCCAAAGTGCTGGGATTAGACATGATCAATCACAATCAGCTTTTGTAGTTTTTAAAGCCTGGCCTGGAACTTGCTGTTTATCACAGGCTGGCTTTGAACTTGATCTTGCTTTATCCTTCAGAAAACTATATGTGAATGTGTACCACCATTCCCAGCTCATAGTTTACACCTGTAATCAGAATAAGTTTAACCTGAAGGACTAGGAAACCCACAAGCAGTATATCAGTGACATCTGAACTCTGAAGTCTATAAAGATACAAGGATTTCCTTGCTTAGTATTTTTTGTTGTCTTCAAAGGCAGTACTTGGAAAACTTGTATAATCTTAAAGATCCACAATATTCAGAATGTTTTTTGGCAATTGTAATTGTGCAGAATTATTGCCTAACAATGCATTCTAGATAGTTCATAAAACCAGTTGTCCCAACTAATGAAGTAACCCCCAGTTTATAGGCACAGTGAACACATTTACTAGAAGGGAGAAAAGAATCATTAAGCATATGTTGGTGGCTTATACTATTTGACTAGAATATACTTTGATTATTTTTTACATAGCAAACCACTCAAAAACGTAGTGATTCAAAACAAGTTGTGGGGGGAGTGCATGCATGTGTAATTGTGTTTGGAGGTCAGAGGTTGACATTAGGTATCTTCTTTGGTTGCTGTCCACATTATGTTTTGTGACAAGGTCTCTCATTGAACTGAGAACTCACAGATTTGGCTATACTGGCTGGCCAGCAAGCCTTAGGGGTCCTCCTGCCTTGACTTCCCCAGTGATGGGATTACAGACATATGCCACTATGCCCAGTTTTTTATGTAGGTTGTTGGAGATTGAACTCTGATTTTCTTGCTTATACAGCAGGTACTTTATCAACTGACCATCTTACCATCCTTAAAATCATCTCTGGTGTTTTGTTCTTTAAGCTGAGGTAGTTCTCTTCCAGGGAGAAGGTCTCATGTAGTTGTGTGATACATAGGTTTGAGATCCCAAAGTCTTGACTAAATTCAATATTTAAGAGACACCTTTACTCTTCTTACTGAGATGTTTGGCACCTAGGTGTGGTTCACATCTATAATTCTAACATTCAGGAGGCTGAGGTAGAAAGATTGCGGAGAGTCTGAGGTCAGCTTGGGCTACAGAGTGAGACTTTGTCCCAAGCAACAAAATAGAGAAAGAAATAACTTAGGATTGGCTTATTGGTAGAATGCTTGCTCTAGCATTCCTAAAGATCAGGTTTCAATTCCCTGCATGGGAAAACAACAAAATGCTTGTCTTATATTCTAGTTTTGTTGTTCATGAGCTAAGTAATTTAATATATCTATATCTCAGTTCTTTCATCTATAAATAGAAATAGTTGCAGCTACTTCGTAGAGTTTAATGAGAATTAAATCAGTGCATAAGCATGAGGTATTCAGTATCTACTACTGTTCAATAAATGTTATATATTATTAGAGGTTATGCACTAAGTGTCATTTAATCACTTAGAAATGGAAATTAAGGGCTGGGGATGTAGCTTAATTTGTAGTTGTAGCATGCATGAAGCCCTAGGCTTAGTGATCTCCATCACTGAACAAGCATTTGTCTCTTATCCCTCCCACCCAGGAGGTAGAGGTTGAAGAATCAGAAGTGCAGTCACCCCTGGCTATGTAGCAAGTTTGAGACCAGCAGGGGACATAAGGCTCTTTCCAAAATGAAAAAAAAATTTAATTAAAGGACCTAAGGTATTTTCTCTTTAGTTCTTTGATCAAATAATTATTGAGTATTATGTATTACAAAGGGACAAAAACCACACCAGAATGCTGGGATTAGGATCATCATGCCTGGTGTCAGGATCAAGCCCAAAGCTTTGTGCATGCTGAGTGCACACTTTACTAACTGCCATACCCCCGGCCCTGACAAAGATTTAGTGAACTTCACTTTGTGGTAGATTTTAGTTATCTCATTATTTACAGATTTCTGATACTTCCAAATGTTGGTTTAATGTTTTATTACTTTGCTCTTTAGTTTCATACCTTACTGTTTTTATTAGACCACCTGAAACTGGATTAAGTAAAGGAGATAGCCATTAATTTGAATCACTTTTTTTTTCCTGAGACAGGGTCTCTATGCAGCCTTGGCTGTCCTGGCACTCACTATGTAAACCAGGCTATTCACAAACTCATAGAGATCTGCCTGCCTCTGCCTCCTGAGTGCTGGGATTAAAGGTGTGCGCTAGTACAGCCAGCCCACAAATTTAATGAAAATGCATATATGTATGTATAATATATACATATATATGATTTTTTAGGAGTATCTAACTATCAAGTTGAAGAAGATATAGGAAAGTTGAAGTCCTGTCTTACTGGCTTCCTTCAAGAATATGGTTTATCTGTAATGGTGAAAGATGACTATGTCCATGAATTGTGAGTATTCTTGAGAGCATATAAAGATAATACTCCCCTGCTTGTGGTGAGACTAATAAAAATTTAAACCTCCCTCTTTCCTGTAGTTGCCGATATGGAGCTGCTGAGCCACACACCATTGCTGCGTTCCTGGGAGGTGAGTTTTGTATATGAAATGACTTCCTTGTTGTTAATTATTTATATTAGCTTTTGTTTTCTTAGCTCCTTTAATTAGGGAGGTCAGGGAAGCAGGCTGTTAAGTTTAGGTTAGTCATTAGTTCTCCATACTATTTTCCATATCTCCATACTGAAGAGTCATTAGTCCTTTGGAGGGATGCTTTTAATCATGAGCGTCACTTAACTTTCTGAGCACAAGTGCACACAGACCTTCCTTCCTCTTGTTGCTGTCTTGTCTTCTGCTCCAACAGTTTTCAGAAACAAAGACTAACTTGACTTAAAGATCCTGTGTACCTTTTCCCTGAGACATGCGTTAGATCTTTGTACCTCAGAGCCCAGTTCAAAGCTACCATTTCTTTCGTAACAACTCTCTTTGTTTATCCCACCATTTCTTCTTTGAGTCAGTAAAGTTAGTTACTGTATGGGCACCTTATAAACATCTGAAATTTATTTCCTGTATTTTTCAAAGATTAAAATGAGGATGCCAACATAGTTAGGGTCTGTTGTGATGTCACTTCCAGGATCATATATAGTACTTTTTTCTTACTGTCTCCTGACATATTTCTTTTTAAAAATGTCAAAAGAAACCTGCAGGGTCTTCTTTATAAGGGCATAAGCCCATTTATGAAGGCTCCGCTCTCATGGTCTAATCACTTTCCAGAAGCTCTACCTTTTAATACCATTGCATTGGTAGTTTTCAACGTATTAACGTCAGGGGAGGGGAACACAAACAGTAAGTGAGTAATACCTTTAAAGAAGTTATTCTGCAGGCCTTTAATCCCGCACTCTGGAAGCAGAGACAGGAGGATTTTTGTGAGTTTGAGACCAGCCTGGTCTAGAGAGTTCCAGAACAGGCTCCCAAAACTATAGAGAAATCCTGTCTCAAAAAAAAATATTTTCCTGCCTCTTACCTTGAATAGCCTGAGCTATTTGCTTATGACATTTTCCTATCTAGATGATTATTTTGAAGGCAGATCTAGTTTGATTAGTAGTGTTCAGAATGCTAATAATGCAGGCCTAAGATTAAAACCATATTTTAAGCAAACACAAGGCTTGATTCCTGATAATTTGTTTAAATAAAAAATTCTTTTATGTCTAAATAGCAAAGTAATTGAAAATTCACAGAAAAGGGCAAATTATTATGTCTTCAGATCTAGGCAGATTCTGAGAGACACAGTCGGAGAGGTGTGTAGTTAGGTCTTCATTTGATGTTTTGTAGTGACTTTGAGCCTTCTCTGAGGCTTCCCTACATAAACATGAGCCACTTCTCTTGCCCTCCTCCTCCTCCTCTTTGTTACTGTAGCGTTTTATAAGCTCTACAGTGTTTATATGTTTAAGCTATTTTTTTCTCTTGCTCTTGAGCAAGCAGCAGATATATTTGTGTCTTGTGCTCTGCTTTATCTATGGTGCCTGAAAGATGATTTGGTGTGTAGTAGAGTCTTGGATTTTTGCCATTTCTTTTATATTTTGAGTACTTTATAGGAACTCTGTGGTATTTGTTTCTAATTACAAATGAATTTCAAAGCTGAGGATGTGACTCAGTGGCAGCGTGCTGCTTACCTAGCATTGAGTTCCTGGGTTTGATCCTCAGTATACACCACACACACACACACACACACACACACACACACACACACACACACACACACACACACACACACACACGGGGGGGGGAGAACAAATATGCTTTTATCCTTTTTCTACCATAAAGGTAGAATTCAAATGGAGTGGTGAGAGGAAGACCAACCAGAGGGGGAAATAGGGAGACAGGGAAGGGCAAGATAGGGGCAGGTAAGAACAAAATACAGTAATAGCATGCATGAAAATGTCCTAGTGAAATTCATTTCTTTGTATGTTAATCAAAAATATTAATGCAGCACACACACACACTTTGAATGTAACAGAAGGGCTTTCTTTGAAGGGGATTTTTTTTTGTGTGTGTGTGTGGGTGGGTGGGTTTTTTTGAAACAGGGTTTCTCTGTGTAGCCTTGGCTGTCCTGGAACTCACTCTGTAGACCAGCCTGCCCTTGACCTCACAAAGATTCACCTGCCTCTGCCTCCAAACTGCAGGGATTAAAGGTGTGCACCACCATCGCCTGACTGAAGAGGATCTTTATGCCTCTTTGTAGGCCTTCAAAAAAAATTCCTTCTAACTACTATTTAAACTTTTCTTTGTTCATTCACTATATCTTGCCAGCGTTCTAAACACCCATAATTAAAAATAACCTCATTTTAAAAATGTTTCCCAGTATCTCATTGGATAATTTCTAAAATGACCCTTCTATTTCCTTTAATAGCATAGTTATAAAGAATTATAGTATCTTGCCGGGCATGGCAGCACACACCTTTACTCTTAGCACTTGGGAGGCTGAAGCAGTTGGCAGTTTGAGGCTGGCCTGGTCTACATAATGAGTTCTAGGACAGCCAGTTATATAGAGACCCTGTCTCAAAAAAAGCAAACAAAAATATTTATAGTCTTTTATTTTGTTATGATTCAGTAAGCTGTGTTTATTTTAGATTACTTTTAAACAGCTTTGCTTTCTTTATGTAATTACTTTTGTTTTTTCTATTTTGCTATATATATAGTGTATTCTAAATACCATAGATCTCATGTACCTCAGGTTGGCCTCCAGCTCCCTTTGTAACTGAAATTGGCCATGAACTCATGATCATACTGCCTGTACTTCTCAAGTGCAATGAATAGAGTCATGTGCTACCACACCTGTTGTTTTTGTTTTGTTTGTTTTTTGAGACAGGGTCTCACTGTATATCCGTGACTGGCATAGAACACTGTATTTAGCAGGCAAGCTTTGAACTCAGAGATCTGTTGCTACCTGAGTGCTGCAATTAAAAGCATGCACCACCATGCCCAGTCTGGCTTATATTATTTAACTCTTAAAACTTAATTATTTTCAAAGATTTACTTTTCTCCTTTTTCCTACAGGAGCTGCTGCTCAAGAAGTTATCAAAATAATCACCAAACAATTTGTAATTTTTAATAATACTTACATTTATAGTGGCATGTCACAAACTTCTGCAACTTTCCAGTTGTAATGTTAATGATTAAATAAATACCACGTGGAATATGTTAATGATTGAAGCTGTTTAGTTTGTAAAATCTGTTAAATTGTTTTCCTTAATAAACATTTTTCTCGTTTGTAATATAGTCTTATAGTCTTTTTGTTTGGGGTGGGTGGTGGGGTGGGAAGAAAGTAGTCATTTTCCCTAAGAATAAAAGCTATCTCTTTGTAATGTAGTTCATTAATACTGGCTTGCAGTTTTGCAGTTACATATTATAGACATATCTGTTTCATTAGAAAAAGTAAAAATGATTAACCATCTCAATGAATTGAATACATGGATTTTAGCTGTGCACATTTTAAGGTCATTATTTGTTAAAAACAGAATTTTAAAAGAAGCATTTCAGGGTGTGTAATTTTATAAGAAAGCAAAGCCATTTCCTTATAGTATCATTCATTATATAACTTAATGTTTTTACCACTATACCTACTAGTTGAAATTTCACAGGGTTGTCCCACCCATAAACTCAATGAATAATCAAATTGGAATAATAATATTTACCATCGCGTTAGCTGAAAAAAAATCCTTAAGAAGAGGAATAACAACAAACTAGAAACAAAGAGATGGGAGTAGGCTCATTTTCTGGCTTCTGTGTGGCTGGCTGAACGTGTTCATGTGACAGTAGCTGAAGACTCTTAACTGCCTGCTGTATACCATCAAAGGCCGTCTCCTGTGTGAGAAGCTGTTATATCTGACAAGGGCGCGGGGCGCGGGGCTCCCAGGACTTTCATTTTCTTGGATACTAGTGTGTCGTTTTTGCTTGGCTGTCTACTTTATTAAATGACTTTCCCACAGCCTGGATTGCCCTCTGACAGGACCTCACGTCCATCTCCAACAGCCCTATTGGATGGATTCTGCTAGAAAGGAAACATTACACCTGGGCCACATTTAAGACTCAAGAGCTGTGGTTCTTAGTCTACACAGTGAGAGGTTGGCTTGGGCAGAATCAAAAATTGTGGTTTAGGAATTCACCCAGTGACGCTGCATGGAATGCCCAATGTAGTGGAAGAAAGTCTGGCGTTGGGCAAGGTCAGGAGGGAGCAAATGTCCTTTTCCAAGAAGGGAAGTCCTAAATACTGGGGTGGTAAGGGTATATTACCTTCAAATAGTAACATTCTCCCATCTAAAACCGGGCACCACGCGCTGGCCACCTCCTGCACTCAGTACACTAGCGACCAGCCAGCTGCTGCTATGAGCCTAGGCTGTGGGACTGCAGGTGTCCGGCCGGAAGTCCCGCCCAGCGGATGTAAACCTGCCTCGTGTTGGGAGGGAAACCCAGTCAGGCGTCGTAGTCTGGGCTTCCTCAGGGCAGAGCTGCTGCGAGGCTGAGAAGCTTCGCGGCTCCCGGGGAAAGGCTACGGTCTCCGCTTCGGGAGTTGCCGCAGCTCAGCCCAACTTTGCCTTCTGGGGCAGGCGGGCTCCTGCTCCCAGAGCTATGGTGCTGGCGTGGCGCTCCTCAACCGGCTCACCCGAGGGGACGCGCTGAGCTGAGGGGGACAGGGGCTTTCCTGAGCTGGCGCCAGGCCGCAGAGTGGGAGAAGGTCATCCCACTCGGATTAGTCGCGCCCTGCTGCTCCAGGTGATTGTGATGTGTGGAAAGCGTCGGGGCCACAGGGGATTTCGTTTGTGAGAACGAGGGCAGGACCACGTGTCCCGGGAACATCAACTGAACCGCGAGCCTTGGGGTCTGGGAGATTGCTCCCGGGAGGTCTGCCAGAGCCAGGCGTGGGAGCAGTGCCGGGTACCCCGAGAACTGGACCGCCGCCCCTCCTTAGAAGACTTCTTCAGCTCTTTAGGTGAGCCAGGCCGCGTAGCCTCGAGTGAGAGACCGGGAGGGGGGAGGCAGCCTTAACCCGTGGAAAGATGATGGACTCGGTGCAGAAGAACCTGGGCTAAGGTGAGGGTTTCAGCCCCCCCATCCTGTCCATCTTGAGGTGTTCCTGTTACCCCCAGAGTATTTTTTGGGCCCTAAATGACTTGTTTTAATCCCTTTGAACTTTTGAAGCAGAAAGTTGATAGTGCAAGTTACATAATTTGCATTTGCTCCTATTAGAGATACTTTCCACAGTATATGATTCCAAGGCAGAGATGTCCACCTTGAACAACTTACAAATAGAAGTTAACGCTAGGATTTTTCAGCTCTGCCAGCCCCACCCAGAAAGATGTTCTGTCTCATGAGGGGTAGGGAAGATACATAGTTTTTCGGTTTTGTTTTTGTTGTTTTAATGAACGTTTCTAGAGAAGCTAATTTCAGGAGCTGGGTATGTCGCTTAATGATAGATTTTTATCTTGAGTCCTATCCCTAGGACCAAAGGGGCGGAGAATAAATACTCAGCCAGTTTTCTTATTTATTTTCTCCACTAGTTTTCCTAGGAAAGTTTTCACTTGACCTTAGTGTTTTGGAGCAGTAGTTCTCAACCTGTGGGGCGTGACCCCCTCGGGTGGCATATCAGGTATTTACATTACGATTCATAATAGTAGCAAAATTACAGTTATGAAGTAGCAAGGAGATGATTTTATGTTTGGGGGATCACCACAATATGAGGTACTGTATTAAAGGGTTTCGAAGCATTAGCATGGTTGAGAAACACTGTTTTGGAGAGTGAGTAAAACCTGTAAGGATTGTGCTTTCTGTTCTTGTGTTTTTGTTTTTTATCCAAATCTCATTGTTGGTGGTAATTTGTATCATTTCACAAAATTACTGAAAACATTTCATAATTGCTTTATTTGGCACATACTTTTGGCTTGGAAAATGAGCTATTTATAATTTTAAAATTATCTTTTTGAAAATTACAACTGATACTTTGCTGTAAATATTTATTTTAGTTGTATCTGTTTCTGTACATATGTGTATGTACCTCTGTGTGTGTGTGTGTGTGTACACGCGCACATGCACTCACATGCACGTGTGTATATGTATGGGTTAGCACATGCATGGTTAGAAGGTAACCAGTGAGAGTTTCTTTTCTCCTACCACGTGGGTCCCAGGGATCGCCCATTGTGAGGATTTTATTTGTTTGTTTGTTTGTTTGGAGACAATCTTTTACCTCCCCCACCCCCTTTCTTTCTAAAGTTCCCGGCAGGCCTGGAACTTCATATATGTAGCTCAGAGCTGCTTCAAACTCATGATCTTTCTGCCACTCCCTTTCCTGCTTATAGATTTCAGACTTGCACCATCATGCCCAGAATATCCTATTCTTTCAGTTTTGTTTAACATGGACTGCTTCATGAGTTTGTGTGTAGGAGCAGTGCTCATCTTCTCTGTATCATTCCAATTTTAGTGTATGTGCTACTGAAGCAAACATACTGCCCAGGGTTTCTTAGAAACTGATCTAACTAAAAATACCCTATCTTCTAGATGAAATATAAGGAAAAAAGACAAACATGGAAAGTGAGAATACCAAGAAAGTACAAGGTGAGGAATCCCTGAATCATGTAATTGGACTAATTTTATGTATTTTATAGTTGTGTAATTGTGGGTATATTTGTGTGTGTATCATATCTAACAGCCTCAAGAAAATGAACTCATGCATTAATTTACATATATGTCATTATTTCTGGGGTACATAAGCATCTACTTATCCCAGACTGGAAATTGCCAATAGACAAAGTAAGGATATCAGCAGATACTACTTGCCAGTGAGTTTACTGGGGTTACTTACAGCCATATGAGTATGGAAGCAGAAATGACTCAAAGGCAGCTGTGTCATCAAAAATCCACCCCAGCATGGGCGATAGCTCATAAAAGCTACAGGCAGCTTGACAGGTTGGAAAGTATCTTTCAGGTAGTTCAGTTGATCTTTCTTTCCAGACAGTTTAGTTAGTCTAAGCTTCTTTGAAGCAACTCTTTTGGTCTGTTGTTTCTCAGCAGTCCTTACCCCCATAAAGCTTGAGGCAGGAGGAGCCTAGTATATCAGGTTAGTTTCAGGAACTTCCTGAGGCTTCTAAGTTGTTTACCTACTTTCTAACTTTTTTGTTTTTTTGTTTTTTGAGACAGGGTTTCTCTGTAGGTTTGGAGGCTGTCCTAGAACTTTCTTTGAAGACCAGACTGACCTTGAACTCACAGAGATCCACCTGCCTCTGCCTCCCAAGTGTTGTGGTTAATTGAAGGTGCAGCAGCATCCTTGCCCCTGCCCCCTTTGAGATAGGGTTTCTCTGTGTAGTTTTGGCTGTCCAGGAACGCACTGTAGACCAGACTGGCCTTGAACTCACAGAAGCCTGCTTCTACCTTAAAAGTGTGTGCTACCACTGCCCTGCTTCCATCCTGGGTCTTCATAAGATCCCATCCAAAGCCGGGCGGTGGTGGCGCACGCCTTTAATCCCAGCACTCGGGAGGCAGAGACAGGCGGATCTCTGTGAGTTCGAGGCCGGGGTGGACCGATAGCCTCCTAAACAATACAGAGAAACCCTGTCTCGTAAAAACCAAAAAAAAAAAAAAAAAAAAAAAAAAAAAGATCCCATCCAAGATGGTATATATTAACTTGAAAGAAATTACAATGGCATAGCATGCATATTGACGCCTACTTCATGCCCATCATATGTAATTCCTGACATGAGGAAGCAGTCATGGAGAATGTCATGCTGACACTTAAGTGCATATGAGCCAGGCAAGGTGGTGGGTGGTGAATGCCTTTAATCCCAGCACTAAGGAAGCAGAGACAGGCAGATCTCTTGAGTTCAAGGCCACTTGCTTTATGTCGGTTTTAGACCATCCAGGACTATATAGTGAGACTCTGTTTGGGGGTGGAGCGGGGCATATGATAGTTGATTTACTGGTAGACTATAAAAGAACAGTGATCCCTAGACATAGTGGCTTATTGTTGTGAGGGTGCTGTCAGAAATGCAGATAAATATGTTTGTGCCTGTCTACAAAGTCAAAGTCAGAATTGGTTTTTTCTCAGGCTCTCATCGGTCCAGGCTGGCCTCAAGCTCATGATGTGGCACAAGATGGCCTTAAACTTCTGATCTTCCTGCTCCCAAGTCCCAAGTGCTGGGATTATAAGTATTTGCCATAATGCCTGTTTTATGTAGTCTTGGAGATTGAAACTGGAGCTTTGTTTATGCTAGGCAAGCACCGAACCATAACCCCATTCCCAAAATTTATTGAATATCAGTAAGATCACAAGGTATGATGGCTTCATTGGCATTGATTTGCCACATAGTGCCACTTTAATTAGTAGTCTGCCCAGGCAAAACCAGGTCCTTTTTCTTTTTAACCATGTTCTTTTATTAACTACTAATAAAATTAACTCTGAGATCACATCTTATATACCACATAGTGAACCTATTTGTCTGGCTACAAAGGGTTAAAGAGGCCTCAGCAGAGTTCAAGAAGTTTTGTTTTGGGGTTTTTGTGTCTTTGTTTGTATTTTCATTTTTTATTTTTCAAGGCAGGGTTTCTCTGTGCATAACCCTGGCTGTCCTGGAACTCACTTTGTAGAGCAGGCTGACCCTGAACTCAGGGATCTGCCTGCCTCCTAGTGCTGGGATTAAAGTCATGCAGCACTACACCAGCTTCAAGAAGCTTTATAGAGGGTTGAGAAGTAGAAGCTGGGAAGCTATATAGGGATGCAAAGATAATGAGCATGACCTGAGGTCTGCAGGAGACCTTGCTGGTAGAGTCAGGCTACTCCCAGGTATGGGTTTGAGAGGAATTGTAGAAGTGAAGATGTGGAGGCAGAAGGAGCAAGAGTTCATCTTTAGCTGATAGCAAGACTGAGACCAGCCTGGGCCAGATTAAGACTAGGTAGATAAGACAGACAGACAGATGGGCAGATAGCAGGCTGAAGCTGTGGGGAGGTTGGTGAGATGGCTCAGTGGGTAAAGATCATAAACCTGACAACATGAGTTTGTTCTCCACGATCCACACAGTAGAACGAGTAAACCAACTTCTACAATTGCCCTCTGATCTCTACATGCCCCCATATACACTAATTTAGAAAGTTTTACGTATATGGATATTTTACTTGCATGTATATTTGTACCAATTGCATTCCTATTGCCCACAGAGGTTAGAAGGCTACATCAGATACCCTGAAACTAGAGACAGCTGTGGACAGCCATGCAGGTCCTGGGATTAACACAAGCTCTTATTGAATACCTGGTTTGAAAATATTTCCTTCTAGATTGAGCCACTTTTGTATTCTGTATAGTATTCTGAAACTTAAAATTTTGCTTTAAATTTTAAACCGGGGGTGATGGCAAGCATGCCTTTCTGCAAGTTTGAGTTCATGCTAGTCAGTATAGTGAGTTCCAGGACAGCCAGATCTACTAGTGAGGTCCTATCTAAAACAAGCAACAAAAACAAAACCTCCCAAGCCCCAAAACAGCCAGATTGTGGCACATGCCTTTAATCCCAGCACTCAGGAGGCAAGGATGTAGAGGCAGGTGGATCTCTTGAGTTCAAGGCCAGCCTGGTCTACATGGCAAGTTCCAGGACAGCCAAGGTCTGTCTTGTAAAAAAATAAAATTAAAATTAAAAAATTTAGGTCTATTCTGTCACATTTTCTTTTATTACTTGCTGCTTTTGGTATTGAGTACACATCAGTTTTTGTTTTTTTTTCCCCCTTTGGGAATTAAAAGAACTAGATTGCACAGCTCCCCAAAAAGGTTATATCAAGATGAAATGTGGTAACTTTATATGTAAGGAGGTGCTTTGGCTAAGAAGGGAAATACTGTGATAGGAAATCTTAAAGTCTGAGAAGGAAGTGCTGAAGGGTGGAGGAGTAAGTCCTATATTATGTCCAGAACTGAAAAGCACCATACCGTATTTAAATTTTTCTTTGGTGTGTTGTTGATGTGACTCTGATATCCCTACAAACTTATCATCTTGTAGATTTGTTAATGTGTATAATACTCATGAATAATTGCTGGCTGTTGCCCAAGGTCAACTCAGTAAAAAACCTTTGTACTATATATTGTTCATAACAAATCGCATCATGGTACTGGAGAGATGGCTCAGCAGTTAAGAGCACTGTCCGCTCTTGGAGAGGACCTGGGTTTAATTTCTAGCACCAACACAGCAATTCACAACTGTCTGTAACTCCAGTTCCAGGGATTCTGGCATCCTCACACAGACATACATGCAGACAAAATACTGGTGCACATAAAAAAAAACTTTAAAATTGCATATGACATTGTTTCATTGAAACATATTGCGAGGTGATTTTTTAATTTCATTCTATATTTTGGGGGGGTTTTGTTTTTCGTTTTTTGTTTTCATTTTACATCCCAACCCAAGTTCTTGCTCCCACCCCACTAAGTGATTTCTTTTTTAAGTAGAAGACTAAATATTGATTGATGTATTATAGATTTTTTTAGTATGTGCCTTTTTATTTTTAAGTCTACCCCTTGTAAATGTTAGTTCAAGATTTATGCCAAAGACAGATGGCTCAGCTGGTAAAGGCACTTGTTGCCAAGTCTGACAACCTGAGCTTAATCCCTGGGACCCACATGGTGGACGAAGAGAACAGATTCCTACAAAATATCCTCTGACCTCCACATGTGCCTCCTCACAAATGAATGAATGAATGTAATACAATACTTTTAAAGCCAATATAAAAGAAATAAAAACTTTAAAACCAAAAAGTTATTCCAACACCTATAAGTCATTTCATTTACCTAGTAAAACAGGATTTGAATTTTAGTTTGATATGTTATATTGACTGGTTTTCAATATAACAAATCTTTGGAATATGAAATTCATGTTGTATTCCTTGGCTAAACCAACTTGGGCATGATGTATTGTTCATAAATTGTTGGATTCAACTTACTAAAATATCTTACTAGATTTTTATATGTATATTCATCAATGATATTGGTCTATAGTCTTCTCTTTCTAATGGTAATGGTTTTGGTACAAGGGTAATGCCAACCTCAAAACATTGGGAAGCCAGGCATAGTGGTGTGCCTCTGGTTATTGAAGAGGCTGAACCGTAGGCTCTTTTTTTTTTTTTTTTTTTTTTTGGTTTTTACGAGACAAGGTTTCTTCTTTAAATGTTTGGTAGAGTTTTCAAATGAAATCATCTGAAACTGGAATTTTCATTGTGAGAAGCTTTGTTACTATGATTTCAGCCTCTTTCATAAATACGATATTCTGATAATCTGTTCCTGGATGTTTGGATGTTTTATGATCTTTGAAAGCAGTTTTTCCTATTTCATCTAAGTCATTGAATCTGTATGAAATTGTACATAATATTCCTTTTGAATATCTTCAGACTCTGTAGTGGTTATTCGTTTATAATGTCTCTCTCTGTAGCTTAGGCTGCCTGGAACTCACTATGTAGCTCTTGAATTTGTGGAAATGCTTCTGCCTCAGCATCCTAAATGTTGGGATTATAAGCGTTGAGTCATCATACCTGGCTCTTCTCTCATTTAATATTGGTTATTTGCATCTATACTCATTTATAAAAATTAGCCTGACTAGATAATTATCAGTTTCATTGATCTTTTTAAAGAGCGTTCTCTTTTTAATGTAAAAAAATTTATTTTTATGTGTATAGATGTATTTTGCTTGTACATATGTCTGTGCATGCCTGATGCCTGATATCTGAGTGAGGTCAGAAGACAATGTTGGATCCCCTGACACTAGGTTACAGACAATTGTGAACTGTCATGTAAATGTTGGGAATTGAACCCTGGTCCTCTGGAGGGCAGCCAGTGCTCTTAACCACCGAGCAATCTCTCTGACCCCACTGTTTCACTGAGTTCAGCTTTTGTCTTTATACATTTTTTCCTTGTTTACTTTGAGCTGAATTTGCCCTTTTTTTAGTTTGTTAAGGTGGAAGCTAAAGTCATTGATTTAGGAACCACTTTCTTTTCTAACATAGACATTTAGAACTAGAAATTTCCTCATAAATACTGCTTTATTAGCATCCTATAACTTCTGTTGTATTTTCATTTAAAATATCAGCTCACTTAAAATACCTTTTTAATATATCTTTCTTAGATTATAAAGCAAGTATATGCCTATTTTAAAAAGCAAGTATTTCAAAGGTGTATAATTATGAATGAAATTGGAATTATTGATCTTTGAAAGAAAACTTTGGTTTTAAAATATTTTCTCCAGTAGAAATGAAGACAGACCTGAATTTATTGTTGGAATGTCTGAAGTATCACATGGGCAACCCTTTGTCACAAAAGGAAGTTTTGATCACTATTCATTCAGTTTGTCAACAAAACAGTAAGATATAATAATGAATTGTATTCATGATTCTTGTTTTTCTCTTCTTTTCCCCTTTTCCCTCCCTTCCTTCATCTCTCTCTTTCAGTCTGTGCCTTCCTTTCCCTCTCTTCTCTCTTTTTCTTTCATCTTATATCCTCAAGTAACACAGGCTGGTGTTGCAGAATATCGTTTTAAGGTGTATTAAATTTGTTTATGCTCTGGAACATTTGTTTAACGATGTAAAGATGTGTTTCTTTTGTTTGTGCTGCATTTGTTTAACTTTGCCTGTGTAAAACACCTGATGATCTAATAAAGAGCTGAATGGCCAATTGCGAGGCAGGAGAAAAGATAGGCAGGTTGGCAGGCAGAGAGAATAAATAGGAGGAGAAATATAGGAAGAGGAAGAAAGGAGCAAGCTAGAACAAGGAGAGGAGGATGCCAGGGGCCAGCTACCCAGTCAACCAGCCTTGGAGTAAAAGTGAAAGTAAGATGTACAGAAGTAAGAAAAGGAAAAAGCCCAGAGGCAAAAGGTAGGATAATTTAAGAAGAGCTGGCAAGAAACAAGCCACGCTAAGGCTGGGCTTTTATAAGAAAGAAAAGGCCTCCATGTGTGTGATTTATTTGGGAGGTTGGTGGCAGGCCCCAAAAGAGCAAAAGAGCCCAAAGAGAAAGAGTTAAAAAAAAAAAAAAAACACAACGGGCTGACCTTAAACTCTTGATCCTCCTGACAGAGAGGAGCCTCTCCAGCACTGGGATTACACATATGTACCATCACAACCCACTCTGATTCCAGTTTTGTAGTACTGTAATATATTAATATACATGGCTGTTTCTCTTCTACTTCATGTATGTGTTAACCATTTGATTCTTTTATCCTTAACTGAATAATTATAATTTCTATCTTGTTTTATCTGCAAATCCTACAGGTGATGCAGGTATCTATTTCCGGGAAATTGGTGGTTTGATGTTTGTACAGAATCTTGCAAAGTCAAGTGAGCATAGCATGGTAAAAGAAGCAGCCTTATACACATTAGGATCTATTGCAGAAGAAAATGGTAAAATATAAAATTTTATTTTTATGTCATTAAAATAATTTTAAATGAATATTTAAATTTTATCTCTTTATTTAAAGGTGAATACCACAACACCTGACTTGAATCTCATTTTTCAGGGTTATTTTGTTTGTTTCCTATGGTTTTCTTTTTCTTTTTTGAGTCAAGGTTACTATAAAACACAGGATGACCCTGAATGCATAGTTCTCCTGTTTTGCTTCCTAAGTATTGGGATTGCAGCATGCTTAGTGTTATTTTGAACTTTGAAAGACTTTTGCACCGTCAAACATCTTAAGAGATACCATAAATATTGCTTGTCCCTGTTTTCCCAAGCAGATAGTTGAATTTTTTAAAGTTTTTTTTCTTGCTTTGTTCTTTGCTTGTCTTACTTGGCCTCACTTTTCACTTCTACTTGGTCTGATTTTCATTTTTTATTTGGTTGGGATTTTATTGGCAATTCTGGAGTATTTTATGTTTGCTTTGGAGCTTAGATCAAGTCATTTTGATTAAGATATTCCTGGTTTGGGGCTGGCTAGATGGCTTAGTAGTTAAAGGTGCTTGCCTGAGTTTCATGTGTGGAACTCATATAAAGGAAAGAAAGAACTAACTCCCATAAGTTGTCCTATGATCCATAAGAGCATTGTGGCATGTCTGTACCTGTTGGTGGGCACAAACACTTATGCACATGTGCACACACACACAAGTAAATGAATAAATGTAAATTTAAAATTTTTAAATATTGCTAGTTTGGTTTGTTAAGTAAGCATATACAAGTTTTCATAGATTTTATTGTTTGTAGTATATATCAATTAAATGACATCTAGTTAAGAAGCATCCTAGTTTGACAACTTTGTATTTTGTTCAATGTATTTTTTGTGCTAATATATTAAAATGAAAATTGTATTTTATGTTTCAGTTTACTGTCAGCAAACTTTATGTACTTCAGAGTTATTTCAAGATTTAACTTTGCTCTTATCTAATAATGACTCAAACACTAATTTGAAAAGAATGTCCATCTATGTTCTTTTGGTTCTGGTTTCAAATAATAGTAAGTACATTCTTTTATGAATACTTAAAAACATTTTAATATATTCTATGGAATAGTCATTAATAATTTTTAGTCATTCTTGTTATATCAGTGCCTTTTTTTAAAGACAGTTTCACCTGCCTCTACTTCCCAAATATATTAGTGAGTTTTTGGTCTCATTAACATGCAAGAGCTACTACCTCTAAGGAAGGAATTGATAGTATACATTTAATCACATGATATTTGTTAGTTTTAAGAAATAGTGAAATTATTTGTACTACTTAATCTTTACAAAGAAAAACAAGTATTTACTTAACTGGTTGTCTTTTCATTGAATTGATCATTTTGTTACAAGATTTACTGTATTAAGCCTCAATGGTATTTATTTGGGGATAATTTTAGATTTATTGAAAATAAGCCTGGCAGTGGTGGTGCACACCTTTAGTCCCAGCATTTGGGAGCAGAGGCAGGTGGATCTCTGTGAGTTCGAGACCAGCCTGATTTACAAGAGCTAGTTCCAGGACAGTCTCCGAAGCTACACAGAGAAACCCTGTCTCGAAAGATCCTAAAAAATGAAAGAAAAGTTGAAAATATAGTCTAGTTAGGACTTTGCATGTGAACATATACATGTGTGTGTGCTTGGTGTAGAACCTAGAGGTTGATGCTGTGTACCTTCCTCAAGCAATTTCTACTTTTTTTTTTGATAGGACCTCTGGAGCTTTCCAATTTGATTAGACTGACTGCCCAGCAAGCCCCAGGGATCAGACACAAGCTACTGTGCCTGACTTTTTGTTTATTTTTTACAAGGGTGCTGGGGCCAAACTTAGTTCTTTATGCTGCCACTTTACTGACTGAGCCAACTCTCCAATCCGTTTATTTTTAAAAAAAACTATTGCTTAAGCATTTTGTAATTTATAGAGGAAAACTGAATGATGTAAGTTGCTGAGAATAGTATATTTTCCATAATAAAACTGTAATTCTGTATACTTTATAATACTTTAAAGTATCTTAAAAGCTAATTAAAATATTTTTAAATATCTTAATTTCTATAAAATAATTTCTAAATTAAAGTCATATTCATGTAATATGTCTATTTTTAAGGAAATGGACAAACGCTTATAAGAGAAACAGGTTGTATTGAAGTCCTGTCACAGTTGTTCAGGTAAGTAAAATGTCTTATTACTCATTGTTTAGGACATTAGTGAATTTGTAATGTATTACCTTTTCTTTTTAACCCAATAGGACAGTTCTTCCAAATTATGAGTTGAATCTGTCAGATAATAATGTTTTCCAGAGTTATCTGTTGTGGTCTTCAGTATGCAGTACTCTGTGTGTCTGTGTCAACAATCCTCAAAATGGTAATTATTTCAACTATTTAAATACAAATATAAAAACAAATGGTGACTAATATTTTGCAAAAGTCAAAATAAAACATGGTTGGCTTTCCTTCTTTCAGATGAGAATCAAATGCTTTGTTGTTCACTTTTTCCATATGCTAATGAATGGCTAATGAATTGCATGAGACCTGAGATAATTCGCCCTATATGCTCATTTATTGGACTTACTCTTGCAAATAATAGTAAGTATTCATTATTTTGTTATAGGTTGTACATTAGGAACTGTATTTAGAAGCATAACAGAAAGCTATTAAATTCAATGAATGATTTTGATGCTTCTACATTAGACCATTATAGAAGTACTTAGATTTTTGTGTGAGATAAGGTCTCACTGTGTCGTCCTGGCTGGCCTGTGTAAAGGTCCAAGGAGAGAACTGACTCCCCAAAATTGTTCTCTGACTGCTATAGTGCATGCACACTCACAGTGCCATTATAATAAATACAATTTTTATATTTAGTAGTATTTATTCCTTAACATTTAAAAAATTATAACAAAATAAACTCTATAAGATAAAATAAAAACTATCACAACAGAGTTGGGTAAGACAAATAGGAGGAAAAGAGAAGATAGAAGAATCAGAGACTCTCTTGGTTTCGTACTCAGGAATCCCATAAAAATGCTCAACTAGAAGCCATAGCATATCTTCAGAGGACCTGTTGCAGACCTGTGCAGGTCCTGTGCATGCTGTCTCCATCTCTGTGAGTTTGTATGAGCTTTGCTCTTGTTGATTTAGAGGGACTTGTTGTTTTGATGTGCTCCATCCCCTCTGGCTCTTACACTCTTTCCACCACTTATTCTTAGGGGTTTCCTGAGCCCCGAGAGGATGGATTTGGTAGAGATATAGAGATATCCCATTTAGGGCTGAGTATTCAAAGGTCTCTCACTCTGCATTCTGTCTGGCTATGGGTCTCTGTGTTTCTTTTCATCTGCGGGAGGAGGAAGCTTTTCTGGTGATGCCTAAGCAAGGCACTGATCTGCTTCTCTAGTCAGAGCATAATGCAATTTTAAAATGAACAACAACAACAAACCTTGAAAAGATGACTGATAGTCACATATGTGGTTATTAAAGACTGGATTTCAAAGCCTGGCTGTGGTGGCACAAGCCTTTAATCCCAGCACTCAGGAGGCAGAGGCAAGCAGATCTCTGTGAGTTCGAGGCCAGCCTGGTCTACGAGAGCTAGTTCCAGGACAGCCTCCAAAGTCACAGAGAAACCCTGTCTCAAAAAACAAAAAACAAACAAAAAAGAGATGTACCATTGAAGAGAATGTAAGAACCCTGGATTCTCTCTGTTTCTTCCTCCCTGGCTCCACCGGGTGATCAGTTCCCTTTATCGTGTAGTTATGTCCTACTATGATGTGTGTTGCCTTGCCATAGGCTCCAGAGCCCCAGTCTATATATAGACTGTAACCATTAAACGATGGCCCAAAAGTAAACTTTTTTCCCTGTAAGTTATCTTAAGTATGATGTCACTGTGGTAAAGTTGACTAACACAGCAAAATGTTGCAGCAATAACATCTAAGTTGTGAGGAGATTTATAACGCTCATGAGTAGGGTGCTTGCTTGTCTGTATATGCACTACATTCATGCAGGCACCCACAGAGTCCAGAAGAAGGTGTTGGGCTACATGATGCTTCATCTCAAAAAAATAAAGAAAAAAACTAGATTTTGAAGACCACAAACAAGAACAAAACCTTCCTTTTTGAAAAAAATTAAAAATATTTCATAAAGAAGCTGTTTTGTAGTCACTATAATATTGAAAATGTGTGCTTGTCCTTAAAACCAAGATAGCAAGCCAGGCAATTGTAGTACTTGCCTTTAATCCCAGCACTCGGGAGGCAGAGACAGGCTAATCTCTGTGAGTTCCAAGGCCAGCCTGATCTGCAGTGAGTTTTGAGACAGTTTGTCTCAAAAACCATGCCACTGCTGCCCCCAAAAGAAAAAAAATAAACAAGATGGCAGCATAGCTCAGCAGGTAAAAGCCTTACCATTAAAGCTGGCTATCTGAGTTCAATCCCCAGGATTCATATCATATAAGTTGAAAACCATGTTCTGAAAGTTGTCCTCTGACCTCCACATGTGTACACACGCACATGAATGAATGTAAAAAAAATTTAAGTGAAGGGTTTTTTGTTTCGACTTTTTTTTTTTTTGAGATGGGGTTTCCCTGTGTATATTTCACTCTCCTGGAACTCACTCTGACCAAGCTGGCCTTGAACTCACAGAGATCCACCTTCCTCTGCCTCTGGAGTGCTGGGATTAAAGGCATGCACCATCACTGCCTGACTTGTTTATTTTAAGGCCAATGAAATTGGTGGGGAAATTGCTGCCAAGCCTAACATTGAGTTCATTCCTAAGATGGTGTAAAGTAAGAACCAACTTCTACAAGTTGTTCTCTGACTTCCTTATGCACTCCATGGCATATTCAGTTTCCACCCTCCCACGTAAACAAATGTAAATAAAAATATATTCCCATATAAATAAAAACATAATTTTATTACATTGTAAAATGTTTCAGTTTCTTTCTAAGATAGTGGTACAAACTTGTAATCCCAGCATTGGTGGGAGCAGGAAAATCAGGAGTTAAAGGTCAGTTTTAGCAACATTAGGAGTTCAGTACCACCCTGAACTACATGAGACTGTCTCCAAAAATAAAGTTAATTAACACAAAGTATGTGTGAAATGTAGCTCACTGGCAAGGTCTTTTTTTAAAAGTGATTTATTCATTTTATGTACGTTGATGTTTTGCCTGCATGTGTGTATGTGCAAGGGTGTCAGATCCCCTGGAGGTGGAATTATGGACAGTTGTGAGCCATCATGTGTGTGCTGGGAATTGAACCTGGATCCTATGGAAGAAGAGCCAGTGGTCTTAACCTCTGAGCCATCTCTCCAGCAGTGGCAGAGTCTTACATTCTGTGTACACGTTTCTGATTTCAGTCATTAGCACCAAATAAATAAGTGAAGAGTGTTAGGATATTATATCATTTTATGTTAATATCTCTTATTTATAATAAAAATTAATTTTTGCTTTTAATCATCTCGGATTTTAAATAATCATCCTTGGAACTAGACTAAACTGGGAAAAAGTTTTGTGACAGAATTTTGTCATTGGTCATAAGCCTGTTTCTAGGGTAGAAGCTGTAGAGATACTGGCTTCAGAGCTTCAGGGGATACGGCTCATTATTTTCAAACTAGGGCATGGTGGCACATGCCTATATGATATCATTGGGGAAGAAGCAGCAAGAGTGAAGCAAGCCTAGGGTATATAGTGAGACCTTGTCTCAATAATATATATGTGTAATATATATATAAACATACATTTTGTATATATGTGTTTATCTGGCACTGAATCTTTGACCAATGATATATTAGAATTTTTTTTCTAGTTCTCAAGTATGTTTTTCTAGTTCTAACTGTGTGCCGAATATTTTGGTTTTGGTGGTGGGTAAAACCAAAAAGTTATTCCATAATGAAAGTGTACATTTTTTTCCTTTTTAAAATTTAAATTAGAAACAAGCTTGTTTTACATGTTAATCCCTGTTCCCTCTCCCTCCCCTCCTACCCTGACCCCCCCACTGACCCCCATCCCATCCCCTTTCTGCTCCCCAGGGAGGGTGAGGCCTTCCATGGAGGATCATTGAAGTCTGTCATATCATTTGGAGCAGGGACTAGACCCTTTCCCCTGTGTGTCTAGGCTGAGAGAGAATCCCTCTATGTGGAGTGGGCTTCCAGAGTCCATGTACTAGGGATAAATACTGATCCACTGCAAGAGGTTGCATAGATTAACCAGACCTCCAAACTGACATCCATGTTCAGGGGGTCTGGAACAGCCCTATGCTGGTTTCCCAGCTATCAGTCTAGGGTCCTTGAGCTCCCCCTTGTTCAGGTCAGCTGTTTCTGTGGTTTTCTCCAGCCTGGTCTTGACCTCTTTGCTCATCACTCCTCCCTCTCTGCAACTGGATTCCAGGGTTCAGCTCAGTGTTTAGCTGTGGGTGTCTGCTTCTGATTCCATCAGCTACTGGATGAAGGCTCTAAGATGGCATATAAGGTAGTCATCAATCTCATCAGAGAAAGGCATTTAAGGCACTATTGCTTATATTGTTAGTTGAGGTTATCCTTGAACATCTCTGGACATTTCCCTCGTGCCAGATTTCTCTTTAAACCTATAATGACTCCCTCTATTATGGTATCTCTTTTCTTACTCTCCTCTATTCTTCCCCTGACTCATCTTCCTGCTCTTTCCTGTCTTCCTCTTCCCTTCTCTTCTCCCCTTCTCTTTCTCCTAATCCCCCCCATGCTCCCAATTCACTCAGGAGATATTTACATTGGAATTTAGAAAGCAATTGCTAATTATAATACCAAGATAAATGAATGAATCTGATCTTTCATTGTTATCATGTTGTGAGGGTCCTGCTGTGAATCCAGGCTACAACTTACCTTTTTTCCTTTGTCTTTACAGGGTTAAAATGATAGACCTAGACTGCTTTTCCATTCCTTGCCCCTACTAAATCTCTTCTTTATAGTGCTATTGAAACACTTGTTTAATAATTTATTCATAGTGGTTTAATCATACCACAGAACTCTCTAGTTCTCAGAAATGAAATAAAAGATCTCCTACACAAAACTAAGTACTATCCTACTATACATATAATTGTTCCATGTCAAGGGGAGGTTTTGATATGTGTGGATGTGTGTGCATATATGCATATAAATAGAATTTTAATTCTGTAATTTTTGAGAGTCTCAGTACTTGAAAAGTCAAATTGAAAGTATTTAATGTAAAATAATTGAATGAAACCATACTTGCCTTTTTTGAAATATTAATGTTTTTCTTCTTTATTCCTTAAGCACATGTTCAGAACTGCTTTGTATCTTCTGGTGGACTGGATGTTTTGTCTCAAGTTCTTGTGCAGCTGGAGTCTGATTCACACAATACTTCTGCCAGTGCTAAGCTTGCAGTGGTAGTGACAAAGACCGTGGATGCATGTATTACTAATAATTGTGAGTGAAAACTGAGCTTTTTTAAACTGAACATGGGGAATGTTGAAATGCCACGTTAAATACTATTGGGAGCAAAATTTCCAGCTTCTTACAAGTGGAAAGGAATCTTAGAAATTGACTATTCTGGTTCCTTATTTTCCCATCAGAAGTTACAGCTCCCCTAAGAATGCACATCTACGTCTTTAACTTTAGGTCTAATAAGAATCAAAATAAGATCTTATGATTCTTAAGTCATTATTTTACTTAAAAAGCTGTTTGAGCTAGATGTGGTATAGTACATGCCTTTATTCCAGCATTTGTGGGGCAGAGGCAAGTGTATCTCTTGAGTTCCAGGTCAGCCATGGTAACATAGTGAGACCTTGTCTAAAAATAAAAAACAACTTTAATAAAACAAATTTAAATGACAAATCAAAAGACATTGAGATATAGGAAAACCCAGTGCACAAAATTTTAGCAATTATGTAAATAATTAAACTCGGACTGGAGTGGTGGTTCAGCAGTTAAGAGTTCTTGCTACTTTTCTAGAGGACATGAATTTGATTCCCAGCACCCAAGTTGGGCAGCTCACAACCACCTGTAACTCTAGCTCCAGGGGATCCAACATCTTCTGGCCTCGCATGGCATATACTTATATAGAGACACACATATATATCTCTTAAAAAATTAAAACATGCCTTTGTGATGAGTGAACAGTAGAACTAGAACTAAGGACACATCTGCTTCTCGTTTGTACAAATACTCAGAATAATAGTCTGTAAATCCTAGTAATAAGGAACCCTTTAAATTCATAAACAACCCAAAAAGTAGATAATTGAGTTTTTAAAGATTTATTTTATGGTAGGAGCTTTTTGCCTTAATGTTTGTATGTATACAATGTGTGTTCTTAATGCCCATAGAGATCAGAAGAGGACATTGGATCCCTTGGAGCTGGAGATACATGTGGTTGTGAGCTACTGTGTCAGTTCTAGGAACTGAGTCTGAGTTGTCTTTTATAAGACCAGCAAGTTCTCTTAACTACCGAGCCATCTCTCAGCCCCTAGACGGCTGTTTAATAAGCAGTTAATGAATACCTGCTGGGTGCTGAGTCCCAGAGACATAAAGGTAGTTGAGATATAGTCCTTTGAACCGTGAGATGTATCCGCAGGTAGAGGTTCCTGCTGCCAAGCTGGTAACCTGTGTTCAATCCTGGAACCCACATGGTGGAAGGAGAAAACTGACTAACGTTGTCATTTGATCTCTGTCTATGTACCATGGCATATGTGCTGTGAAAAAATTAAATGATATAGTTTCTTGAGGAATTCACAACTTTATTGTTCATACCAGTATTATTAGACTGCATGAACTCTGTTAAAAGCCCTATGAAGGCCATGCAGGGTAGTACATACCTGTATTCCCAACATTTAGGAAATAGAGGCAGAAAGATAAGTTCAGGGTTAGCCTCTGTTTAATAGTAAGACCCTGTCTCAAACAATAAAAAATAAAATAAATACCTTAAAAGGAAAAGTATAGCTTAATAGTAGACCTCTTGAATGTCATCACAGTTCATCATAGGTTTGTATAACCTTCATTGTATCATTAACATTAGTAGTGTCACAGTGTAATATTTCAATGTTAAGCAGGATTTGATTATCTAGTTGTCCTTACTGTCTAGTGTAGATAATAAGGAGATATGTAAGATAAGAATAGGTATATTCACCTTTTAGGAAAATAGCATTAGTTCATATTTACAATGTCATGCAAAACAACTAAGAAGAAACCATTAAAAAAGAAGAGGAACATAAGCCAGACAGTTATGGTACATTCATTTAATCCCAGAACTCGAGAGGCAGAAGTAGGTGGATCTCTGTGAATTTGAGGCCAATTTGGTCTACAGAGCTAGTTCCAGGACAGCCAGCTCTACAAAGAAAAACCCTAAAAACAAAACAAAAAAACCGAAGAACAAAAGCAAAACAACAAAAACCATAAAAGACTAGTCATGGTAGCACATACCTTTAATCTAGGGAGACAGAGGCAGGTGAATTTCTGTGAGTTTGAGGCCAGTCTGGTTTATGTAGAGTTCCAGGTCAGCCAGGAATACATAAAGAAACCCTGTCTCAAAAATAAAAAGAATGTATAATGAGGACTATAAATAAACCATCATCTTATTATAATGTATGTTTTTAAATTGAGATGTGTACACATAAATTTATGCTACATGGCATGTATATATTAGATAATATATAAGAATATGATATATTCTTGAATAAGCTCTGAAAACATATAGTACATGTATACTTAGAAATTTTAAATTTGTACTTTTTTCCCCTTCTATATTAACTAGTAGCTACTTTTTCATTGGTATTATCCAAATACCACATTGTTTCAAAACTTCTGACCTTACTGCTTCATGAAAGTCTTGGTTCAGGAGAAAAATTTAGCATCATACTTGCCATTGGTCACTGCACAGAGGATTGTGGTGAGTATTCAGTTAATTCAGTGTGTGTATTAAAATAGTGGGTAGAAACATGCTTTTACTTCTTTCTCCTTATTGTATGAAAGACTTAAAATCCAGCTTTTCTCCCAGCCATGTAAGCTCCTATTTTCTTTCTCATATTCTATTCAATTAGTCAGAGGCCACTGGTTGTACTTTTCTTTCTCACTCCATGTTTCTTTCCTATGCCCCAAACCCATTGTTCCCTTTCACCAGTACAAGTGTAACAACTGCCTCATCTGCTCCTCCTTGTCTCTCTAGACTTCTTGCTGAGTCAGTATACTACTGATCTAATCCTGTTATCTCTCACTGAAAACCTTGAAAGGCCAGTTTTTCTAACCTTCAGTGAAAACTTACTTTCTTTTTTTGGGATGGGGGAGGAGGTTTCGAGGCAGGGTTTCTCTGTGGCTTTGGAGGCTGTCCTGGAACTAGCTCTTGTAGACCAAACTAGTCTCTTGAACTCATGAGATCCTCCCACCTCTGCGTCCTGGGTGCTGGGATCAAAAGTGTGCACCACTACTGCCTGGCCAGTGAAAACTTTCAAAGGTTTTGTTTCCTCTTTCTATTTGCATCCTAGTCTCCCTCTAATCCTTTTTTTTTAAATTTAAATTAGAAACAAGGTTGCTTCACATGTCAATCCCAAGTCCCTCCCTTTCCTTTTCCCTCCCCTCCTCCCATGTCCCCATGCCCTCCCACCAACCCCCCCCCAATATCCCCTCATTTCCCCAGGGAGGGTGAGGCCTTCCATGGGGGGGTGTCCATAGTCTGTCATTTCATCCAGGGCAGGCCTAGACACTTCCCCAAGAGTCCAGGCTGAGAGAGCATCCCTCGTTGTGGGATGGGCACCCAGAGTCCATTTGTATGCCAGGGATAAATACTGATCTCCCTCTAATCTAATCCATCTTTCCAACAATCTCCACTTTACTCTCTTGTAATCATTTCCCTTCTTCCTTTCACTTTTCCACTACTCTCTTCCCTTATTTTTTGTTTTCTTTATCAGTTTCTCTATTCTTTCTCTTAACCTTTTAAGACTGTTTTATTTATGCCTATGTATGTGTGTGTCTCTGGGTACCCACCGAGGCCAGAAGAGGAGGGCTAGCGTCAGAGGTGATTGTGAACCACTTGATGTGGGTATGGAAACCAAATTCAGGTCCTCTGCAAGAGCAGCAAGTGCTCTTAACTACTGAGTCATCTTTCCAGTCCCTACTCTTGATCCTTTTTTGATACCAAATGAGAGCTATTTGATTATTCTTATGAGGTGTGGTATACTGTGGGAACATTTTAGAAATCATCATTTATGAGACATAGGTAGCTTGTGTAAACAGATAGCTAAACTGAAAATACTTTTGAGATTATATTTTTAAAAGTTTGAATTATGTTCATAATTATCACAGTGATGAATCATGACCTCATGCAAAGCTTTATAAACTTTATGAAAAAAATCATCACTATTTTAATGTTTTATATTTTTACAGAGGAAAATCAGTATGAACTTTTAAAAAGCAATGGGCTTCCACTAATGATACAAGCTTTAACTGAATTTAAGAATGAAGAACTAAACAAAGCTGCCACTTACGTGCTTCACAACTGCAAAAAAATTAGTAAGTTTACTGTTACTTTAGGAAAATATCAACTAGCTGGGCAGGGTAGTGCACACCTTTATCCTAGCCCTGGGAGGCAGAGGCAGGCAGATTCCCTGTGAGTTCAAGGCCAGCCAGGCCTACATAGTAATATTCTATCACAAACAAACAAACACCCCAAAATATTAACTATCAGGTATAGTGACACATAACCTTTAATTTCAGGACCACAGGCAGGCAGATTTTTGTATGTTCAAAACCAACCTGAATTACATAGTGAGACACTTTTCCAAAGTAAAAGAAAGGAAAGAAAATAACCAGTGTTGCTAAAGAGAAATTTGTATGTACTATGATGACCCCAAGCTGTTTTAGATTCCAAGTTTTGTTTTTTTTTTAGGCTTGAAAAAAGCATACATTCCCAGCACTTGGGAGGCAGAGGCAGGCAGATCTCTGTGAGTTTGAGGCCAGCCTGGTCTACAGAGCTAGTTCCAGGCCAACCAAGGCTACACAAAGAAACCATGTATTGGAAAAAACAAAAAGAGCATACATAATTTGGAAATGACAATTAGACATTTTCAGTATACTCAAGCCCATGTAGAAGAGAACATCCAGATAGCAGTAGCTGAAAGAATCCATTTATTTTATGCCTCATGTTATATTTCTAAATCATAATATAAAGTACATTTGTTCATTGGTTTAAAGTATTAGAATTTCTATCATGTGCTAAGTACCATCAAAGGCACTGGGATTAATGGTAGTGTTATAAGCAAACTATGGGCCTGTAAGTTTAGTCTAAGTAAAGAAATAGTAATTCTAAAAAACAGATTAGATATTACTATAAATTGACATAACAATTATGAGGACGTGTATTGCCGATACTTAGTAATACCCTATAGTAAAGTGGTCTGACCCAGCTTTAAAGCAGTAAAGGTTTTGGGAGATAGGGCCAAAAATCATTGATAGAAAGAGATCTGAATGTCTAGAGTTAACCATGTGGAAAGAGGAATGTGCTATGGGCAAATGGCTCAGGCCTAAGCAGCAGGTTCTAGCTCAGGAGGAAAACTGGTATATTCAAAGAATATACCCGTCTAGCTGGAGCCCAGGGAGCTGGTAGTAGCTATAAGATTCCTTTATGAACAAAAAGCTGGAGTAATAACATTTTTTAAAAGACTGTATTTTAAGCACATCTGTGTTCCCTAGTTTGCTTTCTACTGTTATGTTGAGCATTATGCCCAAAAGCAACTTGGGGAAGAAAGGGTATATTTCACCTTACACCTTACAGTACATCATTAAGGGAAGTAAGGACAGGAACTCAAGACAGGAACTGAATCAGAGACCATGAAGGAACACTGCTTACGTAGCTTGGTTAGCTTGCTTTTGTATTTAACACATAGGAACATCTGCCCAGGATTGGAACCTCCTCCAGTGATCTGGGCCTGCCTGCATCAATCATTAATCATGAAAATGCCCCCACAGACTTGTCTACAGGCAATCTGATAGAGGTATTTTCTCAGCTGAGGTACCCTCTTCCCAGATGACTCTAACTTACGTCAAGTGAATGAAAAACTAACCAAACCAATCTACTTTTGGACTAGAGATGTAGCTCAGTGATATAGATATGCTTAGTATGTGATTGACCCTGACTTTAATTCTTGCATTCCAAACAGACTAAAGTCAGTAACCTTGTATCTGGAATAACATTTTCATGTGTTATTTTCCAAAACTATGAAAAGTAGAGCCTAATTTTTGACTATATTCTAGGCCCCTATCATGCCTTCTTTCCACTTAACTTTCAGTGGAAATATACAATTGTTGTATATGGGTATACAGTTTAAAGATGGGATGGGGTGGAATATGTAGTTGTCCTTAAAGTGTGATTACATTTCTAGTAATGATAAACTTACTGTTCCCTTTCCCCTGTCTCTTCCCTACCCCCACCCCCGTGCATCCCATATTACAAAGCCGAGAAATTATCTCTAAGTCTAGGAGAGAATTCTTTTGATGAAAATGAAGCAGATCAACTAAAGAGCATAAATGACAAAGAGAATCTTGAAGAGCATTGGAAGTCAGCAAAGGAAATTATATGCAGAATAAAACAATTTGAAAGAGAAGGAAAAGAGGTTGGTTTTTTCATTTTACGGAATATAAAACTCTGTGCAAATACTTTAGAACAATAGAGGTTGGCAGTAAAAATGTTTTTCTCCAGTTATTTTTAAAATGTTTAATGTAAATTTTAATAGTAATACCTAAAAGACTCAACCTTGAACAAAACAAATTTTTACATTTTTTCTTTATTATTAAAAACCATTTTGTTTTTATTTGTGGGGGGAGCGGTGGTGTGTGTCTCTAAATGCCTGAAGTGTCCAGAACAGGACACTGGATCCCCTGGAGCTAGAGTTATAGGGGTTGTGAACTGCCTGACGTGGGCATTAGTTAGTATTTCAACCCATAGCCCCTAGAAAAGCAGCAATAATTCCTAACTGCTGAGTTATTTTTCCATGTCCTATTTATTTTGTGTTTACTTTTATTTATATGTATATGCACACCACACATTTAAGGGAGCCCCAAAAAGAAGACAGAAGAGGGTGTCAGATCCCCTTGAGTTAGGCTTACAGGTAGTTATGAGCTGCTTGATGTGGATGCTAGGAACTGAACCCGGGTCCACTGAACAGTAGTATGTTCTCTTAGCCACTGAGCCATCTTTTTTTTTCTTTGTTTTGTGTTTTTCTTTTTTCTTTTTCAAGACAGGGTTTCTCTGTGTAGCTTTGGAGCCTATCCTGGAACTTGCTCTGTCCTCGAACTCGGAGATCCACCTGCCTCTGCCACCCAAGTGCGGGGATTAAAGGCATGTACCACCAATGCCTGGCTCTGAGCCATCTCTTCAGCTCCTAAATGATATTTTTTCTTAATTTTAGTTTAGTGTGCATGGGTGTTTTACCTTCATTTGTGTCTGTGCGTCGTACACATGCCTGGTGCCCAGAAGGCCAGAACAGTGACTCAGATCTCCTGGAACTGCAATTATAGTTGTGAGCCACCTGGGAATCAAACCTGGATCATCTGACACAGCAGTTACTGCTCTTAACCCTTGAGCCATTTCTCCAGCTCTCCCAAATGATTTTTTAAAGGTGTGTGTGTGCGCGTGCGTGTGTGTGTGTGCGCACACGTGGATGCCTGTGGAGTCCAGAATTGGGTGTCAGATCCCCTGCAACTGGAGCTACAGGTGATTGTAAACTGGCCAATGTGGGTGCCGGTAACTGAACTCAGATTCTCTGGAAGAGCAACAAGCTTTCTTAAGCACCAACTCATCTTTCTAAGCCCCTAAATGATTCTTTAGAAAGTAGAAATGGTAACAGGAAAGACTAGCTACACAAAAGATAAAACTAGGAAATCTAACATCTGAATGATAGTTCAAAAAATTTTCAGAAGAAACAATCTAATTTCCATCCCTCTTCTCCACTCCCAGACACATACACAGTCTAAAATGTAGGTGTATGGCCTGGACGATGAATTAGTGGTTAAGAATATTTGCTGTTCATGAAGAAGACCTGGGTCCAGTTCTTAGCACACATGCAATTGCATACAATCAGTTCTAGGGAATCCTACATTCTTTTCTGGTCTTCTCAGGTACCAGATATGCACATAGAGAATGTACACACATACACATGCAGGCAAAACACTTATATACCTAAACTCAAATCACTTTGCAAGTGGGAGGTGCATATGTGAATGCTGCTAACTATAACAGTATACTGTTTTATAGTAAACTTTTTTATTAAGTAGAAGGAATATGCTAAAACAATGATAAAAGTATAGCATAGTAAATTGTACACTGTGTGAAAATGTATTGCTGTGATTTATGTAATAAGTTGAACAACAAATAGCTAGGTAGGAGGTATAAGCAGGATTTTTGGGGAAAGAAAGGAAGAGGAGAAAGAATGTAGGCATGCAGGAGAAGCTAGGAGACATGGAGTGGAAACAGGAGGTACAAGATAGGAGAGAGGTAATGCCACATGATAGAATGTAGGTTAATATAAATGGGCTAGTTTAAGTTGTAAGAGATAGTTGAAACAAGCCTAAGCTAAAGACTGAGCTTTCATACTTAATATTAAGTCTATATGTCAATATTTGGGTTTTGCCAATTCCTCTGAGCCTCAACCAGGGAAGACTTTGCTACTCCCATGGGTCTAAGGCGTTGGGGTCCTTGACACAGCTGTTCTCCTGTCATCAGTACACATTTACTCTGGACTTCCTGACCATATGCATTGTTGGGAGAGTGCACATGTGTATGGTAAGCCTGTAGAAGTCAGAGGACACACTTTGGTGTTAGTCCTCAAGTGCTTTCCACATGTTTGAAATAGCTTCACATTGACTTGGAACTTCACATACACCAGGATAGCTGGTTTGAAAGCTTCCGGGGACCCGTTTATCTCCCACTTGGGTTACAGGTGTGCACCACTAATCGCTAGATTTTTATGTGGTTTTTGGTCATCTGAATTCCAGTCCTTATGCTTTCAAAGGCAAGTAGTTTCCTGACTGCACCATCAACAACTTGAGATGTAATTTTCATTCTATTCATTTGTTACCTAATTCAGTGTTTTTAGTTTACTACACTATTTGTTCTTTTCAAATGCAGTAACATGCATAACAGTATTTCGTTTCAAACGTTCTCTACTTTTTTGATACTAGGTCTTACTTGTAGCCCTTGCTGGCCTAGAACTTGATGATCAGGCTGACTTCATACTTGTTGCAAACATACTTGTTGCAGTCTTCTACCTCTGCTTCCTAAGTACCGGGATTATAGGCATGAGTACCCTGCCTGGCTTCATTTTTTAAACGCACCATTAGGTAATATTAAGGACATTTTTATAATGTCCTGCAACCATATCTATCCCCTGATCCTTGTTTCTAGAGTTTCCGTTTGTTTGTTTGAATCAAGATCTCACTTTGTAATGCTGGCTCTCCTGGATTGCATAGACCAAGTTGGCTGGGTACATGGGCAGTTTTTGTGCCTCTGGCTTCTGAATGCTGGGATTATGGGCCTGTGCCACAAGAACCAGCAGGTTGGTGGGTTTGCTACTGTTATTTGTTTAAGACAAATCTCATATAGCCTTAGACTCAGTGGGTATTGAAAGATGACCTTGAATTCTTGATCTTCCTGCCTCTGCTTTCCAAATGCTGAGGTTACAGGCCTATGGCACCACACCCTGTTTATCTATTTTTAAATGTGCTATTTGGTGGAAATATCTATTGTATGTAATCCTTTGGAAGATAAGAGTGTTGATAGCAATACAGATGATGGAGGCCTCGTTTGTGAAGTTCCAGAGGTAAGTTTGAGAATTACACTATTGGGACAACTGCACATTTGCAATTTTGAACTGTACTTCTGTTGGCTGGGGCTGAAGATTTGGCAGCTTTACTGGGACAATTGATGCTGGTTAGCTGGAGCTGAGAACAATGATTAAAAGACACTGGAATTTTGAGGTGAAATCATCTGAGAATCAGTACACAGAAGCTGTATTCAGAGGCAGCCAAGCTTGTATCTTGTGCTGGCAGCCCAACTTGGTAGTACTGTAAGAGACACGCAGGTTGTACTGGTTTTGAAGACATGAAGGCATCATGAAAAGCAACTGGGAGAGGCCACTGGAGAAGGTGCAGCCTCGGTAGCAGTTGAAGCCTCAAGACTGAAGGGGTCATGCAGAGATGATGAGGGCTGACACCATGAAGAAGAGCCCAAGAGAGGCTATTGGTGGAAGTGCCTACTTGCAACAGAAAGCCCATAACTTTGGGGATGTCAGTACCATGGGATGACCACCAAGAACAGCAGCAGTGATGGAATGGTGCCTGCCAGAGCCTGGAAGACAGCTGTGTGTGCCGCAGAGAGCAGAGCCGTGACCCAAGCCCTTCAGAGGAGCCCAGAAGGTTGTGAGTGAATCCTGGACACTGAGTTATTTATACTTTTGGAGTTTGGTTTTACCTTGTTCAGATTTTGACTGTGCTCTGGTTCTTCTCTCTTGAAGTAAATAAAGTACTTAATTTATTTTTGATTTTACAGGAGCCCACAGTCGAGAGACTTTTTTTTTTTTTACAAAGGTGATTTTGGAGTTTTACAGAGAATTTTAATTTTAAAAGAAACTGGATATTTTAAAGTGTTTTAATTTATAAAACTGTGGGATTTTATAATTTTGTAAAACGTTTTACATTGTGAAATCTTTCTTAATATGTAATCTTGAGATGAACAAGGAAAGGTTGTGGCTTAACAGTGATGTATTTGTGTGTCAAGTTGACAAGAGGGTCAGATGTCCTGGCTAGTTTTATGTTGCCTTGACACCAGCTAGAGTTATCAAAAGGAGGGCAATGCCTTTCTAAAAATGGGTTACAGGCAAGTCTGTGGGGCATTTTCTTAATTAGTGATTGATATGGAAGGGCTCAGCCCATTGTGAGTGTATGCCATCCTTGGGCTAATTATCCTAGGTGATATAAAGAAGCAGACTGAGCAAACCATGTAAATCAAGCCAGTAAGCAGCATCCCTCTATGGCCTATGCATCAGCTCCTGTTTCCAGAGTTCTGTCTTGTTTGAGTTATTATCCTGACTTCCCTTGGTAATAAGGAAGTATAAGCCTTTCTTCTCCAGTTGTTTTGGTCATAGTGTTTAATCACAGCAATAGTAACCCTAAGACTTCCCACAACGTATTTATCATTCTAAACTGAAACGTGTGTCTATTAAATAACTCCTGACTTTTTTTTTAATTTGACAGTCAAACCCAGGGCTTTGCATGCCAGTGCTGTTCTACTGCTATGCTGTATTCCTAGCTTTCAACACACACACACACAGCTAAGCACACACACAGCTAAGCACACACATGCATCATATATTTGTTTGAGCCTTGCTTGCACTTCTTATGAAGTAGAATTGCTTGGTCATAGCCTAGTGTAATTCTTTTTGGGGGGCGGGGAAGGCTTCGAGACAGGGTTTCTCTGTGGCTTTGGAAGCTGTCCTGGAACTAGCTCTTGTAGACCAGGCTGGTCTCAAACTCACAGAGATCCGCCTGCCTCTGCCTCCCTCTAGCCTGGGGGACATGAGATCTGTGATGTGTTGTTCACAGGCATCAAAGGTGTGAGTGACCATACCTAGCTGTGTTAGAGTCTCAAGGTGTATCTGTGGTGGTCAAGGTTCTTTCCTTCTTCCTTTGTGTGGGTTCTGATGATTGAACTCAGGTCATCAGCCTTCCTTGGCAAACTCTTTTTTGTTTGCTAAGCCGTCTCGTTGAACTGTGTTGGAGTTTCTTCATTCACAGCCACCAGGACAAAAACACTAGATTCTAGAGTGAAGAATATATATTCTTCACTGCCCCCTTTTCATATTCCCTTAGTTTCTCCTTTGCTATCCTGCTTCATTTCTCCATTGTGTTATAGCTTTTATGTTGTTCTTCATGCCCAAAGCCTTTTTGATCCCATGGTGTGATAAACTTTCTCTAATTGGAAGATTGTATAATTCTTTTTTTGGTTTTTTGAGAGTTTCTCTGTGTAACAGCCCTGACTGTCCTGAAACTCATTCTGTAGACCAGGCTTCCTGCCTTGAACTTACAGAGATCTGTCTACCTCTGCCTCCTAAGAGCTGGAATTAAAGGTGTGTGTCACCACCACCAGACAAGAAGCTTGGATAATTTTTATCCCCAGCATTTACATTTCATTTTGATATATCTTTTTAGAGTTTATATCTTAGGTAATCAGTTTTGGATTCAGTTTCATCAAACCTTTATAGTTATTTGCCTGTCTTTTTAGTTTTGATTTTTATTTTTTTAACCTTTTATTATTCCATTGATGGCTGTTATTGTGAATTTACTCTTTTTAGAAAATCGATCTATGGGCTGGAGAAAGATAGCTTGGTGGTTAAGAGCACTGATTGTTCTTCCAGAGGACATGGGTTCAATTCCCAGCACCCACATGGCAGCTCACAAACCTTTATAATTCAAGTTCCAGAAGATCTGACACCCTCACACAGACAAATGTATGCATAAAATCAAAATAAGGAAATAAAATTAAAAAAAAGAAAATTGATCTTTAAAAAGCTTTATAGAGGACCAAAGTAAAATATAAGCATTTAATTTATTTTCACTGGAAACTGTTTCTTGGCAGATTGTTTCACTGGGTGAATTTACTATTAGCTATTACAATGCCACAATTAAGAACATTGACATTGCACCTGTAAAAGTGTGGTTATTTTTGTTTTATTTTTTATTCTTTTGACTCTTTGGGAGCCCACCACCCAGCTCCTAAATAAATCACATGGAATCTTTTTTTTAATTATTTATTCATTATGTGTACAGTGTTCTACCTGCATGTCTGCTTACATGCCAGAAGAGGGCACCAGATCTCATTGTAGATGGTTGTGAGCCACCATGTGGTTGCTGGAAATTGAATTCAGGACCTTTGGAAGAGCAACCAGTGCTCTTAGCCTCTGAGCCATCTCTCCAGCCCCACATGGAATCTTATTCTTTCTTATCAATTCGTGGCCTTAGCTTGACTTGTTTCTAGCCAGCTTTTCTTAATTTAAATTATTCTATCTACTTTTTGTCTCTGGACTTTTACCTTTCTCTATTCTATATACCTTTCTTTACTTCTTACTCTGTTGCTTGCTGTGTAGCTTGGGTGGCTGACCTCTGGTGTCCTCTCTCCCCTTCTCATTCAATCTTCTCCCAGGTTTGTCCTCCTGTTTATTCTCTCTGCCTGCCAACCACACTTAGCCTCTCTCCTGCCCAGCTGTTGGCCATTCAGCCCTTTATTAGACCAAAAGGTGTTTTTAGACAGGCAGAGTAACAAAGCCTCACAGAGATAAACAAAAGCAACACATCTTTACATAGTTGAACAAATATCCCACAACATAAACAAATGAAACACATCTTCAACTAATATTCCACAACATAAAAGTTATCCATAGAATTTTTCTTATACATGCAGGTTTTATTATAAAAGTTGTCAAGACAGAAATAAAATAAAAATTTAAAGGCTGGGCTGTTTGCCTTTAATCTGTCTCTGGAGGCAGAGGCAGGAAGATCTCTGTGAGTTTGAGGTTAGCTTGGTCGATATAGCAAATTCTAGACCAGCCAGGGCTACATGATGTCATCCTGTCTCAAAAAAAAAGTTACTAAATAACTTGTTATTTAGTTATGGATACACTCTAGCCAGTAATGCTCAAGCTGTTTTCTTCACATGCTTTGGATCTGTCTTGGTAAAGAAGGAAGATAGTGCAGTGTAATTTCAGTAGTTATTTCTCTTATTACAATGAGATGGAGGAATTTTTCATATGGTTAAGAGCTACTTATGTTTTCTGTCCAATGAACTGTTTGTCTCCTTTGCTTACCTTCCCATATGATTGTTATCTTTTTCTTAGGTAGGGCTTTTTATTAGTGTTATTTAAGAGTTAACTGCATGTAGTGGCACAAGCCTTTAATTCCAATGACCACAGGCAGATCACTGTGAGGACAGGCTAGTGAGGAGAGCAAGTTCCAGGACAGCCAAGGCTACACAAACCCTGTCTCAGGGGTGGGGGTAGAATTATCCTGCGTTCTAGCACATGATTTATATATGATTTTCTGTGTCTTGATTGCCATTGGTTTTGCTTCTTGCTCTTTTCCCACTCTAAGTCCATTCTCTTTCATTGTTCTTGATCCCAAGGAGAGCTTTCAAAGATATTTTTATGTGGTCAAGTATATTAGGGCTTTTTAAAAATGTTGTAGTTATTGTTTACTAGTTAAAAAGGTTTTCCACCTCTTGATAAGTTTCTTTTATAGTAGTTTCTTTTTTTAATTCATTAATTTATTTTATATCCCAGCCACAGCCTCCCCCCACATTGTAAGCGTTTCAGGATGGATCAGGTATTCTGGCTCTTGGGAGTCACAGAATACTGAGTGTTACACAGCTCAGATGGAAAAGTATCCTGGAGCTCAGGAGCCAAGGAATACCACAGGTTGTAGTAAGCTTAGCTGCTTACAGCCCAGCCTCAGGGAAAGGTTTCCCCAGTGTGTCCGCTCTGTACAAGCAGGGCAGGGTCTTCCAGCTGGGGATGTTTGCCCAGTGTAGCAGTTTTGCTCGGCAGGAGGTTTCTCAGCGAAGTTGCTACAATTCAGTTCTGCTCCAGGAGAGCGGAGAAAGCGAAGCTTTGTCAAGGGAGAGCAGAGTGTAACAACTCGGCTCTGCCAAGGGAAGGTTTCCCTAGCAAAAGTGTTTGAAGGGGTTTATTGGAAGGAAGCCGCTGGACCGGCCAAGCTGAACACACACAGGGTTTATATAGGGATTTTTGAGGGCGGGGGTGGGAGGGTAGTTTTCCCAGGGTAGCAATTGGTCCAATTTCAGTGCTGAGCTCAGATTGGCTAGAGCACCTACCCAAGGATTGGTTGGTTTTCTGCACAGGATTAGGGTCAGATTTGGCTCTGGTTTCAAGGCCATAGTGTGTTTCTTTCTCTGGTCCTTTTTAGCCATTTGGCTCCAATTTTAGGGCCAGGGTGCATTTCTTTCACTGACTCTGATTCCAGGGACAAAGTGTGTTCCTTTGGCACTGGTTTTAGGGTCAGGGTACATTTCTTTGGTTCTGGTTGCAGGGCCAAAGTGTGTTTCTTTGGCTCTGCTCAGGGTGTGTTTCTTTGACTGGTCCCTTTTCCCTACACACATTGCCCCCCAAGGCATTCTCCCCTAGTCTCCTTCCCACCCTGTATTGCCTTTTTTAATATTTATTTGTGTGTGTTTGTGTGTGTGTGCATGTGCATGTGCACACATATGCACATGTATGCCCAAAGACAACTCGTAGAAGCCAGTCTTCTCCTTCTACTTATGTGGGTCCTGGGGATCACACTTTGGTTGTGAAGCACCTTTATTCACCTAGCCATCTCCCTGGGCCTATATAATGTTATTTAACATTTTAAAAATATTTAGCTCTCTTTTACCATATTGTTGTGAAACTGTCATATAGCTACTTTTTATCCCCCTCAGGTAGCTTCTCAAGTATCATAATATCATTTATTAAGTAAAATTTCTTTCTCTTCCTAATGTAAATTATTTATTTTATTGTAAGTGTTTAAAATAATAAAGTTTTATGTATTATTTAAAGGAAATGTAAAGCATATTATACAGAAATGATTAAGTCAAAATTATTTACTTGCTATTTTTATATTGTAGGAGAAATTACAAAGTGGACAATATAAGGATAACACCTCATCCATGAAAGTAAAAATACAGAACAATGTGAAACATCTCTGTGCAGATAGTATTGGAAGTACCAAAGCAGAAAATAAGTATATAAACCAGTCTGGACAGCTTCACAATTTTAAGTCCAGTGGAGTCACGCCTAAAGCTTGTGGGAATGAAAACCAAAAGAAGACTCTGAAAAAGAACACAAATCCTCTTAATCCTCGCTATAGGGAGAGAGGGCAGGATAAAATTTTACATAAAGCTACTTCAAGTTGTACTCAAAACTTAAATGAAAAAATGACTTTTAACAAAAAGGATTCTGTTTCTCAATCAAGGTATATTTTAATGATTATAGTGTTTAATTTATTCAGTAAGTATTTATTGTGTGTCATGCTGTTAAGCACTGTGGATACAGGAATGGTTAAACCTGGTTTTGGGAGGAGCCTTAAGTAGGAATTCTTTTTGTTCCTTTTTTTCTTTTTTTTTTTTTTTTTTTTTTTGGTTTTTATGAGACAGGGTTTCTCTGTATTGTTTTGGAGGCTATCGGTCCAGCCTGGCCTCGAACTCACAGAGATCCGCCTGCCTCTGCCTCCCGAGTGCTGGGATTAAAGGCGTGCGCCACCACCGCCCGGTTTGTTCCTTTTTTTCAAATGCATTTATCCTTTTACAATTTCATACATATAAAATATACTTTATCTTATTTTCCTTTCAGAATATTCAGGGTTTCTCTGTAGCTTTGAATCCTGTCCTGAAGCTCACTCTGTAGATCAGGCTGGCCTTGAATTCCCAGAGATCCACCTGCCTCTGCCTCTGGAGTGCTGGAATTAAAGTTGTGTGCCACCACTTCCAGGCCCTTTCAGGATATTTTTATCCCCTCCTCCTCCTGCCAGTTCCTTTTTTCTTCCAGCATATTTGCTTGTGTGCCTCACTGCTTTTCATTAGGGTTGCTTGCCATGAGCATGGATGGGAAAGGAAAAAAATTGAGACAGGATCTCTTATATCCAAAGCTTGTATGTAGCTGAGGATGACCTTGAAATTCAGATCTCCCTACGTCGATCTCCCAAGTGTTGATGTTATAGGCAAGTATAACCACACCCAGTTTTCGCGGTGCTAAGGATCGGACCCATAGCTGCTGATTTGGTACTCTATCAAATGAGCTACATCCCCAGCTCTGAAGTGTTTTGAAAAAAATTGGCCAATGAATTTGGATGAGGAGGTATGGATTCTAGTTTATCAAGGCTTTGCATGTTGTTCTCAGGATTTGGGAGTTTAATCCACATGATGTGGGGAGCCACTGAAGACATTTTTGCTTTATTTTCCTGTTTGAAATAGTCTCATGAATAACAAAAAGTCTTCACCTATCTTGTACCTTGAATTTACCCTTATGTGTACTACTACTCCCAGCTTATATGATGCTAGCTCAAAGCCAGGGCTTCATACATGTTAGTCAAGCATTCTCACAACTGAATTATGACCCAAGCTCCTAAAGACTTTAAATTGAATGAAATATTTGTGTTAGTTTTATGTCAACTTGACACAAACTAAAGTCATCTGAGAGGAGGGAACCTCTCAACTAAGGAAATACCTCCATCAGACTGGGACTGTACAGAAGCCTGGGGCATTTTTTAATTACTGGTTTATGGGACAGGGCCCAGCCATTCTGAGTGTTGCTATCCCTAATCTGGTGGTCCTGGGTTCTATAAGACTGTGCAAGCCATGTAGAGAGCAAGCTTGGCCTCTGCCTTAGCTGCTGCATCCAGATACCTGCCCTTTTTGAGTTCCTGCGCTGACTTCTTCTATGATGGGCTACAACATGGAAGGATAAGCCAAGTAAACCCTCAACTTACTTTTTGATTATTGTGTTTCATCCCAGCAATAGAAACCCTAAGACAACAAAATTTGAATTTTAGAAATTATGCTTACAAAAGAAGGCTTAAACTAAGTCCCTATATTTGAAGTAATAAGCATTGAAACTTTCAGCAATCTGACAAAAACTAGTTTGCAAGTTTACTGTGGTAAAGGGAGTAGAGTTTGGTGAAGCTCCAATTTGGGATTGCTTCCCCTCCCCCCTCAGTTTTGTTTCCATTACTGCCTTTTTCCCCTCACAGGTAGCATGTAAGATTGGATGTAGGCATACAGCTTTTCCTCTTGTGTTTGTCTGATGGCTATTGTACTTAAGGAAAATGAAGAGGAGGCTATGCTCTGGTCACATTACAGGGTAAACGAAGTGCCAGGAAGATGGATTATATTATCACTCCTTCCTTTCCTTTTTTTTTTCTTCTCAAGGACAATTTTATTAGAGTTTGAAAGAAAAACAAGGCCAACAAGCTGTTAATCTCAGTAGCTGTCAGGATGAGAGAGAAGGAGAGAGAAAGCCTTGAGTTTTTGAGTTAAGGGTTGAAAAAGCCGGTGTATTGAGCAATGTCAGTCAATAAGGTGCTTTTCCGTGGAAGAGGAAGAAGGTTTCAAAGAAAGTGAACAACTCCAGCATGTCAATAGAAACATGCTTAGACTTTTGACCAGTGTCCAAAAGAAAAATAGACACAAACCAAAGGAAAATTTACACTTTTGTCAGAACTGAGAAAATTAAGCAGTTTAGGAGTGCTCCATGGAAGCTATCAAGACTGCTATCAGTGGTAATTTTAACTTCACCTCTCAAGGATAGGAAACTGCAGAATGCTGAGATATGTTTTTGCGTCAGCCTTCTTGCCTTCTGTTCCAAGGCTTTCACCCATACTCTTGTTTTCTTTTCGGATTGGCCCTATTTTTATTTTATGAATGGTTTGCACATGTGTGTCTATGTACCATGTGTGCCTGGTACCTATAGAGGACAGAAGAGAGGGCATTGGATCCCCGGGGACTGGTTACAGGCAGTTGTGAGCCTACATGTGGGTGCTGGGAATCAAATCTGTATCCTCCAGAAGAACTCTTAACTAGTCAGTGCTCATAACTGCAGAGCCATCTCTCTAACTTTCAGATTGGCCATGTTTCTGTCTTAGCTGTTATTGTTATTTTAGTGTCAGTTTGAGTTACTCATACTTGTATTTTAATTGTTTTCCCCTTCTGTCTTGTACCTCCTACAAATAGGTTTACACAGGGCTAGAGATTAACAATAATCATTGTTAATATCTGTGGCAGTTTGATATTGGCCCCTATAAAAGGGCTGGTTATGACAAAAGGGTTAGTTCAGTTGGCAGAGTGCATGCTTGCTGTGCACAAGACCCTGTGTTTGATTCCCAGTATTGCATCAGTGAGCATAGTGGTACATGTCCATAATACCAGCACTCAGAAAGTGAAGGCAGGAAGATCAGGAGTCCAGAGTCGTCTTCCACTACAAAGCAAGTTGAGGGCTAGCCTGGGTTGTGTGAGACTGTCTCAAAACAGAAAATAAACATACATCTTGCCATATCCTTTTAAATATTATTTTTCTTTTTATTTTCTGTGTATGGGTATCTGTCTGCATTTGTGTCTATGTATTGTGTGCATGTCTAGGGCCTGTAAAGAGGCCAGAAAAAGTTGTCAGATCCCCTAAGTTACCCTGTGGGTACTGGGAATTGAACCTGGGTCCTCTGGAAGTGAACCACTTAACCAGTGGGATATCTTTCCAGCCCCCATCAAGGATTTATTTACCAGACATAACTGTGTGGTTCCATATAAGAAATTTTTTTGTTTTTCTGAGATTAGATCAGGTTGGCTTACAACTCATGATATTCCTCAGTCTCCCAAGTGCTGGGATTACAAGTGTATGTCCTATGCCCAGTTTACAAAAGGCTATTGTCTTAGGGTTTCTATTGCTGTGAAGAGACACCATAACCAAGGCAACTCTTATGAAGGAAAACATTTCATTGGGGTGACTTACAGTTCAGAGGTTTAGTTCATTATCATCACTGCAGGACATGGCACCATGTAGGCAGCCATGGTGCTGGAGAAGGAGCTCAGAGTTCTACATCTTGATCTGCAGGCCACAGAAGCAATGGTGTACCACACTGAACATGCTTGAGCAAAGGAGACGTCAAAGTACACCCCCACAATGACACTTCCTCCAGTAAGGCCACACCTACTCCAACAAAGCCTTGCCTCCTAATAGTGCCACTCCCTATGAGTTTTATGGGGACTAATTATATTCAAACTGTAATAGATATTAGCAATGAATTTGTTATATTATTGTTGGTTATCCTATCCTCCATGTTCTTCTCCCAGATTTTGTTCTCTCCCTTTTGGCCTTTATTCTTCCTTTTTTCTCCTCTTCCTTTTTCTTTTTTCTTTTTTCTTTTCTTGAAACCAAGTCTCCTGTATCCCAATCTAGCCTTAAGCTCACTCTGTATTAGAGGGTGACTTTGAACTTTTTTTTATCCTTCAGCTTTTACCTCCTGAGTGCTGAAATTAAGATATGAGGTACCACACCCAGTTTATGTGTGGGGATTGAACCCAGGGCTTCACACACGCTAGGCAGACAATGTGCCAACTGAGCTCCATCCCTACTCCATCTTTTCTTCTAAGTGTTTTTTTCCTGTATTCTTTTTTTCTTTTTGGATTCAGACTATTATACATTCATCTATTTCCTCCCCCCCACACGACTTTGTCATATGCTAGGAATAAACTCAAGGTTCTGTACTACATAAACTGGGTGTGGTAACATATACCTTAATCCCTAGCACTCAGGAGATAGAGGCAGAGGAGTAAAAAAAAATTAAAGTCACCCTCTAATACAGATCAAGTTTAAGGACAGTCTGGGATACAGGAGACTTGGTTTTTTAAAAAAAATGCTATAACCCTAGCCCTCTACTAGTGTTTTTTTTTAATAATATTTTGATTCTGTCTTTTATCAAGACTATTACTCTCTGCAGTCTTGTTTACTCTTCAAACAAGGCTATGAGTATTGCAGACCCTACTTTGGCCAAATTTTGTTGATGTGGTAGTCAGCTTTCTGTCACTATAACACAATACCTGAAGCAATTAACTTATATAGAGAAAGGTTTATTTTGACTCATATTTTGGGAAGTTACAGTCTGACATGGTGGCCCGAGTACTCTTTGCTTTGGGGTCTCTAGCACGGACAGCAGATGTCAGAAACGTCTGTTGGAGCAAACCACTCACCCCATGAACCAAGAAACAGAAGAAAATAGGACACACCAGAGATGTACAGTCCCCTTCAAGGGTATATACCTGGTGGCCTTAAGACCTTATACAAGGCCCCACCTCCTAAAAAATCTCAAAATCTCCCAGTAGTGCCAAGCTGAGGGTCAGAGCTTGAATAATGGACTTTGGGGGCACATTTGACATTCAGTAGTAGGCTGAGGAAACATCTCCATCTTCCTACTGAACATTCCGAACCACAAAACTGTTTAAAATTTCCCCCATATCACAGAATTTTTACTTCTAATTATATAGTATCCATTTTCTTTTAGTGATCATGTTGAACATCCAATTCACACTGTCAAAGATAGAAAGCAACGAGTATCAGAACCAGGTATGATTTTAAATGTTTCTTCTCTGGTTTTTCAAGAAAATAGGTATTTGGTATGGCTGAAACTTAAATGTAAGTTGGTATATCTGCCCTGTGTAAGCCATACTTTTGACTCTGGTGCATCTGCCTTTATTACCATTTACTCATATCCAGAATCTTTTTATTTATTCACTAAGATGATTGGTTATGTAGTAGTGAGAGAGAATGTATGAAAAATCTGAGGCTTAATAAATATTACAAATTTCAGAATCTTTTCATCAAATAAAAAATCTTTTTTTTGCATTTTTTCAGATCCATTTACATTGTGTTTAGACATAATAGATAATGAAGTTGGTTTTCAAGCAACTGATAACTGTTCCAAAATGTTGAAATATAGGTGCTCAGGTAAATATTTTATTATAATAATTTCATAATTGAATCTGTATCTGCTATTAGTTAGAATTTATAGCATTTCTGCCTTATGATTTAATCTCATCTCCTTTGAATATGTAACAATATGAATTTTAAAAGTATTCGAATCAATATTGTCTATTTTTCATTAGGGCATGCCCAAATGAGTAAATGCAGTTAATGTCTATTATTTTTGTTTTTGTCACAACACTCTATAACTTTAAATGAGCAAGATAAATACATTTTTAGAGAGCAGAGAAATAGATATTTATTCTATATTATTCTCTAAACAGGTATTAAGTATTCCATACATAGTTTTATATTTCTAGTAAATTTACTAATGTTTCTAGTGTCCCATGCCCTACTACTGATTTTTTTCTATAAGATCTCACTGTACTGATCCAAATCTTTTCTCTTCCTCACACCCTACCATTTCCTCTTTTTTTCATGCTCACTGTTCTATGAAGAAAAGTGAGGTTTCTCCATGTTCAGAACATCACTATTCTATTTTGGATGAGGACTTTCATCTCTGTTATTCTGAAGCTTGCTTATAACCGTAATATGAATCCCATACCCTCTCTCTTCTGTCTAATATAATTGTATAATCTTTGCTGCAGTGCCTTCCTTTAAACCAGCACACCTGAATTCAGATACTTAAGAGACTGGGGCACTCTGGGCAGTTATGGCACACACCTTTAACCCCAGTGTTTAGGAGGCAGAGGCAGACGGATCTCTCTGAGTCCATGGCCAGCCTGGTCTACAGAGTGAGTTCCAGGACAACCAGGGAAGTTACACAGAGAAACCCTGTGTGTGTGTGTGTGTGTGTGTGTGTGTGAGAGAGAGAGAGAGAGAGAGAGAGAGAGAGAGAGAGAGAGAGAGAGAGAGAGAGAGAGAGAGAGAGAGAGAGAGAGATTGAGACATCGAGGCAGGAAGGATCATTAGAACCTCTGGTTTAGGCAATGTAATACCACCTCATCTTGAAAACACATAAAGTCAGTGTCTTAGTCACACTGATATTGCTATGAAGAGACACAAGGCAACTCTTATAAAAGAAAGGATTTAATTGGGGACTTGCATTACTGTTTCAGAGATTTGGTCCATTTATCACCGTGGTGGAAATCATGATGGTATTCAGACAGGTGCTGGAGCAGTAGCTGAGAGCTACATCCTGATCTGTAGGCAAACAGAGGAAGAATCTGGTCATTTGAAACCTCAAAGCCCACCCCCAGCAACACACTTCCTCCAACAAGGCCACTCCCCCTAATCCTTCTCAAGTAGTACCACTCCCTGATGATGATGCATTTAAATATATGTGACTTTGGGGCCATTCTTATTCAAATCACCACAGATATTATTAATAGGAAAAATGTAGTTTAATGCCGGCATTGGTGGTACACACCTTTAATCCCAGCACTCGGGAGGCAGAGGCAGGCAGATCTCTGTAAGTTCTAAGTCAGCCTGGTCTACTGAGCAAGTTCCAGGACAGGCTCCAAAACAATACAGAGAAACCTTGTCTCTAAAAACAAACAAAAAAATGTAGTTTAATCTCAAGTTTCTTCTTATCTGCTTTTAAAACAGGGTATCACACTGTAATCCAGGCTGACTTGAACCCACTCTGTAGCCTAGGCTAGCCTGATATTCAGCTGGTAGCCGTCTCTCCCAGATTAACCTAATGTTTCAGTGCTGAAACCCTTGACTCCTTGACTTGGGTAGTTCATGTCTAATTGGTGCTAATTATTGTTGTACCTTGCTTATAAATTTCACAACATTTATAATATCCCCTTGAATTCATTACAGATAATTTGGGTTATTACCTCTATTTGTCCTATCTGAACCAGACTAATTTTTCCTCATCTTAAAAACCCAAATATTTGGTATAATTTGCTTTCCCTTTAAATGTTTATCTACTCTACCCCCTCTTTTCAGATGGAAGAGGAAATGTGGGGTGGGGGTGGGTTTTTTGCTTTTGTATATTCCTATTTGTCACTTGTGTCTTTTGCCCAAGGAGGCCAGACAGTGTCAGACATCCCAGAATTGGAGTTACACACTGTTGTGAGCTGCCATGTGGGTACTGGAATTGGACCCTGATCCTCTGAAAGAGCAGTTAGTGTTCTCAACCACTACGCCACCTCCTCAGCCCTGAGAGGGATCTTTTGAGATGAAGTTTGATTGTGTGGCCATAGCTGGCCTCGCATTTTCTGTGTAGGCCAGGCTTGTCCTGACTTTTCCGTGATCCTCCTGTCTCTGCCTTCCAAGTGCTGGGATTATCAGCATGTATGACCATGCCAGGATATTATTCTACCTTTACTGTTGACTCTCCTTGATTCCTTCTATATACACTTATCCCATTAATTCCCTAAAATGTGGCACTTGCTCTCTTGTCCACAATCACACACACTTCTCCCATTACTGGGGATTGAAGCTAGGGGCCTTGAACATGTTAGACAAGAGCTCTACTACTACTTTATCCTGCCCTTCCTCTCTTTCTTAACATTCTACTTACTTTTATACATGAAAGTTACCTAACCCCTCACTTGCCCTCTAGAACCAGTTAATTGATTAATTTAGTATTTTTGTCATTTTACTGAACTTTAAATGTTAGTTTACCTGGAGCCTTTTCCCCTAAAACTTTTTCATTATTGGGTCATTCATCCTTTCTTTCTTCCTTCCTTCCTTTCTTTCTTTCTTTTTTGGGGGGTATTGACATTGGGTCTCGTTTTATAACTATTACTAATGGCCAGGGTTAGAATCATGTGTTTTCGGGTTCTTGACCTCTTATCCAATGTAGGCAGAGTTTTTCTGTCCTACCAGCCTACTCCCAAATAACTACACAGAGACTTATTATTAATTACAAATGCTTGTCCAATATCTTAAGCTTGTATTCAGCCAGCTCTTACAACTTAAATTAACCCATGTCTATTAATCTATGTAATGTTTCAAGGCTCTCTAACCTCATCTATGAACTTCTCATGTTGCTTCTTCCCTAAGAGGAAGCTTATGACTCCTCTGACTCCATCTACTTTCTCTCACTTTCTCTGTCCTGAAAATCCTGCATAAACTATTGGCCAATCAGCTTTTGTTTGTTTGTGTGTTTGTTTTGTTTTTGAGACAGGATTTCTCTGTGTAACTTCGGAACCTCTCCTGGCACTTGCTCTGTAGGCCAGGCTGGCCTGGTAATCAATGGAAATCTGTTTGCCTCTGCCTCAAGTTCTGGCCAATCAGCTTTTTATTAACAATGAGAGCAACCTGTTTTCACAATGTACAAAAGGATTATTCTGCCTCTGAAGTGCAGCCAATCAGCTTTTTATTAACAATGAGAGCAACCCATTTTCACAGTGTACAGAAGGATTATTCTATAACAATCCAAAGCATTGAAAATAAGGGCTCACATAGATGTGCAAAAGTAACAAAGTAACTTTCTTAAGAGCCAGTCAACAGGACAGATTAGAGAAGGATACACTGTCGAGACTGACAGTGGACTATACTAGTTAGAGTACTACAGGACTCCAGTTATTGTTTGGAGCTCAAGAAAAGGAGAGGTTTCATTGTTAAAAGGTACAACATGGGCAAATCTCTGCTTTGATAGATTAGGTCATGTGATCATCTTACTGTGCATATCCCTCCCCATAATGCATCTGATTTTAATCATGTGCCCATTCAATTATACATAGGCATAGGATGGTAAATAGGGAATTCTTCCTAAAGTTTACTTGAGAACACAGTTTGTCTTATTGCACATGCACCCAAAAACAGTTCAGGCTGTTGTTTGTTTGTTTGGAGGCAGGGTTTCTCTGTGGCTTTTGAGACTGTCCTGGAACTCGCTCTTCTAGACCAGACTGGTCTTGAACTCACAGAGATATGCCTGCCTCTGCCTCCTGAGTGCTGGGATTAAAGGCGTGTGCCACCAATGCCTGGCAATAAGCGATTTGGCCCATACAGAGATTGAATTCTGGATCTGGGCATTATTAGCACCACACACTAACCAACTGAGCTAACCAGCCAGGCCCTTATTTCTTTGTATTTTCTTTACTCTCTGAGATAAGTTGGGGTTTCTTGAAATTTTCTTAATTTCACTTTAGTTTATCATCTTAGAGGTTATCTGTTTTCACAGAGTTATTAGTATATAATATTGTAACATCTGTACACCACTTAAATTTGTTTTCTTTCAGGTTGCATAGTGGTAAGAAAACGCCTCAATAGCCGAAATTTTGGCAAGCTTTTGCACTCTTGTGCATACCTATGTGATCATCATAAAGTCATTATGGAAGCTGAAGATAAATATAAAAATGAACTAAGGAAAGCACTTATCTGTGAGAAAGGTAATTAATTCAGTAACTTTACCTGTAATTGTGGCTATACATTCTGAACTATCCTCTAAATTATTAAGTATATTGACTGGAGTATGAAATACTGTTTAAAAAAACCTATCTCTAGATTACCAGTAACTTAAGATATACTAGAGTGGTTTTAGTCTGTAATGGATTAATGTCTCCCTAAACTCATTATGGTGGCATATACCTATATTCTTAGACTTTGGGAGGTAGAGGCATCCTTAACTATACAGAGTTTGGGGCCAGCATGATCTATCTGATACCCTGTGTCAAAAAAAAAAAAAAAAGATCGAGGTATGGTGGCACTTGTCTTTTATTTCAGATGTTGGGAAGTAGAATTAAGCAGATCCCTGAGTTCAAGACAACACTGGTTTTCATAGCTAGTTCTAGGACAAGCCAAAACATAAACCAAAAAAGTGGGTCTGGGGAGATGGCTCAGCAGTTAAGAGCACTTGGCTGCTCTTTCATATGACCCAGGTTCATTCAGTTCCAGCACCCATATGTGGCTCACAACCTTCTGTAATCCCAGTTCCCAGGAAATCCAATACCCTCTTCAGGTACATATGTAGTATACATGCACAGATGTAGTATACATGCACACATGTAGTATACATGCACACATGCAGGCAAAACACTCATACATGGTAAGAAATATAATAAAATTATTGTTAGTCACTTAAGGATCATCACTATAAGAGGTAAGAAGTATCATACTGTAATAGATTTGATATGTAACTACTTAGATTGCTATTGTAAGTATATTAAATGTTTTCTATATTTTTCAGAAATTTTGCTGACCCCTCGTAGAAGACAACTTAGTAGAGAATCTACTGCCTCTGAAGGACTAAGTGAATATATTTAATTTTTAAATTTGCTTTAACTCTACATATTCCTGAAAGAAGAGAGCAGCTGAATGACTGTTCTCCTTAATTACATAAAATGATAACACTTGGCTTGTGTGAGATTATACCTACTGAAAAGAGACACCCTCTTCCTCCCTTTATGCTCTTTGTTTACTTGCTTCCTGCCGCCTGGGGAAAGAGCTCTAGGAAACAGCCATTACCTTTATTTATTTTTAACTGGTCTTGTAGATTTTATTTATTTTTATTTTATGTGTATGAATATTTCCCTGCATGTATGTATGTGCATCATCTGCATGCAGTGCTCATGGAGGCCAAAGAAAACATGTGGGTGCTAGGTATTGAACCCTGTCCTCTGGTGCTCTTAACCACTGAGCCATCTCTCCAGCCCTGACATTAATTAAACATCTGCTATATGTTAGTTGTTTTATAGATTTAATTTCCTCTAATTATGCTAATAATCAGTTGGTAAGCAGTTATGATAATTTGGTCTGCTTTTTTAGAATTTACAAGAGGAAATATTAATTTGATTCTTAATCTATCTCTATCTCTTTTTCTGAGACAGGGTTTCTTTGTGTAGCCCTAGAACTTGTTCTGTAGACTAGGTTGACCTCAAACATACAGAGATCAACCTGCCTCTGCCTCCCAAGTTCTGGGGTTAAAGGCATGACCACCATCTCTCAGCTTAATCTTGTAGCTGTAATTTCTTGTCCTACCATGTCCTGCCACCCTTGAGCCCCAAATAAACACATGGATGCTGTATTAGTTATAAATCTGTTGGCTGATACCTAGGGCTCCTTATTGACTAGCTCTCTCTTAATTATTAACCCATAACTACTAATCTATGTATTTCTACATGGCCTTATCTTAACAGAGAACGCCTGGCGTGTCCTATCCTCCCTGTCTTTACATGGCATTTCTCTGTGGTGCCTCTCTGCCTACCTTTCCCAGAATTCTCCTTGTCTCCTAGTTTCACCTATTTTCCTGCCTCTATGGGCCAAACAGCGTTTTATTCATCAACCAATAAGAGAAACATATATACAGAAGAACATCCCCCATCATAATCTCTCTTTTATATCAACTCAGGAATATTTAGTATGTGATCAATTTTTTTCCATCTTGATTAATTTCCCTTATATATTAGGTGTCTCACTAACCTTCTTTTAACTGTAGTTTATACTCAGATATACTCAGATTTGAGTCTATCATTTTTGAGGAAGGGCAGTGTACCATGTAAGCATTGAATCTTCCCCAAAGCTCTTTTTAGGATGGCTTACTATGTTGAAAGAATTAAGCCCTCTTGCTCATTTTTTTTCTATAACATATATCAGATATTAAGAATAACACTGAGACTGGTTGTGTGACTCATGTCTCTAATCCCAGAACTAAGGCAGACAACTCACAAGTTTGAGGCAAGTGTGAGCTATATTGCAAGACTTTCTAGAAGCCTATAATAATAATAATAATAATAATAATAATAATAATAATAACTAATGTTTTAAAATTGCACTCAAAAGGCCATGGAGTGAAGCCTTGAAGTACAGTCTTTTTCAAAATTATCCAGTCCTCTGCTGTAGAATTTGTAAGTCAGGGAAATAGCAGCCTTAGTAGAAATGGCTGGGGTGGGGAGCTTTATGTGAATAACTTTAAGGCCTCAGTTCTGAAAGTTATAACCTATCCAGTCCTGATTATAAGGAGATCAAGTCATTCATCAAGTGAAGATTCAAAGAAACTTGGGTAACAACAGTTTTCCAGCATTCCCCAGACGAAGGAGTAACTTTATTTACAAGTTTTGAGATAGTTTTATCAATAGTAACTTTTTCTCTTAATAAATATTGATGATTGTCTACTATGTCTGAGATATGTTCTGAGTCTGGGTTACAGTGGTAACTAAGCTACTCAGATGCCTCACCCTTCATGGAGCTTGCATTTTAAATACTAACTACTAAGTAATAACAATGAATTCTCAGCTTCTGCTGGGAATATGTTCTCTTTTGTTTTAAACCATTGCACTTACCTTAGGGAGGCAGACAAATGTCCAGCAGTGATGGCTTGTAAGGGTCAAATTTGATACATCCATGCTAAAGCACTCCTCTCTGGCATCTGTCTACAGTGCCAAGCAAGGTGTCAGTGAACTCCAAAGATGAAGGAAACCTATGTGCTGGGATTGGAGAGATAGAACTCAGTAGAAGTGCTTGTAACTTAGCCTCGTGACCTAAGTTTGATCCTCAGAACCCATATCACAGTGGAAGAAAAGAACTAACTCCACAAAGTTGTTCTCTGATCTCCACATACATGCCATGGCATGAGTGTGTCCATACATATCATACACACACACACATACACACACACACACACACACACACACACACACACACACACACAGAGTAATAACAAAACTATTTCCTTATGATGGTCCCCAGGAGATAATTGAAATAACCGTTTGCCAACTGTGTATTCTTTCTGTTACAGAAGCTATTCATCTAAAACCAGATAGTCAAAAACGTCCAAGTTTGGAGGAACAGGCCTGTAATACCAGCATTCCAGAGGCAAAGGAAAGAAGATTCCGAGTTCCAGGCCAGAATGGACTACATAGTGAGTTTGAGGCAAGCCTGTGCTACATAGGACAAGCCTGTCTCAGAAAGAGAAAAAAAGAGAAAAGAAAAGAAGACCTACAAACTTCTTTTTCCATTATGTGACCTGTTTTGCTTTTATATTTTGATAAGCTGAGCACCCCTATAGATAGTACATGAGTTTTTTTTTAAGTGAACTTCCAAAGACTCTTAGTCTTCAGTACAATGAAAACTGGACCAGATGGTGGTGTTGCACACCTTTAATCCCAGCACTCCAAAGGCAGAGACAGGCAGATCTCTGTGAGTTCTAGGACAGCCTGTTCTACAGAGCTAGTTCCAGGACAGCTAGGGCTGTTACACAGAGAAACCTTGTCTCAAAAACCAAAAAACAAACAACAACAACAACAACAAACAACAATAACAACAAAACCCAAAAGAAAAGAAAACTGGTATTCAAAATAACAAATGTTGGTATTCACTATTCTGTGAAGTTATGAAGCCTTTGAGAATACTGTGTCTGTAATATAAACTGTTTGTTAACCATCTTCACAGAATGCTGCATTAAAATCTAATGTTTATAAACTTGCCTTTTGATTGATAAATGTGGATATTATTTCAATGGATTAAGTTATACTATTAAAGAAGTTAACAGTGGTAGCACCTCACTTAATGATCTTTTAAACTGAAGTAAATTTCCATTTGAAAAGTGTCTCTGGTATTAAACTGTCTCATTCTGTAGTTTATATCTATGGAATAAGTTATACATTTATTTGAGTCTTAAGATATCTTGTTTTAGCAAGTATTAATATATTCTACAATTTCCATTCATTACAGAAAAAAGAAGAATTCGTAAAAACTTTACCAAAGAAGAAGTAAATTATCTTTTTCATGGAGTTAAAAAAATGGGAAATCATTGGAATTCAATTTTGTGGTCTTTCCCCTTTCAACAAGGACGAAGGGCTGTAGACCTTGCTCACAAATACCACAAGCTGACCAGAGGTCCCAACTGTGCAGCCAAATGACTAGAGGAGACTCAGTTTTTTTGTTTGTTTGTTTGTTTGTTTGGGCTCTTAAAATAGAACTTCTTAGAAGATACAAAATGTTAAATGTTCTTCTAAACTCTTAAGAGACAGGGAATGATAAGAGTTTTGTGATACAAACTCTTTAAAATGTTAAACTAATTTATAATGCAAATACATTTTTCAATGTGAAAATTAGATAGAATTTCTCCATGAGACCAAATATGTTGTCCCTTTACTTTTCCTTATGGTCAAAGAACATAGATCACAAGAAAAAAAATCATGAGCCTTTAAACATCGCTTAACATTATATTGCCATAAATACTATATGAGACATTTGTAGCTAGGTGTTGGTGGGCATTTCAGTATTTTTGCCTAGTGCTAATGTCCATTCTAGAACTCGGGCCATTTCTTAAGCTATTCAACTAAGGCTCTCACCCAATAAATAAAATTAAAATTTTGACACTTGTTAATTGAAATGATTCCTCTTCTAAAGGTTAATTATGGACTTGTCTTAGCACTCATAGTCTGTGATCAAGTTCTCATTTTGCTGTATGTTGATTTGCTTTGTTTGTTCATTACATTGTATTGATTTATATGGGCACGAGTGCCACAGGGCACATGTGAAGGCCAGAGAAAACAACTTGCAGAAGTTAGTCTTTTCCTTTTACTATGTGTGTCCTAGAGATGGAACTCAGTTTGTCAGGCAAGGCAGCAAGTGCCCTTGCCCACCAAGCCATCTTGCAGTGTCTCTTATTTCCTGCTCCTGGCCTTCTACATCTTTCCCCCTCATGTTAATGAGCCTCAGCTACTTCTTGCTGTAGCAGAACAAGGTAATATTCTGATGAGCTTAGTCACCGAGGGACATATTATTGTCCATTTGTAATGTATGGCCTTGGAATGGGCTCAACGCCTCTCCTATGCCCAATTTTATGAACCTAAAAGTCTTTTGACATTCTCTGTGACCAACTTTCCAATAATAGCTAATATCGTTATACCTTTTATAATTGGAGTCATTTTCAAATTCTATCCTATTGGATTTGTTTGTGATATGGTCTTATGCAACCCAGGCTGACCTTGTACTCACTTTATATCTTAGAATGACCTTCTTTGTTTTTGTTTAGCCTGTCTGGGGCTTAACCCTAGAACATTGTGTTTGCCAGGCAAATGTTCTGCCTCTGAGCTACAGCCCCAGCCCTGGTTTTGTTTTTGAGATGGTGTCTCATTATGCAGCCCAGGCTGGTTTTGAACTCATTATCCCCGTCTTAGCTTCCCAAGTGTTGGAATCACAGGTTTCTACCACCTAGCCCAGTTTGTGGGATGCTAGGAATGCATTCCTGTACCATCACTGTTAACTGAGTGGTATCTCCAGCCCATGGCATATTTTTGTTAAACCCTATTATAGGACTGTAAGAGTTCCTGTTACATTTCTCATTTTGTTAGATTTAGCCTGTGCTGTTTGTCATCCAGTATTTTTGGAAACGCTTCTGTTTCTGCATATGTGAGTGTGAGGCTGCATTCTCCTCTAAGTCTCAGATAGCACCTGAATTGGCTGTTGGCAGGCCAGAGCTACTATCTTCTTTTGCAATTGATCACATTAGAGAATTTCATGTAGTGGGAATTAACGCTTACTGGCCCAGAGTCTTCAACTCTGTTGTCCTGTGAAAACTTGTATACCACTTGTCTTTGTGTGACTTGTATTGCCTGCTCCTCCCTCCCATTTCCCTTTTTCCAACTTACATTCAAATTGGCAGACCATATGCCCATTGTTGGATCCTGTAATTTATGCTGCTAGATTTTTTTTTTTGGTAAAGCCAGAATCACTCTCCTTAAGTAATTGCTCTTCCTGCCGTATCACATTTCCTTATATTTATTAATGCCTTGTAAAGTTAGCCTGTTTCCATAGAGAACAGCAAAAGCCCTCAGGTAAAGGCCATATCTAAAGTTACCTCTGATAAGCACAAATATTTCTTTCTGTTTCTTCTCTATTACCTCTCTCCTTTTATATCCAGCCTCTCCCATGACCTTCACCACTGAAGAAAAGCAGTTACAGCCTCTTCTACTGTCAAATGTTGGCTCACTAAAAAATAGCATAAAAAAAAACTTGGTGAAGCAAAGCCAAGAGCATTGTTAACGATGATTAAAAAAAAAAATCACAGCTATGCCAGGCAGTGCTAGTGCATGCCTTTAATCCCAGCACTCAGGAGGCAGAGGTAGGTGGATCTTTGTGAGTTCAAAGCCAGCTTGGTCTACAGAGCAAGTTTCAGGACAGCCAGAGCTATACAGAGAGACCTTATGTTGTAAAACAACAAAACAAAGCAAAACAAGAAAACCACAGCTAATAGTCTACAGAGGAGGAGATGAGAGACAACATTGAGGATTTGTGATAATCTCAAGACATCTTGAGAATTATGCCAAATTCGTTTAAGGATAATGAACACCACTGGGATGCTACCTCTAGTACTGGGTCTTAAGACTGTGTTTTAGCTCTGGCTAGCCTGGAACATGCTATATAGACCAGACAGGCTTCAGTTTTACAGAGATCCATCTGCCCTTTGTCTCTCAAAATTCTGGGATTGAAGGCGTGTGCCACTATGCCAAGCCCTTTTTATTTACTTTTTTTTTTTTTTTGAAGCAGGGTCTCAAGTCTCACGTAGCTTAAACTTGCTACAAAGTCTAAGACCTGCCAGCTTCCCGTTGCTAGGATGACAGGCATGCAAACCTATGCTCAGTCAGTTTTTCCAAAGCGTCTTTCATAGTAGGCCACATCCTAGCCCAGTTTCTTTAAAATTTCTGAGCTATAGTTTCCTGACTTATTAAGAGTTAAGCAAGATTCAATGAGATAGCTTATGACACCCACACATAATGAGACATAAATGGGGCTGTCTTCTAAAGCTTGGGCTTGCAGCGCCCGGGCCTGCAGGAGTCGCCAGTGCGCCCTGGGTCGGGCGGCGCCCGCGGCTCCACCTCCCGCGTAAGGCTGTCCGGTTCGCTGCCTGACGGAGCAGCCTCCCTCGCTACGGCGATTCGGCGACCCGCAGACGCACGCGGACATCGCCAGCCCGTCGGGACGCGCTGGATAGCGGAGCTTCTGCGGCTGGGCGGACGGGCGGCGCGGCCCGGCCGGGGTCCTTGCGGGTCCTCAGCCGGCCCGGGGGAGGGCCCTCTTTGTGGCTGCAGTTGGCAAGATGGCGCCGGTGGGGGTGGAGAAGAAGCTGCTGCTGGGCCCCAATGGGCCAGCGGTGGCGGCCTCCAGCGACCTAACCAGCGAAGAGGAGGAAGGCCAGAGTCTGTGGTGAGGAACGCACAGAGCCACGGATGGCGTGGCCGGGCAGACAGAGGGCCGGAGCGGGCGGTACCGCGGGCAGACATTGACGGGCAGTCGCGGGCCGAGCGGTCCTGGGCGGTTCCACGCTGACCGCTGTTGTCATTGTCGCCGCAGGTCTTCGATCTTAAGCGAAGTGTCCACCCGTGCCAGGTCCAAGCTGCCGTCCGGCAAGAACATTCTGGTGTTCGGTGAGCAGCCGGGTACTGCCCTGGGGCGCCAGGGTGGGTCAGGCGGTGCCCCTCCCACAGGTTCCACCTCCACCCTTACTGTCTACTTGCCGCTCGCCGGCCGGGGAGCGTACACTGGACTCTTATCAGGGCAGCCGGAGAGCCTCCAAGCTCACACCTCCCCAAAATGCCGCTCTGTTTGAAGTCCAGGGGTGTGGCGTGGGCTTGTGACACATCCCTTCAATCACTGGCCTTCAGCCTTGACTCCCTTCATCGCTTAGTCTTATGCTCACCAAGTTGAGCGTGTGGAGAAAGGAAAAAGAGGATGTGCAGGCTGGATGGAGAAGGTGGGGGAACTAGGTGGCCCGAGCTGGGAACTGAGGAGATGTCTCGAAGCCTTTCTTGGGTCCTCATGAGTCTTTGAGCAGAGACATAAGGGACTCCCCAAAGGCAGCAGACCTTGGTAGTCTGCCCCCAGGAACTTTCTTGCATTACTGCTAGGTTGCCAAGTCAGTCATTTAACCTCTTTGGCTTCAGTTATCCCATGTAAACGAAAGGGATTAGGTGTGTTCACACGCAAAGCTGTTTGTAGAGTCGGAGCTGAGGGCTGAGCCGGGGGACAGCACAGGCAATCTTAGACACTCTGCAAGAATCCCAGTCTAGCAGAGGCAGATGTGTGCGTGGTCGCACTGCATCTTTCCTGTCAAGAGCAGACTGTTGTGGGCGCGTCACACTGCTTGATGTGTTGAAAGAGAACTGTGGAGTTGGGTGTTCGGAGGGTAATAGTTCAGCACATAGAGGTAACAGGGTGAAGAGTCTGCACACCGTTAGAAGTTTCTTGCAGAAAATGATAAGATAAGGTGAGGTCAGATCATGAAAAGCTGAAGCATTAATCCTCTTTCCTGAGGCTCCTGGCTTTCAAGATTTTATTTTCCTTTACTCTTCTCCAGTCTTTATGGAAATAATTGGCTGGTGGTTTCTCGTCCAGGTAATGGCCACTGTGATAGGTTATGGCCAGATGTGTGCTTTAGGGAAGTAAGTCAGGCTGCAGCGTGCCGGGTAGATCAGAGTGAGCAGGTGCTGAAGTCAGGCTGGACAAGCACTCACCGTGGGCTAGGTGGGTTGTGCCAGCATGAAAAAGGCGGGGTGCTGAGAAGGGAGGGTCTTTGTGGACGCCTTTCATTTCTCATGTTCTGTAATCCCCTATTTCTGAATCCGAGGACGTTTGCTAATAGTGCCTCTATTTTATTTTGGGTGGGTATTATGTGAGGGAGGGTGTTGGATATGGGTAGTCCCAGGGAGAGGGGAAGGCACTTGGTACTGAGAATGTACATAGAAATTTTGCTTAGGTCAGTAATTACTTTTTCCCCCCAGTTTCCAAGCCTTTAGGGTGCTGTGAAGATGTTTTAAAATCAAATGCATGTAAATAATATTTACAAACTTCATGATTATGAGGCAGAATCAGATTTGTTTGTCAAGATAGGGTTTCTCTCTGTGTGGCCCTGGTTGTTCTGGAGCTCACTCTGTAGACCAGGCTGGCCTCGAACTCAGAGATCCACCTCTCTGCCTCCCAAGTGCTGGGATTAAAGGTGTGCACCACCACACCCAGCCCAGAATCAGAATTTTAGTTCAGTGTTCCTAGACTTTTGAGGTTAGTTGAGTTTTGAAGAGTTCTTTCTTTTACTGTGGTAAAGATTTATTTTGTGAGAAACTAGCCCCACCTCTGACGCTCCCTTCTCTGGATGTCTGTCTCAGAAATTGCAGGTAGAGTTAGTGGATTTGCCTTATCCCTTCCCTTGTGAAGTAGAGAAATTACAGTAGAGGGCTCTTTGGGCTCTTGGGGTTGACTGTCTTTGCCTCTACCCAGTCATTCTTGAGGGGATTTACTTTGTTCACGAGAGCTGAGGCCTTAGCAGCAGGCTTGCTTGGGAGTCTTAGTTGTTCTTTATTGTGTTGATGTTATGACTTGCCATCTTTGCCTACCATGACACATAGCACACTTTGTCTTCTTGCAAATGTCATTTGTAGGAGAAGATGGCTCTGGTAAAACAACTCTCATGACCAAACTACAAGGAGCAGAGCATGGCAAAAAAGGAAGAGGCTTGGAGTATCTTTACCTCAGTGTTCATGATGAGGACCGAGATGGTAAGTGACGTGTTACTCCATTTTAAAGGTAACATGCAGGACTCTGCTTTCTGTGTGTCCAGGCATTCCCAGCTTACTGTTAGAACCAAAGGGAATGGGTGAAATGTATGTCATTAGCAGGACTTTATTCGCTTTTAGTTTGGTTCTGGTTTTTTGAGACAGCATCTTACTGTGTGGCCCAGGTTGACCTTGGAACTCACTATATAGACCAGGGTGGCCTTAAACTCTCAGAGCTACTCTGTAATGATTCCCTTACAATTTCCCAGGTTTTATCTTCAGCATAGGTCTTTTTTCCTAAAGTCTAAAGAGGAAGTGTATTGATTAATTTCATTCTTTATGTTTGCCTTTATCTGTTTAAATACTAGTGATCATGGTGTTAGGGTGATTTTATAAACCTCCCTGCTTTCTTAGTGCTAAATTGAAGGAGATAAACCAAAAGTCTATCCAGCACTACAATCCTGCTGTCTTTAAGCTGTTGATTGAGGACATGGAGAAGGGCTCTTCCTAAAGCTCGGGCACCTGTGTATGCTAATTTAGATCTCCAGGATTTTAGCCCTATTCACTTGACTTTTCTGTTTTTGAAAAGAATGTAGGAAGTAGGCCTGGTGTCAAGGCCTCTGTCTTCTGACAGAAAACCAAGCACTCAGTGTCTGTCTAGACTCAACTGAGTCTGTGCTTGTGTGGCTGAGGCCACTAAACCAAGCCTGGGAGACCTTGAATGTCTTTTGCTTCCTGCCTTTGTAGAGCACCATGGTTTTTGTGGGAAGACCTTGGCCTTGGGAACCAGACAGAACTGGTTCAGAGTGCCACTCCTGTATTCAGCAGTTTGTGGCTTCTGATTGTGACTTAACCACCCTTCACTTGCATTTCCTCATATGAGGAAGAGAATGGTGGCACAGTCTGCAGGTGGACAGTGTGGGGGGTGATGGGGGCATCTCCGTACCCTCTGGTGTTTCCAGCACTGAGACACATTTTAGGACAGAGCATCCCAATAACCGCATTTACTTGTCTAGGAGTTGAAGTTTATGCTGACATCTACTTCAGTTCCTTTCAGGTCACTATGAGACCTTTTTCCTTGCTGCACTTGGAGGACTTTTTCTTTCAGCTGCTTACTTGGTAGTCTTTGTCTGATGGAAGAGTTGTCCTTACCTTAGGTTAATTATATCTCTTTCAGCCCTAGTCTTTTTAATTGTGTGGTATGACTGGGTTGTAAGTACACATTTCACAGATAATCACCTGCTAAAAAACAGTCTCTGGTTGTATCTGGTTGTATCTGACATGTCAAAGGACCACTGCGTCTCGGTTAGATATCTGTCTAATGCTGCATGGGATATGTGATTCCCACACATGGATGAGTTATGTATAGTTGACACTGGCAAGAAAAGCTGAGAAAAGGAGCCATGTTTGCTGATGGGTTAGGCACATAAACCTCAGATATTGAGAACAAAGTGTGTTTGGAGTGGTTTATAGACCCAAACAAATATACTAGAGTTTTAGGACTAGTGAGGAAGTCAACAGAGAAAGTCACTTGCTGCCAAGAGAGCCTGAGTTTGATACCTGAGACCCACATGATGGAAGGAAAGAGCTGACTCCCACAGGTTGTCATCTGACTTCACTGTGAAATACATGCACCTACATATACCTCCACCCATCCTCCAAGGAGCACACATAACTCTCAGGACATGCTATAAAGTTTTTAAAGTAAGAGCTGGGGAGCACTTGCTACTCTTCCAGGGCACCTGTCATAGCACTACCTTAGTTCAGTTCCCAGCACCATGTCTGGTGGCTTACAGTGGTTTATAACTGCAGCTTCAGGGGACCCAAGGCCTCTGGCCTGAGAGCATATATAAACACATGTAGGCACACACACACCCCTACCTATATATAATTAGCAATAATAAAAATAAATTAAAATTTTTAACAGGTTGGAAATACAGCTAGATATAGATACTTTTATATTTAAACTCATCAGAATGCATTTTTATAGATATTAATTATTTGGTTATACCAACAAGGAAGCTAAAGAAAGGTAAGTTGTAAAAGTTTATGTTGGAAAAGAAGTTAATGAAATGAAAAGTACCTCTCTCAATGTACTTTTATAGAAAAAATAACCAAGGGATATGTTTGAAATTTTCTAAAAATATCCTATTAATTTAGTGAATTATGGTATAGTTGGATTATCATAGTTACCAGTTCTTGGTACGTTTTATTTTATCTGTATCTTAAGATCTCCCTGTAGTCCACATTGGATATTTTTTGATACAGTTTAATACCATTTCATCTGTAAATACTTCCATATGTATATTT